TAATCACTTTCTTATGATGAAACATTTCTGTTAGGTTTATAGTGTGCAATATTTTATTTAATTATTCAATGGAACAATTGACATGTATTTGATTGCTCATCAAGAAAAAAAATAATTGATTTGATTCATTGATTTGTAAATGTCCTTAGCAAAGAGGGCATGGGATTAATTGTTTCATACTAGAAATTCAGTATGACTATGTCCTTGTGAAGGTTTTCCTAAAGTTGTTGTGCTTTGCCAGTTAGTATTGTCATCATTCAAATGTTGGAATTCCAGGAATGTAGTCTCTGTTACTATGGCGTCATTAATTGTTGGTCATGTATGTAAATAAGGGTTTCAGGTGTGAGGTGTTGGTCTGATATTATGTATATTGCTGGTTGGTAAGGTTGAGTTTTTGACACCTGTAATCTAGCCATGTATGTGGTTTAAAGTCTATCGGTAGATCACCCATATTAATAAGGATGCGATTAAAAAATATCCAACATCAAAGAAAACAGATTTCACAGGAAATTTCCTCTGAAATTGAAAGCCTGAGTGAGCACTGTGATATACATCCTTATCTACATTAACAGATGTCAAATCGTTTTTTTTCCTACGCTCTTGTTCAACCTTTATATACATAATGTAACTGGCCATACAGGTTTTGTCTGGTAACATTGTCGGCCCGACGAGAGGTATCGTTGATAGTCTCGTAGAGCTAGGTGAGGTCACAGTTGTTATTATGCAAGTCAAATTGGGACAGATTCATGACAGACATTTCATTCACAGGCAGAGGTGTATTTTTTGTCCCTGTTATACGAAATTGAATCATGAATGAATGGAGATTATGTAAGTCAACGGAGCTTATAACATTAATCTTTTACTAATATAGTTATCAAGGCACTTATTATTACATGAATTCACCCATTTTCCCTTTCCACTTGGTGTGGCATATAAGTTTTTGGTTGATTTACATGTTAATTGTAAAATTGCTGGTACTCGTGACATGTGGTGTCTGACTTCACCAAGTTAAAGTCAGTGAACCGTTTCAATTTTGATACACAGAACCTCTGGGAAAACTGCATTAAAACTGTCAATGTAAGTTTGACAGATTTTACGTATATGTTAGCTATAAAAAAAAGGTCCCCTTTCTTCTTGACATTTTTTTATTTCATTATTGAAAAATATTTTTTAGACTTAAATCAAATTCAACAGCAACAAAGTTAATGAGGTCAATGTTTAATATTTCTTGAAAAAATATGTGAAGATTCCTCCAAAGTTGTAAATGATTGTTGGTTTTCACTAGGAATGTGCCGATATGTTCAACAGGTGTATGTTGTGTCCTAGCTCAGCACTAAAGATTTACCTGTAAGTGGAGGATTCATATATACATAAGAATGAAAAAAAAAGCTCAGCTGTAGGATTGAACTTTTATTTCACTTCTGATTTATTTTTAGTCTTTGTTCAATAACTTCTCGTTAGACCACCTGTATGAAGTTTTCACCTGTATAGAAAGTTGAAAATGTTGGTATTGAATGTCATGTAAGGATCAGAGGAGGTGATTATGAATGTATTCAGTTTCAACCAGGTTGTCACATTTCAATGTAATCTGAATAATTTAATACTTGAAAAGATTTAATAACTAACACATCAGTATAATCCTAGTCAGCATAGGTTTTTTCATTTCAAGGTTAATTGGTTTTATTTTCCATTTACGTTTCAGTATTTATTAGATATTCAGATTTATAAATAAACTTGATTAATGAAGCTCAAATATTGAGCAAAAAAATCATAATTTGCAACACTGTATCCAGTGTCTGACTGCTTAAAGCTCAAAATTCCCATTAAGATTAAGCAGTATATGTAAATTTCAAATATAACGGTATGTAAAAAATGAAAGGCAATTACCATGTGTTCTAAAGTGAAAAAAAAACATGAAAGGAGGCATTTAAGTAATCAATGGAAACTACAAGATTATAAGATTTCAGTAGTGACAGAAAAAAAATGAATGGAGAGATTATGAAATTTAAATGGATTGAAATATGCCATGTCATTTGAGTCAACCAAATATATAACTGGTATGTCTATTAATGTCGTATAAAGGGCAGCTGTCTCGCTGAGTATTATGGAGGCCACCAGCATGGCAAATTATAGATGACACATCTAGATGCATTCCTCAGAATAACTTATGTTTGCCTATTGAAAGATTGATACTTGGTGTTATACAGAGTCAGGGGTGAGTTACAAGGTTCTACTACTCCCAGTGTTATACAGAGTCAGGAGTGGGTTACAAGGTTCTACTACTCCCAGTGTTATACAGAGTCAGGGGTGGGTTACAAGGTTCTACTACTCCCAGTGTTATACAGAGTCAGGGGTGGGTTACAAGGTTCTACTACTCCCAGTGTTATACAGAGTCAGGGGTGGGTTACAAGGTTCTACTACTCCCAGTGTTATACAGAGTCAGGGGTGGGTTACAAGGTTCTACTACTCCCAGTGTTATACAGAGTCAGGGGTGGGTTACAAGGTTCTACTACTCCCAGTGTTATACAGAGTCAGGGGTGGGTTACAAGGTTCTACTACTCCCAGTGTTATACAGTCAGGGGTGGGTTACAAGGTCCTACTACTCCCAGTGTTATACAGAGTCAGGGGTGGGTTACAAGGTTCTACTACTCCCAGTGTTATACAGTCAGGGGTGGGTTACAAGGTTCTACTACTCCCAGTGTTATACAGAGTCAGGGATGGGTTACAAGGTTCTACTACTCCCAGTGTTATACAGAGTCAGGGGTGGGTTACAAGGTTCTACTACTCCCAGTGTTATACAGAGTCAGGGGTGGGTTACAAGGTTCTACTACTCCCAGTGTTATACAGAGTCAGGGGTGGGTTACAAGGTTCTACTACTCCCAGTGTTATACAGAGTCAGGGGTGGGTTTACAAGGTTCTACTACTCCCAGTGTTATACAGTCAGGGGTGGGTTACAAGGTCCTACTACTCCCAGTGTTATACAGAGTCAGGGGTGGGTTACAAGGTTCTACTACTCCCAGTGTTATACAGAGTCAGGGGTGGGTTACAAGGTTCTACTACTCCCAGTGTTATACAGTCAGGGGTGGGTTACAAGGTTATACAGAGTCTACTACTCCCAGTGTTATACAGAGTCAGGGGTGGGTTACAAGGTCAGAGTCTACTACTCCCAGTGTTATACAGAGTCAGGGGTGGGTTACAAGGTTCTACTACTCCCAGTGTTATACAGAGTCAGGGGTGGGTTACAAGGTTCTACTACTCCCAGTGTTATACAGAGTCAGGGGTGGGTTACAAGGTTCTACTACTCCCAGTGTTATACAGAGTCAGGGGTGGGTTACAAGGTCCTACTACTCCCAGTGTTATACAGAGTCAGGGGTGGGTTACAAGGTCCTAATACTCCCAGAGTTATACAGAGTCAGGGGTGGGTTACAAGGTTCTACTACTCCCAGTGTTATACAGAGTCAGGGGTGGGTTACAAGGTCCTACTACTCCCAGTGTTATACAGAGTCAGGGGTGGGTTACAAGGTTCTACTACTCCCAGTGTTATACAGAGTCAGGGGTGGGTTACAAGGTTCTACTACTCCCAGTGTTATACAGAGTCAGGGGTGGGTTACAAGGTTCTACTACTCCCAGTGTTATACAGAGTCAGGGGTGGGTTACAAGGTTCTACTACTCCCAGTGTTATACAGAGTCAGGGGTGGGTTACAAGGTTCTACTACTCCCAGTGTTATACAGAGTCAGGGGTGGGTTACAAGGTTCTACTACTCCCAGTGTTATACAGAGTCAGGGGTGGGTTACAAGGTCCTACTACTCCCAGTGTTATACAGTCAGGGGTGGGTTACAAGGTTCTACTACTCCCAGTGTTATACAGAGTCAGGGGTGGGTTACAAGGTCCTACTACTCCCAGTGTTATACAGAGTCAGGGGTGGGTTACAAGGTCCTACTACTCCCAGTGTTATACAGAGTCAGGGGTGGGTTACAAGGTCCTACTACTCCCAGTGTTATACAGAGTCAGGGGTGGGTTACAAGGTCCTACTACTCCCAGTGTTATACAGTCAGGGGTGGGTTACAAGGTCCTACTACTCCCAGTGTTATACAGAGTCAGGGGTGGGTTACAAGGTCCTACTACTCCCAGTGTTATACAGAGTCAGGGGTGGGTTACAAGGTCCTACTACTCCCAGTGTTATACAGAGTCAGGGGTGGGTTACAAGGTCCTACTACTCCCAGTGTTATACAGAGTCAGGGGTGGGTTACAAGGTTCTACTACTCCCAGTGTTATACAGAGTCAGGGGTGGGTTACAAGGTCCTACTACTCCCAGTGTTATACAGAGTCAGGGGTGGGTTACAAGGTCCTACTACTCCCAGTGTTATACAGAGTCAGGGGTGGGTTACAAGGGTCTACTACTCCCAGTGTTATACAGAGTCAGGGGTGGGTTACAAGGTTCTACTACTCCCAGTGTTATACAGAGTCAGGGGTGGGTTACAAGGTTCTACTACTCCCAGTGTTATACAGAGTCAGGGGTGGGTTACAAGGTTCTACTACTCCCAGTGTTATACAGAGTCAGGGGTGGGTTACAAGGTTCTACTACTCCCAGTGTTATACAGAGTCAGGGGTGGGTTACAAGGTCCTACTACTCCCAGTGTTATACAGAGTCAGGGGTGGGTTACAAGGTCCTGTTATACAGAGTCAGGGGTGGGTTACAAGGTCCTACTACTCCCAGTGTTATACAGAGTCAGGGGTGGGTTACAAGGTTCTACTACTCCCAGTGTTATACAGAGTCAGGGGTGGGTTACAAGGTTCTACTACTCTTAAGCCAATGCCTGGTAATAAGATATTGGTTGACCCATACCTATTTCTGTTAAGTAAAAATACCAACAAATATTATTTATATTAATATAGTTTACTATTGTATGTTAAGAAAACAATCTTTTAAACTTAATAAATATTTTGTCTTGAACTTATTTTTCTGCATTATAGACGTTTGACCTTTTATATATTACAGAGGCTATGAAACAGCTTGCCACACGTCTTGAAGGCCCCTTCAACATTGAGTCTGTTGTGGACCCAATTGATGTACAGATCTCAAACGCCATTATGACTCTCCATGACAACGGGGAAGAAATCAGTGAACAGGTAAAAATTGTCATTTTTGAGAGCAACCTGGTCTCACAACTTTTGTAGGTAACCGACAATAGACAGGAAGTTGATAGATAGGCCATCAGTTATCATGGAGATGGCAGGCAGGTAGCCAATCATGATCACTGTACATATTTGTCAACAATGTAGACAGTTTAGAGTCACTTCCCTTCAATCCTTATCAGGATGTCATGGTAGTGATATGTTGTCTGTTGCCATAGTGATGGTTCTTGACAACAGAAGAAGTCTTTGAAAAGTTGTCCTTGATGTCTACACTTAGAAGTTATTACTGCTTCCCTGTATACCTTTCAACCATATGTTGTAAATGTTGTAAGGACTACACTGACTGAAAGGATATTTCCACATTCATTGATAACTAGTCCCTGTGTTAGATAAGACCTTCTTGTTGGTGTGAATATCCTCTAACTCTACAGCCTCTGTACAAATGGAGTCAGTATCTTGTCACCTAGAGTGCTGGCAATGATGTGATAAGTTCAGAACTTTGATAAGATCTTAAACTAGGTGTTAGTGTTCATTTCTTTGTAAACAAGAGCTTTGTTTTGAAAATTTTTAGTTTTTAATTTGCATTGAGTTAAACTGTAAGTTTTGCTGAATTTCTGTGTGAAAACAAAAAAGGACTTCTACAAGGAAAGAAATCTTTCATAGTTATTCTCTCCTCCTCCTGTCTTTCCTTCCCTACATTTCTCCCTTCTTCCAGTCATTCAACCTTTTTCCTCTCCCAGTTTCGTCCCTTCCCAACATTGATTCCCTTCCTCCATCTTTACTTTGGAACCTCCCTCCCCTCTTTCTTTCCTAATCTTTCTCCTTCCCATTGTCTTTATTTTCTAACCCCTTTGCCTTCCATCTTTCCTTCCTAATTTCCCACTCCTCTGAACACACCATGACCCTATCTGAAGCCTGTGGCCAATTTGTTCCAGAAAACATATGGCTAGTATTTAAGTGGGTCTGCACGGCATTGATACTGTTAACTGGATAGAGTTTCTTGTGATTTAAATATATCCATGAAAAAAACAAACAGGTCGTCAATCTCAATGACAGTTCATGCTGCTTCATCCTACCAATTTACCAGATAATATAAGAATATTAATATTGATGTTGGTAAAGGGGGGGGACCTATTAGAAATAACAAAGATAAAGGTAAGGTTTTATTTGACCCAGTTTATCAACTTAGATGAAACCTCTGCAGTAATTGATCTGTATTGATTGAAAAACATGTTTGAATTAATGTTTCCATGGGAACCTATGTTATAGGCTCTCAGCAGTTAAGTTTGATGTACTGAAATTAGACTAAGGGTCTGACATAGAAATCTTAATGTCCCTGATGTCGGAGAGATAGGGGGCAGGCTTATTACAGAGCAATTAACTAGTATTTATTGATAACTATACTAAAGAGAAGGTGTAGATGGCTTCTTATTAGATAATATAGTTGACATTTTGTATTTTCTATCCTGATTTTGAAACACAGATTAGGTTTAGGCGAGAGTTATTACAACTCTACTAAATCACACACTTTATGATCAGACTTTGAATGAAAGTTTCAACTGATGGTTCGACTAACATAGGGCATTGCTCCCGAAGTCTTAAGGCCAGCATTTAAATTCATGTAGAGAAAGTGTAATTTATCTGTAAACACAGTGTCAAGCAGTATCAGAAGATCTACTTTGAGCAGCCATTCCAACCATGTTAGGTAGATTGGGACTACATATTGGAAATATTTTACTATGAATATGACCTCTGGTGACCTTTGATTGGCGACCTTTGATTGATGACTCAAGAAAATAAATAAATTATCAGAAATGAAGTTCTGAGCTCGTAAAGTTTAATAGTAGTAGTGTTTGATGGCAGGATTTATTTAGATAATAATGGTACCTCCAGGCCTGTAGCCAGGGCTTGTTAGAGTCAGGGGGGAAGCAGGTTTACAGAGCTAATTTGAAGGATCAATGATCACTACTTTAATGAATGACCCAGGTAATTTTGAACATCTTTATCAGGGTCTGTATCAACAGTTTCGATTTTACTGTCCCATACAGAACTAATTTTGGGTCATTGTCTATATAATAATATTGATAGGTAAACTTTTGTGATGAATTTTGATATCACTCTTTGTGACTGTCAAATATTCCTGGTGAAATAAACACTTTTTTAAATGAATTAGTGGTATAAATATAGAATGGTTATAGAAGATAGGATGATTATTTGCAATAGAAATTCATTTTTCATTTTTCATTTTTTTTTATTTAGATTTTTGATAATTCCACCAACATCATGTGATTTTCCTGTTAGTTACATTCTTTACCTAATCTCAAGTTCATGATAAACCTCAAGATTCTTGGGAGGGAGGCAGAGGGGAATGGAGATGATATTTCCTACAAGTGATTACAACATCAGGAAAAATGCATGCCTAGCACCTGAACCTCAAATCATATTCCTTCTCGATTTTCTCTACCAATTTTTTCGCTAATCGCTTAACTGTAATATTTCAGATATTTGTAGCAGACTTAAAGTAGTATTTTTATGTGGTTTCAATCTCTAGCCTCCATTGCTTGTTATCTTTAAGATACCGACATGGACACATGAAGTATACTAAGATGAGGTACCCCACAGGGATTTCAATTTAATTCCATTTGCCCCCACCCCGTACTTGTAGATCTCCATCACTAGCCTGGAGCCCTGGCTGTCGGAGATCACTGCAGATAGTTCACAGTGTTATCGGTGATATATGTGCAAATCGTTCCTCATAGATTACCTGGGTGTATCACACACGATTAAGTTTTCAATTAATTTCCCCTGCTGTAGGCCCCCCTAGAAGAGTATCTGTTGGCAGGCCAGGTATTGGTGGTGTTCTATAGGGGATCAACTTGGAATTAATGTTGGCAACACACACCTCACTTTTGTTTGAGATAGACCTAATACCCTTGGTAGGTAGGTAGATCTGTATTCCTGAGAATCCATCATACCAAGATAGATAATAAGTAGATGTAATCCCTCCACACACTACCACACATTACCAAGTTCATCATAACACTAACCCCGACCCCTTCCTCTCTGTCCTACTTATCAATAGTCTACTGCCCTAAACTGATCTCTCTTGGATGGACAAAGCTACCCTTCACCCAACTCCACCGACCGAAAGTCCACTGCCCTTGCATGAAAATATTTTTTTCTCTGATGGACAAATCTAACCCCTAACCCGAACCCCAACTTGAACAACTAAAGTTTGTTTCTATAGATTGACTCCCCCACCTCCTTCATCCCCCTCCTCTCCCCTAACCTTTAACCCATTGATTACACCTTATTTTTCTTTTAGATCCTTTTACCTTTAATTACTAAACCTATTTCCTCCCCTCCTTGTTAAACTCTTCCTTCTTAAGTTTCTTTTGGAGTTAAGCTATAAAGAAATGTAGTGATCACACCTTAACAGTGACAGATGGTATTTTCCACTAACTGGTGGTTAGGGCAATGGTCAGTTTATGCTGGAGGAACATTACTGAGTAGTAAGCATGTAGGACATATCAGGCAGGCGGAGAGGTAGAATTTGTACATGTAGTGTTAACCTGTATTGCGGCTGTCATCTGTCCCATAGGGTTTATGGGATATTTGTGTGACAACTTGTAGTTTTGATTTCCTGGGGAATATAACAGAAGGTGTACAACAACTTGTTGTATTAATCATGTGTCTCTTGTAGTGTAGACTTGATAACTGTCTCGACCAGATATAAAATATAGTGTATTGAATGTTGTGGTGAGAATTTCTGGTCATCACAGCCCTACTGACACTTCCTTGATGAATGGCCAGTCTGTCAAGTGGCCCAGACAGTTGACCTCACACCCTCAGATGAACTAAGAAGGGATAGATATGTGACCCAATAATTTTATTTTCCCAGATGCCATATTATGTGAGGTATGCCCACCTTGTCCCCAAATTTATTAGAGGTCTACAGTGTTACCAATATACTGCTCTTGTCCAGTTACTTCCTGTTTTATATCAGTGTGTTACCTTGACAAGCTGTCTACTGATTTGGTTCATATTTACAACACCTACCAGAGGATGGTATTCATTTCTTCTAGATATGTTCTAGCTATCACTAACATCCTTAACATATAACAAACCTCAATAGCAACAGATAATTCATATCCTCACCTACACTGAATGAATTTTGATCTACTTTGACAAACATTCTAGAGTTCAAAATTAAAAGTCATGGGTATCCAGCTCAAAATTAAGAAAACATCTCAAAAATATTTCTCAGGGGAAAAATAAAGAAAGATCTTCAAAGTCATGAACCTCTAGTTAAGACTGTAATAATAAGTCAGCTTCAAAAAATCCAAAATGAATTCATGGATTCCTAATAAACATAGCTTGGAGATTCCTGATTGACATCCAGCTGTTACTTACCACATCAGGCTGACCACAGAGATGTATGGTCAGATGGTTTGTGTATTGACCACTTTCTCATCACCTCAAAGTACATTCCAGCTGCTAATCAGCTCTTCCATGCCTTGACCTCTTATAGACATGTATACACATGGCCTTTTCTTGACCCTTGACCTAAAAAGATATCTTTCTGAATATTATAATCCAAGAAAAAAAATCTTCAAAACAGTTACGTATTTGTAATGATAAGTATTCTATATTTTCTTCAAAAGTCTTCAATTTTTTAAATTTTATTATGAAATATTTTTGGTGTAAGTGTTATTATGAAATATTTGTTTTGTTTGCAGATTAAGCAAGGATGTAGTATGAGTCAGTTAGGTAGATCAAAGCGAGCTGCTGATTCACCACCTGCACATTCATCTGGTAACGTTGATCATCTCCCAGACAGCTTAAAAGCCAAGATTCAGGGGCAACTGGCTGCTCTTGGAGGAGATAATTTGGATGGGACATCCTATCAACAGAACAACACTGGCACTGGACATCAGCAGTATGACTATGGAAGGTATGGCAATCCCAGGAAAAAACAGAAACAGCATCGTCCCAACACTGCTGCTGGAACTAACCTTGACCGCCTTGTGAAGGATATTAAGGAAAAGGTCAAGATGGCAAAGGACTTCTGGGTACAGCTGCCGTACGCCATTTGTAATGATGAAAACATTGCTGCTCAGGCAGGCAATGATGAGGACTGCTGGAATGGACAGGACAGAGCAAGGTAATATCAGAAATTAAAGGTTATTAGAAAAAAAAATCAAGCAATGAAATGTTGGATAAATTATGATTATATATTCAAAAATGATTTGTATTTAGAATGTATTCTAGCAGATATAGAACTGAATTAAGAGTCACCAATATGTGATAATGTATGTATACAAATTTGTTCCATTGGATTGACAGGTATGTTCCTGAAGTACAGAAGGATGGCATCATCAACCAGATCAATAACCCCGAGGTGGAGGTTGATGTTAATGAGGGAAATTTTGTCATTGAACAGCAGAAAATACAGCTCAAGATCATCACCAGTAAACTTAACACTGCATTCAATGGAGAGGAGGTGGACTGGATAGATACAGGTATGTCACTCACTAAAAGGATAGAGAGTATTGACAAGGGAGATAAATCAACACAGAACAAGGGTGTGGACAAGGGGGTGGTGATTGTTTGGAGGGGGAGACAATTCTGAAAGCTTTAATGTATGTGTGAACAGGAAAGATTTCACTAAATGTAACAAGTATGTAGATAAAAGACAGATGAAATTAGAAAGAAGAACTGGATGTAAAAAAACAAGGTTAGGATAGAGGGAGGCAACTATTGATCAACATCGAATTTATTTTCCTCAATCGTCTTCAACTTAATTGCTGAAACAATGTTTCCTACAATGTAAAGTTCAGGTATTTCCAGGAAGAATAGATTTTGTGACTTATATACCATACCAGGTCACAGACAAATAAGCTTCTTATGATCTGTACAGCGAAACATCACTTGGATATTAAGGAATTGTAATCTGGAGGATTCATAGAATGTGTCTGGCTGGTAATGGTGTTAGGGAATCTCCTTTGTTGCTGTCTGTCAACAGGTCTGATTCAGCATTGACCGATAATGACCATGGCTAGCTGTGACAAAGCCTGATTAATTTTCTCTTCAACATTTCTCAGTCATCGGTAGTTCAAACTGATCTGTAGAACAGCAAGCTCAACTCACTCTCCACTCATCTGTAATTCATTGATGTAGGTCAAGAATAAAAGTACAAAATTGTAATATGCATGAATATAGGTTGGGGTCAAGAAAAAATTATATACATGTCATAAGGTCAGGGTTTAATGGTATATCAGTCTGGGGTTAAAGTTAAGAAAGAGATTAGATACTATATAAGTATGTGTTATTTATATATAGACAGGGATTTAAGCTCCTACTGGTCATCATTTGATACCAGATGTCCCTGTCTTTATATGTGGGTTTCCAAAGACAACCATGAAATCAAAGTCTGTAAAGAAAACAGTTTCAATACCATAGTCTTGTAGAGTCCAATATTGTGCCTCATATAGACAGTGATTACTCCTAAATACTGAAAAATATTTACTCTTATATACTGAAAAAGATTTATTCCTATATACTGAAAAATATTTACACCTTTATACTGAAAAATATTTACTCCTATATACTGAAAAAGATTTACACCTTTATACTGAAAAAGATTTACACCTTTATACTGAAAAAGATTTACACCTTTATACTGAAAAAGATTTATTCCTATATACTGAAAAAGATTTATATACTGAAAAAGATTTACACCTTTATACTGAAAAAGATTTACTCCTATATACTGAAAAAGATTACTCCTATATACTGAAAAAGATTTATTCCTTTATACTGATTTACACCTTTATACTGAAAAAGATTTACTCCTATATACTGAAAAAGATTTACACCTTTATACTGAAAAAGATTTATTCCTATATACTATTTATACTGAAAAAGATTTATTCCTATATACTGAAAAATATTTACTCCTATATACTGAAAAAGATTTACACCTTTATACTGAAAAAGATTTACTCCTATATATATACTGAAAAAGATTTACACCTTTATACTGAAAAAGATTTACACCATTATACTGAAAAAGATTTACACCTTTATACTGAAAAAGATTTATTCCTATATACTGAAAAATATTTACTCCTATATACTGAAAAAGATTTACTCCTATATACTGAAAAAGATTTACACCTTTATACTGAAAAACCTTTATACTGATATTACTCCTATATACTGAAAAAGATTTACACCTTTATACTGAAAAAGATTTATTCCTTTATACTGAAAAAGATTTACTCCTATATACTGAAAAAGATTTACACCTTTATACCTTTATACTGAAAAAGATTACTCCTATATACTGAAAACAGAAAAAGATTTACACCTTTATACTGAAAAAGATTTATTTATACTGAAAAAGATTTATTCCTATATACTCACCTTTATACTGAAAAAGATTTATTCCTATATACTGAAAAAAGATTTACACCTTTATACTGAAAAAGATTTATTCCTATATACTGAAAAATATTTACTCCTATATACTGAAAAAGATTTACACCTTTATACTGAAAAAGATTTACTGAAAAAGATTTACACCTTTATACTGAAAAAGATTATATACTGAAAAAGATTTACACCTTTATACTGAAAAAGATTTATTCCTATATACTGAAAAATATTTACTCCTATATACTGAAAAAGATTTACTCCTATACTGATACTGAAAAAGATTTACACCTTTATACTATACTGAAAAAGATTTACTCCTATATACTGAAAAAGATTTACTCCTATATACTGAAAAAGATTTACACCTTTATACTGAAAAAGAAAAAGATTATACTCCTATATACTGAAAAAGATTTACACCTTTATACTGAAAAAGATTTACACCTTTATACTGAAAAAGATTTACACCTTTATACTGAAAAAGATTTATTCCTATATACTGAAAAAGATTTACACCTTTATACTGAAAAAGATTTATTCCTATATACTGAAAAAAGATTTACACCTTTATACTGAAAAAGATTTATTCCTATTACTTTATAAAAATATATTATACTCCTATATACTGAAAAAGATTTATTCCTATATAAGACTTACTCCTATATGCTGAAAAAAATTCACTCCCATATGCCGAAAAAATTTTACACCTATATGCTGAAATAGATTTACTCCAATATGCAGGAAAAAATTCACACCTATATGCTGAAATAGATTTACTCCAATATGCAGGAAAAAATTCACACCTATATGCTGAAATAGATTTACTCCAATATGCAGGAAAAAATTCACACCTATATGCTGAAATAGATTTACTCCAATATGCAGGAAAAAATTCACACCTATATGCTGAAATAGATTTACTCCAATATGCAGGAAAAAATTCACACCTATATGCTGAAAAAGATTTCAGATTCTCCGATGATACACTTATGGTTTTCTTCCCATGTTTAGAGTAACAATGCCTTTCAACTTGTTACTATGCCAACCAACAGGAATTGATCATTTAGAACTAAGGTATTAAATATTGTTATCACCAATCTTATACATAGTGTTACATTTCAGTCCATTATGTAACGTTTCAGACTATTATGTAATGTTTTAGTTCATTGTGTGACGTTTCAGGCCAATTGTGTAAAATATCAGTCTATTTGTAACATATCAGTTCTCTGTATTACATTCCAGTCTGTTTGTATAACATTTCAGTCCAGTTGTATAACATTTCTGTCTATTTTGTAACATTCCACTGGCTCTGTGTTTCATCAGGTGCCTACTTCATGTTAGTTTCACAAGCACACGAATGTTCTCATTTCCTTAACTTTGATATAGATTATTCAATAATGTGTTAAAAAATGTAGATTACCTCGATTTCACTGATGAAATTAAGATTTGTTGCATATGTGAAATTAAAAAAAAAGAGAACATTATGAATTTAAAATTTCGTTTGGGACATTATAAGCTGGCAGGGATAGTGTTTGAGGAGTGTCAGTAGAAGGGTTTTATAGATAGAGAACTGTGAGAAAAGGGTGTGTCCCAGTCAGGGTAGACAGGACATGCTGGCAATCTCCAGGGGGTCATGATAACACATTCACATAAACGATGAACATGCTTTACAGGACTACATGCATGGCAACACACAAGTGTTAAAGAACACACTCCAAAGCTTTTAAGTGCAGTTGTCGGTGCACATGCATTGCATATGTTTGAAAACATGTCATCATACTTGAACATTGCACTTGAATTTATAACCTTAAGCTGTGTCTCTGCTAGTTGATTAATTCCAGGTACAAGGGACCCATATGATTGCCTTAATGTGACTAGCTTGATAATGGAACAAGTTAGGTACAGTTTAAAAATGTAATCTTTGTTGTTAGCTATTTCTTAATTATATATCCCGCTGTCCTCTAACAAATGTCTGCTTATTTTTCATGACTATGATTCCTGGTACCGCATTCTTATAAACCATTGACATTTGGCTATGTAGTAAGAAACTTGACTTACTGCTGGAAGACATTTAAGGTCTGCTGCTTAAAACGTCAGATTTTTTGTGGAATCATAAGAAATTTGGGGGTCAGAGCGGGGGAAATATAAGATGAACACATTTCTTCAATCCTAAAAAAAAAGAAAAAAGACATATTGGGGTGGAAGTTGTAGTTTTTGTGTTTTCTGGTAAAATAACTACCGCATTAGGTCTTAAGGATGATGTTGAAAATATTAAGAATTGATGAAGTAGGTCATAGTTAAATTGATTAAGTAGGCCATAGTTAAATTGATTAAGTAGGTCATAGTTAAATTGATTAAGTAGGTCATAGTAAAATTGATTAAGTAGGTCATAGTTAAATTGATCAAGTAGGTCATAGTTACATAATTTATAACTGGTATATTTTTATATCATATAGATTATGAAATAATCTAATAACACATTAACCATCTTTGAACTATATGGACAACATCGATTTCAATGATCAGAACCCTGGCAAATTGCTGACCCTTCAGAACCCTGGAAAAAAAATGCTAAGCCTGCAAGACCTTATGACAGCCTGGTCACAGTACCCCAAATTAAATCATCTTTTTCTTGGGTACCACTTATCGGAATTTGATAAGATTGGGTAGCAATGATACCAGGCAGGTGGGGATGATGGTATATTCTCCACAAAGTGTAGACTGAACTTCCTGTGGAAGGAGATTGTGCAAGGGGAGGGGGACTAAGGGGTCAGCCAGAAATTTGTCAGATATAATCTTATCAATTTACTTGGTATATCAGTTTTGGTAATAGACACTAGTACCTTGCTATATGTGGTATAGTTTATATATATTACGGTAGTGGGTAGTACCTTGCTGTATGTGGTATAGTTTATATATATTACGGTTAGGGGTAGTACCTTGATGTATGTGGTATAGTTTATATATATTACGGTAACGGGTAGTACCTTGATGTATGTGGTATAGTTTATATATACTACGGTTAGGGGTAGTACCTTGATGTATGTGGTATACTTTATATACATTACGGTTAGGGGTAGTACCTTGATGTATGTGGTATACTTTATATATATTACGGTAACGGGTAGTACCTTGATGTATGTGGTATACTTTATATATATTACGGTAACAAGTAGTACCTTGATGTATGTGGTATACTTTATATATATTACGGTAACGGGTAGTACCTTGATGTATGTGGTATACTTTATATACATTACGTTAACAGGTAGTACCTCGATGTATGTGGTATACTTTATATACATTACGGTAACGGGTAGTACCTTGATGTATGTGGTATACTTTTTATATATTACGGTAAATAGATACTGGTGCTTTCCCATACTTGGTATAGTTTGTGCATATTGGCAACAGATAATGATACCTTAACAGCATATGCTATCAGATTCCATGTCAGTTCCATTACCAGCTTGTCTAGGGGCATACAATTAGATTTTAGGGTATTTAATCAGAAGATATGAAAATTATACCTACAGACATAGATAACCTAATTGAGTAAGTGTGAGGAGTAGATAGAGAGCCACTGACATTCCGATCAACTGATACCATGAGAAACGAGACGGAACTCATTTACGCAATACATCATTACCTACAGAGTTTTTAGGAGAAAATGATACCCTTAACTTTCGTGATCACTTCGACTCGTTTTTCAAGGAACTGCCATGTTATTGTCAAAGATATGTTCCTACCATCTCACTTCAGACTCAACAAGTTTTTTTTTTTTCTTTTTTACATAATTTGTTTTTTGTACTCCTGGTGCGTTACCCTGTAATAAAGTTTGTAACTTGTCCGTCTGTCATCCAACCCAATGTATTTTCTATCCATCAGCCAATCAAGTGTAACCTGTCTTTCCATCAGCCAATCAAATTACAGTTTTATTACCTGAAGACAGATGGATGAATGGTTGATACTGACTGAGTTTTTAGGGATGGCTAATGTGTTAGTGACTTGAACAAACTTAAGTGGAAGCAATTTGAGAATTTGTTTTTTAGTCAGACAAAGGTGGCAAAGAATTTGTTTTTTAGTCAGGCAAAGGTAGCAAAGAATTTGTTTTTTAGTCAGGCAAATGTCAGTAGTCTTTGAACTTAGCAGGATAAGGCATTCTTAACATAAAATTTCAGCTATAAAAGATACCCAAATTATTTTGGTCTTTTACTGAAAACACTGTAGAATGAATTTCCTCAAACAAAAGGTGTGAAGTTGATGTTATCAACAAGTTTGTCACAGAGAGAAACAGACAGATAGGGACAGACAGCTGGACAGACAGACAAAGTGTGTATATATGTATGTGTGTGTATGTATGTGTACTGGACAGATGAAATTCGATAGGCTCATATGATTATGAAATTATCCTGTACTGTATTGGTACAGACTAGGAGATTCTGTCTCAATCTTGAGAAAACCATTACAGATAAGAACGGAATGAGGCTGGAGATTGTCCTCTGGTTTGATTTACTGCCAGTCCAGTAACTAGCGAGAACAAGCAATCTTAACTTGTTACACAGTATCAGTAAAATGGGCTGGAGTTGATCACATCTTCTAGTTCTCTCTGGTGTCTATCTATAGAATGATCTTGTTTGTATATATAGTCGTGTCTAGCGTGAATTCTCAGGTACTCTCCTGGATTGATAACCAGGTAGACTTGAGAGCTTGTCTGATGAAACGCTAGTGTTGAAAGTTTCTTAACAGAAATATCAAAATCTGATCATTTATACATCAAATCTTCACCATCAAATGACATCAAAAGAATCATCAAATTACATAACTTGTTATCTTTTTAAACTGATTGTGTGAACATTTTTATCATTAAAAAGATATGAAGAGAATTAAGAGTGTCTTTGATGATTTTTCTAATGCACTATTGAAAGAGACTGGTTATCTCAAGGGCATATCCAGATTTTTTAAAGATGTTTCCCTAAATACAAGTTTAAAAGCCCTAAGGTGTCCGTTTTGTGGATGACTTCATAGTTGTTTTGTTTGTCTTTATTTGTGTGTGTTGTGATTTTTACTTCGCTTGTTGTTTCAGAAATTGATGTAGGGTACAGTAGTTACTCGAGTGGTATGGGCAGTGGAGATGACTACAACATAGAGGGCAGTGGAGTTGGTAGTGGTGATGGAGGTAGTGGCTCTGGAGACGGATGGACTGGTGATGACGAAGATGGGGGACCACACAGACCAAATAAAGGCAGGCGCCCAGGAAAAGGCGGAAACGGTGGTTCAAAAGGATCAGGCAGGGACAAATCACATATAGACGACAGCTTCTTCATTGGACCAGAATACGGTGTCGACACAAATCCTCGATACGACAAGCCAACACAAACCAGAGTGACCCCATCCTCTACAGGAGCAGCCGCACCACAAACATCAGTGTCTTGGACGTGCTTGTCTTTACTGCTTATTACAGTGATAAAAACACTTACAGATATTATGCTTTGAACATAAGGGGGAAAAATAGTTAGGAAATACAAAGACAAGAAATATTTGAAGTGATATGTACGATAAGAGATATCGTGATCTAATATGTTACGTAGAGAAATGCTGTTCGAGTCCCGGTCTCATGGAAACTTGGCAGGGATATATGAATTACCTTACCAGATGGGCATATCAACTGGTACACTAGCCAATCATCTTTGTACATAGGATCATGTGATATATATGTATGTTGCAGACATGTGACATTGTCATATCCACATCTACATGGACATAGTTCCCATACAGATGTGATCACCATCATTTAATAATAGCCCTTACGTTTTTCTGTTGAAATTACGATTTGTCACTGTACAGTGACAGTCACTATGTTACCAAAAATGTCATTGGCCAGTTCAGTTTGTAATGGTCTATATATAGCACCCAAACATTTACACATAAAAAATATATATAAGAATATTTACATATATATCTTATTATGTTAATATTGGTTATCAAGGCAACAGAAAATTTTGTCCAAGCTTCGGTCATCAGGCAAGTGTTGAAGTATATTGTAACTGTCAAGTTTGAATTATTATTTTTTGTAAAGAGGTGGAATTTAAGTATGTATTAGCAATGATTTTAGATTTTATAACTGTATCAAAGATTATCTACCTAGAACAATGCCTGTCGCCAACGATTGATGCAAACAACATCTTGTTGCAACAGGGTCTATAGCTTCGCAAAGCTCATTCTCCCTATGTCAAACCACAAGCTGGCCAGTTGAGTGTTTTAAAGTGATCACATCGCAAACTACTGAAATAGAATTTACCTCTGATGAAAAGAGGATGACTAGTCATGTGACTAAAATAATTCTATATATAGAATACAGAACATGTGACCAGTGTACATCAGGACATGTATGTGAATTCTGTGTTAGTGGTGACTATTGAAGAGTGTTGAACATGTCCCATAACCAGTATTCTGGACAAGTCAATCAAATGAAGGCTCAGTAATGACAGTTTGGAGATGTCATTGTGGATGTGAAATTATTAGATGTAGAGGAGGCCTAATTTTGAAGATAGCAATTGACTTTCAAGACATTTGAATATGTACAGTGTATATAAAGATAGATCTGGTCCTGGAATTAACCTCATGGAAAAATATCAAGGTAATTCAATTCAACTCTTGCTTATGAATCTTGTTTACAGAAACACTTGACACATGCCATTCATATCAAGAGTTTGTGCTGCCCTGATGCTGTAGAGGTTGTGGGCCTTAACAACCAGATAGGTTGCTAAGGAATTATTAGATGTGTGACGCTAATACTGTAAGTGCTAGCTGTGTTTATTATTAAGGGTAAGTTGTATTGGGAAGACATCATATGATGATAACTATAGGTGAGATGGTTGTATATAGAGTGTTGTTCAAATTGTTTCTTTGTGTGTATAATTTCATAACTATACCATTTTGCCAAATTTTTTTCGTACAAAAATGTGTTATGAAGTTCATTTGTATAATTATCCTTATTTTAATTATTAATGAAAAGCTGATAATTTTAATTATTATGTGTACATGAAGTTTGTAACTTGTCAGTAACAATACTGATTTTATTTATGTAATTAAATACAGTTGTCTACGAGGAATACCGGTTGTCAAATACTTTTTTTCGTAGCATTTCTGCAAATATTTTGATAATTTTATTCTGATGGCTTCTTTACCAGATTTTAGCCAAAAAACAATTTCTGTTTTAGAATATTTTGTGATAGTGAGGTAAGACTTGTGATAATAACCTAGATATTTGATGTAGGATGGCATCATTCATACACAATGTTAGACAATCAAAGTCACTACCATATGTTTAGGACAGAAAACCAAAATCATTTATGATATAGAATTTGATTTCTGTAATTATTCGGTCAACTGAAACAAAATAATTTGATATTTACCCAATCAAAACTGGTTTTATATAACTGCGTGGAACATTCTGATGTGAGGTTTTGATATATAAATAGGGTTGATTGTAGGTTTCATTTTGATATAATAACATGTTGGATATTAGTAATTCATCTCCTTTTGCAGAATTGGTGTGAAATTGTAAAATTGAAAATGAGGCAGACACTGTTCAACATTTCCTTATTCATGTCATAAGCCTAAAGCATTGCTAGCCAGAACTATATGCATTAGTATACAGATGTGTCCATCTGCTTCAAATCAAACTGTTAATATTATCCTCTTTAATTAACTGGATCTGGTGACACGTTAAGGGATATGTTTTGATGGCCTAGTTCTGAACGCAGAGGGTGAGATGCCCTCAAAACTTGCTTCTTTTTTTTTTTTTGAAAAACATACACATATATTATAATTGTTTGGAATATTAAATGGTCTCCAGAGCATGATCCCAGATGTAGGATGTAGCGTCATGTTGTAGAATTGTGACGGAAAAGTTTGATTTGAATCAAATTTGACAGGTGTGTTATCATTTCATCCTATGTTTTCTCACACTGAATTAGTATATAAGCTCAGGGTCTTTGAATTTGTTCTCTTTTGTTTTGAAAATGTTTGGCCGATTTTGTTTCACAACTTATTACTTGCAAAGGTACAATGCATATAAACAAAACAGTTGTGCAGTTGGTCAGTGAGACTTCTGTTGTTTACACTATATTGACAGTTGATCTGTTTGTTTCTGTTGTAAAATGTGGAGTATTCAGACTTAGATATTGAAAGATACATCAGTGAATATGTTGTACATTCATAAACAGACTCTTTCCCTGAGCAAATGTGACCTGGAAATGTAGATTTCTGTTGCTGATTTTCATTGTAACTAACACATGAGGGATAACACAGCGTTGTAGTAAGAATCACCCTACGATGTCTCTTTAGACTGTTTTAGTTGTGATCAATGTTGATCCCATGAGTACCTGTATATATATCAGATAGTAATCACTGGTAACAAGTTCACCCATATCTGTTCAGTAGGTTTCCAGATCAATGCTACTTTGTCTTAAAATAAGCCCACCACCTGGCTTATGGTAATCATTTTGTAAGTTGACTTCTAACAGGACAAATATGGTTCTTAACAAATGAAACAGTGCTTGGATGGACTTCACAGCCAATCAAGTTAATGAATGAGTGATGACCTCTGTAGTGTGGGTAGTCACGTTTGCAGATGTTGACATTTATTGCTGGTTTTAATACTGTCTCCTTACATAATCTCTTACTGGGAGGAAAAAAAATAAACACGTTTTTTTGTCTTTTCTGCATACAACTTGAAGTTGTCATTGAATATTTAGACCAATCAAAACAAGGTTTATTATATTCAGAATAAAAGCTGTGTTTGTAATGGTTAATTTGTTTATTTATTCCTTTTAGCATTTTGAGATGTTTCTAATGATCAGTTTCTGGAAGAAGTTTAGTAAATGATTTTGATATTTAATTGGTCCCTCTTAGGGATCTGAATGGTATCAACGTGTCAAATTCAGAAATCCAGAAAGGAGAGTTTAGGGGTAGGATGATTTAGGAAAAATTAGTGAAAGAAACTGCCTCCGTATGGATAATATGTGGAAGTCTTTGGCATATCCATGAGGTCAATTATGATAGTAACCTCTAACGGTTAGATCAAAGTTAATTTGGCTATGTGATGTGCGACATGTGTTGGATATGACCTTACATATGACCTTACGTCAGACAGGACTTATAACTTGTGTGTGAATTGTATTGAAGTATGACGTTGTACACCTTTGTATCTCACTGAAGTGTTTTTGTGTTGACCACAGCAGGAAACAGGTGTGTTTGTATTAGCGGTCTGTGTTGACTTGTAGAGAACTTTGCACCTTTTACTACCGTTACAGATGCAACATGCACACTGCAGTCTCCTTGGTACATCAGCATGATTTTACTGGTTGTAATATTTTGTTTTTTATCACAAAGTTATAAATCTGTCCTAGTGCTTATTCAGGTATCTTAATCAGGAATATGTGCAGGTGTCTCAACATACTCCTACATCTTCTACAGGTATCCAAAACTTTCCCAGGTATATTTGGTGTTGTAAAGGTATCTTGCATCTGTAAGTGATACAACCTACTTTGGAGTCTTGTGTGTGTCAAAACTTAAAAGATATCAGGGTAGTTTCGCTTATTAACACTGTAAGAAATTAAATGTTTTAAGTGTTTTTGAAGCACTTCATTTTAACATTGAATTTCCTTGCAATATATTTGGTAAGGATGAGAAATTTTACAATTTGCACTTTTTTTTCAATGTAAAAGTTTTAATAAATATACAGGTTTGAAATTTTGGTAAAGTTTTTTTTTTTTATTTTTTTTAGATGTGATGCATTTTGTTTTGGGATAGGAATTAATAATTAGAAAAAAAATTTTTTTTTGAAAAGGTGCGGGTTTAAAAAATGTTCCAAGCAGAGGCTAATACATTGTCCTATTTTTTTCTTTGAAAAACTGCTGTTTTTCTTTTTGTTTTAAGGTATATATATATATGAACGGTTGAACTGTGTAATCATTCAGCAGATTATTGAAAAGTTATTTTTTATAGTGCAAAAATGTTTTTCGTTTCAATTTTTTTTTGTCAGAATATATCACCCAGTCAGCATTGAGTTGGTTTCAGAATCGTGTTATTTGTGTTTGTTTATTATTATTATTAGGCCTGTGTGGCTTGTTAATGATTCGTTTTATTGAAACCTATTTTACTGACTTACATTTGAGATAATAACTGTACTTCTTAATTATTCAGTTGTGCTATATATATGTATTATATAGATTTAAAATCAGTTTTCATGACTGTTTTTAACTAAAATGCACACACATTAGACATTATTATTGGAGAAATTTCCAAATTTATTTTAAGTTGATAAAAAGTATGGAAAGCAATAGATTTTTTTTAAATTTTGAAACTAGAATTTTTGTAAAATTAAAAAAGATTTTATTTTAATCCTTTAAAAGCATGGCACGCTTTCTTGTGTGTAATATGTCGTGTGTTAATCATGAATGTATGGTTGTATGTCTTTGTTGATATATTTTTCCAAGCTTTCTAGATTGTATTTATAATCAAAATTATGTCAAGTATGGAAACATATCGTTGCAAGTCGAGCACCAGTTCTAACAAAGTGCAACTGTAATTGTACATGGTATTTAACGTGTTTTCAGCTAAACACAGATAAATACAGTGATCTGTGGTTTTTGTACATTTTTTCCCTGTTCATCAACATTTTCTCATTTCAATGTTGACATGATCACTCTATCTCTGTACAGGGGATGCCTGGAACATATGTAGTTTGCTGTACAAAAGTCAGATTTATCGTTTGGAGTTTAATTGATCAAAGAGATATGATAAGTACACCTTGTGTGATTAAATTGTGGTAGAATTACTCCCTCTTGATCAGGTGTAATGTCAACTGATTCAGCAATTTCAAATAATCACAAAAGCATTAACGATAATAAGGCAATCCGCATCATAAAGGTAATATTGAGCCTGTATATTTATACTACATTTCATTTCAAATTGATTTACAGCAAAATTACAAAGTATGTTGTTTGAATTTTACCTGTTTTTTCAATTTTCAATTCTAGATATTGAATTTGGTTTAAACAAAATTTAAAACTATGATTTGGCTTCATTGGAAAACAGATTTTGAATTGAGAAGATATTTATTATATTTAACCAATAGAATTATAAAGATATTGACTGTGATAGTTGTCTGTCGATAGAAACTTATTTTGAGATGTCCCCCTAGAACAGACGTATTTCGAGATGCCCCCTGTACTGTCATCCATAGCTCTCATGGTTAGTCACATCAGAAAGACATGTTACTCTAACTCAATGCTCCTCCGATAGATTTCATAATACGAGGAAACTATTTTATTGAAATAAAAATTTATACACTGTGATAAACTTGTTGTGTTTTGATTGCCATTATTCTACCTTCCACCGAGGTAAAGGTGATATATATAGTAATAACTTTGTGTGTACATTGTTGACTACTGGGTGTACATAGCTCATTGTCAAAATTAATTAAAACATTACCCCATGCTTACCCCAAAAAGGTCTACAAATGATTAGACTGTGGCGGTCATCGGGCAAGGTTAAAGGTCAAAGGTCACCCTCGGCGACTTTTGAAGTAAAACATTTGTGAAACCCTCAAAAGTTTTACTTCGTATCCACACTAAATCATTACATGATCTACTTTAACACCAGATTAGATTTGGTGTACATCGAAAAAAGATGAGAGATTTAGGGGTATTTCAATGTGAGATCTTGCTCACTTTGTTTTTATTTTTCACTTTCAACAAAATAATGCAGTGTCTGATATAAGACGATTCCACCTTGGTGATGAAATGACTATCTTGGTTACAAAGTGATGCAGTTTTACTTATAAAACATCCCTGATGTGGTAACAAAGTAATTCAACTTCAGTTTCTTCATCACCATGTTTCACCAGGTAAAACAAAAACTTTTGAAAGATGCCATGGAATTTTAAATTTGAAAAAACCTTCCTTGAATTTCATCGAAACCTTTCGCAAACCTGAAAAATTCTACATTTTTGCCCAAATTATGTTTAATAAAGATCTCATTCACTTATGCTTTATTTTGTTGATAGATCTTGCTCGAGAAACTCACTGAACTAAATATTTCCATTGATCTAAGCATCACTGAGAAGTCTTAGGACCTCAAATTAACTGTATGATGCAGCATCACTGACGAGTCCTAGGACCACGAATTAACTATATGATGCAGCATCACTGACAAGTCCTAGGACCACGAATTAACTATATGATGCAGCATCACTAACCTAGATGCAGCATCATCACTTAGGACCACGAATTAGTAAGCCATCACTTCCACATTGGTTGGTTTTGAATGAGATGTTACAAATCCTGACCAAGATGCTAAATACTACTATCCATGGTTTTTCTTTACGCAACATTACAACAAATCTTAGAGAAAAAGTGGTTGTGTTCTGACAGGAATTAAATTCAATCCTTCAGAATGATTATCTGAATTAAAGATCAGAAATGATAATCAGTGGGAAGGCAAAAAGGCTGAAATTTCGACTTTTGAGTCCTCTGGGAAATTTTGAAATGGCTGCAAATGTTTAGCTTTGTGAAGAAGCATGCTAAGATATGAGAGTGACAGGAACCTTGTAGATAATGCATGTTTGCACAAGTCACGCCAACCCTTTTCTAAAAAAGGAAATACAAACCTAACAAATGTTAAATATTTCTATAATTTATGACACAGGAAGTCCAGAAATTATCTCAATTTCAGTATTATAATAATACTGTTGAAGAGCTTTGTACAAAGAGAGATAACTCCTTGTAGTGTGCTGGAAAAATAAAAGCATTGAATTAATTTCCATGCTAGAAAATAGCGTTACTGTATAGAGCAAGAAAAACCAAGATATTTGGTGCTGAAAGTGGCCCCTTTCTTCTGTCTTACAGACACAACACTAAATGGTGGGAGTTTATCTTAATTCAAGTCTTACCATCATTTATAAACATCAATCAGTGAAATCTTACTATTGGTAACAAGCCCTAGACAGTTGAGGGTTTCATGAGATATCTTATACACAATGTTTTTATTTCATAAGTTGTCTAGTGTGACCTTTGACCTTAATCTTGACCAATAACCACCACAAATCTGAATTGAATTCACTGGAGTATAGATGCAGTCTTGTCCGTAGACAATATCATGACATCATTTCAGCGCCATGTTGGTCATTATGTCAACGCTTTTCACAACCAATCAGATGACATGCTGTACACCTTTATGTTTATCACTTAGCTGATTACGATTTTCAAAAGGCTCTCCACTATGTAAATAGACATCGAGGAAAACAACTTTATATTTGGAAAAAAAAATATATATATGAAATATTTTATACAGCATCTAAGAAACACTATATACCTATATACCCCCTAAAGAATTGGTAAGATAAATACAACAGACGCTTACAAAGATATATACTCGGATTAGGTGACGGAATATGTGATTTCATTTGATATCTCGTATCCAGGCTATTTATTTCAAAAGCAGTTTGTACAAAACTGACCCTTTAACCTTGACCACTAACTATCTATTCTTGTGTAGAAGCTGACACATTCTGATAGTAAAAATTTTGCAGAAAAAAACAAAACCATCCATAAAGATTACGTCATATTTTAATAATTATTAATGCATAATTATACATATCACAATTAATTATGTCTTTAAAACATTGCATTGGGATTAAGGAGTATTTTATCTACATGTACTACATCCTTCTTGACAATTCTATTTCCCAAGGTGAAATTAAAAATCTACTATAATTCACCACTAAGTTTTTTTAAAGTATAGAATTGAATATTTTATTCCATTTTCATCACAAATTTCTGAATAAAGAGTTACACCCATAATGAAAACTTCAGACATAAAAAATAAATGGCCTGATAAGTAAGATATTATATATAACTCTTCATTCTCCACACAAATCACAGGTATATTGTGAGAGAGTGAAAGGTAGCATACACCCTTAACACAAATAATAGGTAAAAGTGAAGGTAAACAAGTAATATATCAAAGTAAATTCTTCACAAACAACCTGATAAGCCTCTTTTTGGATTTCCCATCCCAACCCTTCTTCCTAATTCCAGTATAAATGTCCTTAATTCCACTCCCATCCACCCTACCCTAACACAAAACTCCAACCTAATGCAATGTTATAAAGATGCGGGCAATGGAAGCAGGGATAAGTATATACAGAGTAATGAGAAAGATGGTAGAATTACAATGTAAACGACAAGATACCCACCAATAGTCAGTACAGGCTCGTACATACCAATTAGGGTATGACCATACATGGCAAATACTATATATACAAAATAGAATTCTTCATAACTCAAGATTACTGGCAGCTGATGTAAATATACACAATTTAATAATTTAACAACAAACCATAGCATCACATACACTGTGTTCTAATTACTACTAACCACTAAAATTGTGATAAAATGTCACACCAACCAGTCAAACTAAATAACAATGTTCTACCTTTTAGGTAAAAACAATAATATATTCTTAAAAATATCTCTTTTTAATTATACAAGTTTACACAAATATTTAAATGAGATGAATATTAATGAACTTATTGCCAGTTATAAATCAATATTGCAGGGTATCAGACATCTGTTTATGACTTGCACAATACAACTTAAATTTCTCAACCTCAAATCTGTTCTCTTTATGTACGAACTATGACCTATACTGATCTTAGAATAAATTAACCTTTGACCTTCCCTAGCTACATATTATTTCAAGTTAATTTTCAAACAAGTTCTTGAACATTTGGTCTTGTGAAGATTGTACTTATGCAAAAGGAGTTATACAGCACTAAATATATATGATACTTCTTGAACTATGACCTTACATAATTAAATGAACCCTGACCTTTTGATTTTCACTGAACGGATATTGATTCTACATTACATATTTGCAAATATTGTTTGTGATATAAAAATGAACAGGTATTCACATTCACCTAACCATGAATATCTAAGTCTGTGATATCACACAGTGTAATCATATACAAGTACACTAATTATCCATATTATACACAATATATAGTTTTCTTTGATTCCCAAGTCTGATTATATTGTCATACTTTACGACATTTCTGGTGAAATATATTTCTAAAATATCTATCAGATCAAATCATTATGATAAATGGGGAAGGACTGTCGAACAAATACAATTGTTGGCCAGCACTTCACATCTGGTTCAGACCCTCAATCTCAATTCTCCGGCCATCCTTGCCTGGTTTAATCAAAATCAACTCCACAAACTGTTATAGCAAATGTTATCGGTTATGGGTAATGTTCATTTTGAGAAGGATATTAAAAATATTTTCATCAGAATATTTTTCTACCAATTTTTTTCCACATGACCATTTTGGAACTCATTATATGTAATTCAGGCACAAGTTTCAATTTTTAAGAAAAAGAAGAAAAGAAATATAAATGATTTTTTATACAATATTTGTCTCCTAGCAACATTTTTGTTTAGAAATGCTGAAGAGGAAAGTATCAGTTGGAAATAATTGTTATTTTTTCATCTTCTTGTAATACAGATCGATAAAAAAAAAAAAACAATGTAAAATATTTCAAAGCCACAGAAATTCAACCTTCTTTAAGAAATATAATACAACTCACATGTATTTTAATAGAACACTAATTAAAAAAAATATTAATACATCAATTTGCATAAACATAGATAGATACAAACCTAGAACCTACATAACAGATCACCAGAAGATAGAAATGTAATTCAAATTTGTCAGATACAGCCTTTAAGGATCAATATCTATTCTTCAACAGAAGTAGATAGGTATTCAATTTTATAAATCATGAGAGTTAACGAGGTAAAACATAAAGGAATACAACTAGTGATCCTGATATCTGAACACCTGATCATCTCACTTGAAACCAAACAATGCCCTCTCATTTATCTTATTTCTATTTAAACAAATATTAATTTTCTGAAATGCAAAGAATTAACATGATGCATTTTCCACCTATAATTATCAGTGACGATAAGTGGAGATTGTACAAACATATATCATGAAATGGATTGAATGGGAAGTGAATTAGATGGGCGACTCTCAACAAGTCTTCAAGTATTGTACAGCCCAGATCAGGAGGTTGGAATCTATCACAAGATATTCTTAATGATGCTATTATGTCAAAATAATGAATATAAATGTTTAACACTGAAAAAGGCACATCTCATACAAAAAATCAGGTCATTCCTTACATCGCTGTTACAAAATTGACTGCTCTAAAGGACAGTTCTTTTAAAATCACATTGCTCCGACAGATATTTCATCACTAAAAACACTTGTAATTAGAAAAAAATTATCATTTCTGATGAAAGGTCTGCCTAAATCAAATCTAGACTTTATCTGTAAAAAAGTTTTAAAATTTCCATAATAATTTTTAATATGTTCCCTAAGGTGATAAGCCTTGACACCGGTATGAAGAGGACGGGGATTTTCAATACTTGGTACTTCCAAATACAGATTCAGGGCCTGAATGATCTTAGTAAGACACATTCAATGAGAATCAGAAATTAAAATTCAGAGCCTGTGAAGTTCTTTGTAATGGAGTATCAGGGCCAGAGTCATGCTCAGAAATAAAAATACTGAAACTGCATGATTGGAAAAATCTGCAATATAGATTCAAAAGCTGAAGAATACTCGTAATAAGTTTCAGGTCCTGTGGGATATTCTGAAATACATAATCAGGGCCTCTTGGATACTTTAGATACATGGAAGACAAGTTATTCTATAAAACACAGCCACATAATCAACAACAAGCACTCCATTCATATATCAGTGATGAGAAATGATTCCGCGGTTTGAGATGGTCAGTCATTTTAAACAACAACAACAAAGTGTTAGAGAACTTGGTTAAGTGAGAATGCAGACAGACTGAAGATGAAATGAATATTTGTGATGAATGAGTAACAGAACAACTCCTAAGTAAAGTAATCCCACCTCCGGGATGGAGTGAACAGAGAGGTTACTGCTGGAGTGACAGTGTGACTCCTCAAGTGAGTGACCATCTAACTGTAACTCCAGGATAGAGAGAAGGTTTGACTCCTGGAGAGAGAGAAGGCCTTACAATTGGAGAGGGAGAAGGTCTAACTCCAGGATAGAGAGGTTCTAATTACTGGATAGAGAGAAGGTTTCACTCCTGGAGAGAGAGAAGGCTCCACTCCTGGAGAGAGAGAAGGTTTCACTCCTGGAGAGAGAGAGAAGGCTCCACCCCTGGAGACAGAGAAGATTCCACTCCTGAAGAGAGAGAACGCTCCACTCCTGGAGAGAGAAAAGATTTCACTCCTGGAGAGAGAGAGAAGGCTCCACTCCTGGAGAGAGAAAAGATTTCACTCCTGGAGAGAGAGAGAAGGCTCCACTCCTGGAGAGAGAGAAGATTTCCCTCCTAGAGAGAGAGAGAGAGAAGGCTCCACCCCTGGAGAAGGAGAGTATTTTGGATAGTGTTCTGAGAGCTTCAAAACGGATTTACTGGACAGAATCATAAATAAAATTGCATACAATCAATAACACACAAATAACTTTTCAGGTCAACTAGTTTGAATACAAACTTCTGAAAGTAAACTGCAAATAACCTAAACTTTCAAACACAGATAGTCTTCATTAAATAACAGGAAAAATTATGAATTAATATTTATACTTCAAATGATTTTCAATAGAAAACCACATAATTATTTTTTGTTTTATATTTTATAATGTAAAGCTAGCCAAAAACATCAAAATTAATATAAGAACAATTTCTAAAAAGTTGAACACTGCTGTACATATATCTATGACTGGAGCCCAGTGTAAACTGATGACATCTCCAATGCCAGGAAGAGCAGACAACTCTGTTATGCACATTACAAAACAATGCAATATCTGAACAACTTGGTAATACAAACATGTACTTATTTTGCATCTTCCCATTTGATCAGCACAACTATTTTATTCCGAAGGAATGGCACAGTCTAACTGATCTAATGGAAAGCAAATATGTACCTGATGCTACGGTAACAGGAAGCCAGGGGAGACAACTATATCTAAGTGATAAAAAATACAGAGAAAAAGTTTACTATCACATTTAATTGAGTAATTTAAGGGTTGAGGTAAAAGTTAGACACAGAATAATAAACTGATTGCATAAAAAACATGTGCAGTAATTCATAAATAATCACAATGTAAGGTAGTATTGTCTAAACAATTTTGATGATCAGTTCTCCATCATCTAAACCAGAGAAAAAGTGGAACCACCATACCGTGAAACAAACAAACTTTTCCAAACTGATTTAAATAAGAGTAAAAAATCCTAGTTTTCAAAGTTCTGTGTACAATAATCTAAAAGCAAATTTCTGATAGTGAAATTGAATCCATGATTAGAAAGATCACACTGGATCTATGCCTAATCTTATAAATGATTTCACAAACAAAAAAAGTTGAGTAGTTACATAATATCTATAGGTCAGCAGTAGGTTAAGAACAGATGATATACGTATACAGTGTCAGTGTTAAATGTGAATGTTTATATTCAGCAAATATTTCCATGTAGACCAAAGCAAACATTCTGTACGACAAGCCTTTCTAACACGTTTCATTTATCCACACACTCAATATCCACTTAACACAGCCTTCACAGTTTTCAAGCTAACATTATTTGCAAACATCAAAGCCACAGTCAAATACCTATAACATGTACAACATTTCTATAATTATAGCTTTTAAATGTTATCAAATCATGTTACCATGGCAACTTTATAATCCAACTGAAATCTTGTATACAAGATTCATACATCTGATTGGTTAATTCTGTTAGTAGGCTATAACCTGATTGGCTGGTTAAATATTTCTGTCCTGCAATTGGCTAACTCTTTGTTCCTGACTCCGGTTTAATAAATTTGTATATTTTCATTGGCTGTCAATGAACAGTTACTATTTTGTCTGACATTACAAACTCTACCACAGATCCACTGTCAAATTTGTCTCTAGAGAAAGTAAAATTTTACTGTCAGACTAAACAACTGTTCTTACAGATTCAAGTCTATCTTAAGTAGTTTACCGCTCTACTGTAACAGATATGCAGCATTCAGGAGTCAAATTCAATTCATCATGAATTACTTTTCATGAAGTCTGAAACACTTCGGTGGGAAATTATTTTCAATAGATGCTATTAAGTGCAAGTTGACCTCCGATGTGAAGCGTGACCTTTGTTGTCATGGTAACATATCCTTAGTCATGCAGAACTAGTACTTGAGGTTGTGCTGACAATGTTGAATACAGTCATGGATCCCCGCTGCGACAGTGATCCTGCTTCAGTATTGGTTAGGATCTACAAAGGTCAGAAGAGATCAAGTTTAACAAAACTGTAATTTGAGAGTTTAGAGCACTTAAAAATCAGAAGTATTTGTTTCTCTTTGCTCCTACAAAGAAATTATGATTAAAAACATGAATGATGTAGTAACATCTTCCTAAAAGGAACAAAGGTAACTTCCTAATAAAATTTCACGAAGATCCATGCACAACTTGTCACAAAGAGATCTTCCTCACAAAATTTCTCAAAGATCCATTCAGGACTTGTCACGAAGGGGTTTTCCTTACAAAAGGATGGATGGACAGATGTATGGACGGACAGATTGACAACAGACCAGTGATAAATGGTGATTTGATCTGGCCACCATCATCGGATTGTAAGCTAAAACCTTACATTCATGAATTTGTACATTATTTAATGGATGTTTTAGATATATTACATATTATAAAAATAAAAACAAAAATTATTGTACCAGAAAATGATGAAACCTTTACATCTATACAAAAAGTGTATATAAATCTTAATGTTTCACAGCACATCATGCTAAATATACAGATTCATACCATTCAGGTGATCTTATTCTAAACATCACTACATCGTGGTGAGTCAGCTGGAAAAAATATCATTCCACAGTTACAATGATTTTCATTTCACCACAAGTTAGTTCAATCTATTATAATATTAGCTATAACATACAGGTACATCATCTTAATACTGCAACTAATTTTATTTTCGATTTTTTTTGTTGTTTTTTTACGTTTTCTTTGTCTATATATATATATATATTGTCAATCAACAAGTCTGTCACATGAGTCATAAGCTTTGATTTCACTTCAAGCTTTCAGTAAATCTTTGAAAATTTGGACAATCGAAAATAAATCATCATTACAGTAAAGTCATCCCAAAATAGATTCCAAGTAAGTAAACAAACCAAAATACAGTGAATGGCTAACTAAAGGATCAAACAGTGATTTATTCAGGCTTGTAAAATAAATTTCTAAAGACAAAAATTAATAAAAAAACAAAATATCCTAAAGGGACCTTAACACTCACAATCATTAGATCTTTATTTGTTCTTTAAAAGATTTCCTGTCTTTTTTCTTCTGTTTTTGCTCTTAATGATATGAAATTAAAAATTATCCTGGAAGAAAAATTGATTGCAAATTAATATCCAAATCAAAGATGGCCACCTGTCAGCCATTTTCATTTTCATACTCAGTGCCAAAATCAGAAGGGTACAACTGAAGACCAAGAGAAATTTACAAATAAAACTTGAGAAAGATCCATCCACTGTGTTCAAGAAAAAACAATCACAAACTTTCATTTTTAAAATCCCAGATGGGAGCTGTCAGTCATTTTGTTTTCCTCATCAGTCACAAATTTAAAATGGGCTAAACTAGGGACCAAGGGGAACATACATATGAAATTTGAGAAAGATCCATCCAGTACCTAACAAGAAAAAGTGATAACAAACTTTCACTGTCAAACTCCAAGAAGGCCACTTGTCAGCCATTTTCTTTTCTTAATAAGTCACAAAATCAAACAGGTACAACTAGGGACAAAGGGAAACCTACAAGTAAAATCTGAGAAAGCTCCATCCAGTAGTTCTCTGAAAATATAGTGATAACAACAAAAATAAATAAATCTTCTTTGTCAAAATCTTAGATAACAGTCTGTCTGCCATTTTGTTTTACTGATCAGTCTCAAAATGAAATTAGCATAACTAGGGATAAAAGGAAACATATATATAAAATTTAAGAAGAATCCATCTAGAACTTCTCACAAAATGACCACAACAAATTGTTTACGGAAGAATAGATGGACATATTGACCACGGACGTAGGACGATTTGAATAGCCCACCATCTGATGATGGGATAATAAAATGAAAATAACTTTTAAGTCTTTTGTAAAAATGAATAAACGATATACAGGAGTGAAAGAAAATAAGATGAAAAGAAAAGAAATGATACAAATATTATTTTTAAATTGGACTAGTATGTTAATTTACAAGTGTAAAAATCCCTGTTAATGGAAATAACCAAAGCAACAGGTAAATTAATTATTTCACAGGTGAAAAAATACCAGGACTTATGAAAATAGTCAACATATAGAGAAAAGAATTAAAACCTTAAATCATCATGTTTTTAGCATATCTGACCCTTTAACCTTCAGAATAGGTCAAGGTTTCAAGGTAAACATGTAAATTATGTATATATATGTATGTAAATATGTTTGAAGCTAAACCATATTAACCAAGAGGATATGAGGTTACTTTAAAAGTGCGGGACACTGTGAGTTGAGAACTTGTGCAAGGCCAGCAACATTAAGTATATTATCTGACTACCAACTTATACTTGTAAATTTGCATAAAGATGGTAAATTTAGGTAAGAAAACACCTGCAGAAGAATCTATTGTTTCTACATTTATATCCTACCAGGAAATAACTATAAACCCTTTCCCCTGACCAGCTTATAATGACTGAAGTGTGACCCTCATCAGATCAGGGTTAGTTGTAAGGACCAATCTATAAAGAAATCCATCATTGTAAAAGAATAAGAGGAAATTTAAACTTCAATCCAAAATTTCTAAAGTCTGTGATCTTCAATAATACCACAATAATGTTCCAGAAACAATGATAGATATTCCAAGTACAGTATTTTTTTTTTTGCTTTTTAATCTCCTTAATTTATGTTATGACACAGGTCAGTGGTCCTTGATCCTGATTTTAAATCCGTACATCATGATTTACATGACAGGAATGTTGTTGTGCCTTCAGATAAGGTGTCCAATATCTTGTGTGCACACATTATTGCATTTCCTGGTTTTGCTTTATAACTCCACCTATACATTATAATTTCTAAAGAAGTGTTAGTGGCTGATTATACTTAAATATTGTAATAATTCAGATTGCCTATTAATGGTAAGGATACAGACCTCCCCCATTTATATTGGATCCCTACACTTCACAAGAATCCATATAAACAACATTTTGGCACATATAACTGTTCAACCAAGCCTTTGTCAAAACTACTGACTGCCAGTTTAAATACTATCAAATTTGGGTTATGATCTAATTGTGATACTGTTTGCTAAAAAGTGGAATTAATAACATATAGATTTTACAGAACTCCAAAGAGCTTTTGACTAATCTTCTAAACAACATCCTTCTTTAATGATATTTTCCATTCTGTACACCACTTTACCCCCATTCTAGCCTGGAAGAACGTCTTCATTCTCTTGTTTCAAGAGCTGTCTTTGCCAAGAAAGGTGAACAGCTGTACAAATATATGGTTGTGAACTATACTGGAGTGTAATTCGTGAACAATATATCCAAATCAAAGAAGAAATACATTGCATATCATAATCGTAAGCTGATTGAGTCTCTGGCTGCCAACAACTTCGTCAAGTTTAGTGGTAAGATCTTCCAGCTGACTTTAGGCATACCTTTGGGACCTAACTCTGCCTCTCTATTACCTGATTTAGTTTCCATGTGAGGCTGAATTTATCATAGAGCTTATCAAGACAGACCACAAAGACCTTGCAAAGTTGTTTAATTTCACTTTCAGATCTAATGATGTCTTGTCTTTAAATAAGAAGAACTTTATTGACAATGTCCATCATATATAATTGGAATTCAAGGACACAATGGACTCTTCTACATCAGTCACTTATCTCAATCTTAAACTACAATAAAGCCAACATGGCCAGCTTTCCAACAGGCTGTATGATTTCAATTTCCCTATCGTGAATTTCAATTTCTGAATAGCGGTATTCCTGCATCTCCACTATGGAGTTGCAGTTGATTTGATATTCAACAGCCTGTTCCCATTATCACAAATTTTGTGAATGAAATTGTCAACTGATGGGCAAACTGTACCGCAGAAATTTATGGTTGCCATAGTGATCTCATTGAGAAATATTCCATTTCTTTGTGCAATATGAAGCTGGATATTTTATGTTTTTTTTACCTTGTTCTCATTCTCGAACATGCTATTGCTTTTCTTGGAGTGACCAAGATTTACATGGTGGGTGTTGTTAATCAAAGCAGAAGACACTTACTCTTCTGGAACACCTTGTCTTCTCCTTGCACATTTTCAGTAGTGTCTTGTGTAAATCGTTCCTTTGTTCATATTTTGCCCTAGTTTTATTGAACCTGGGTTTGGATTATGGTCATGTTGATATTTCTTTTTTTTTAACATTTTGTACAATATCACAATACAGGAAAATACTTACATAAAAAAAAAAATCATGAAATAGGAAATATTTGAATTGGGATTATGATTGACATGTTTGTATTTCTTGTTGTCTTTTGTATGATTGAAAGCAGCTACATATCTTGGCTACAACCTCAAGCTACATCTAATATCAAAGGAATAATGTTTACACTTTGTGAAATATTACATATACATATAAAAGCTGGAATTTTATGTTTCAGAGTACGGAGTATTCTCCCTTGTTTAGAGAAGAAGGATATAACAACATATTTTACAATGATTTACCATTACGGGGGAGTAACATAGCAACACTGCCAAGAGTATAGGTTGGTAATGGACAAATGTGGAATTTTACCCCAGGATGTTGTTTTTCTTTTCTTCTTTCTCTTATTTTCATTCGTGAATATTATAACATTTTGAAAAATAGTAATTGTATGGAAATTACAAAAAAAGTAAATCTGGTCTCACTTGGAGCATATTTTATAATGATTAAGCCTTATCGTTAATAACTATTATATGTAGGTATGTAGCTATCTACTTCTGATATATCTACATAAAACAATATGCTCACACTTCAACAAAATCTATCACAGTTATTCTGCAATCACTGTTTAGGAGTGTTATATACATACCCTGAAAATAAATAATACATTAATAATGGTGCAGTAGAAGCAGTCCAGTGATTAAGTACAGGAATGCTTTTCATTTCATGGGATGATATTTCACAGATCAGCTGGACTCAAATTACACCATTAAATGTTACTACTCTTTAAAACTGTAATTAGGCAACAAATATATGAGATTGTTTTTTATTTCCTGAATATATATCATTATGAATTTTCATTTCTTTGTTTCATTTTTTCTCTATTTTTTTCTTTCTTTTGATTTGTTTTTTTTTCTGTTTTTTTTTAATAATTTTTTTTTTTTTTGTCTTTTCAGGAAAGTAGCCAAAAAAATTAAAACTCCCATGAAATATAAGCACTGTACAGTTGGTTGTACAAGATGGCAGATGTTAGTAGCAACACACAACGGAGAAAACCTCCAGTACTCTACGAGATCTCACCTCTTCTGTATAGTACCGTTACTACTTAGCAACTGAAAGGGCCAACAACATTTGCAATTCAAACAAAAATAAACAAAAAACAGATATATGACATATGTATCCACTCCCCTTCATTTCTGAATACTTATGTTCAGGTCACCTGTGTATATGTTGCTTCAAATTACAAAAACAATTAAACCTCTCTACTCAAATGTAGATCAGCATCACTGTGACACTTTAACTTTGGCTGATTACCACCTTAATAAGGTGTTAAACTAAATATAATGTTACTTTGCTGGTAAATGTGAACTAAACCTGTTCTATGGTTCCCACGATATGACACTGATTTGGAATGGATGTGACAAGACACAACAGGAAAGACACTATAGGCTACCTCGATAATTATACATACAAACTTTATTTATTTTACAACAATTCTGAAACAAGCTTTAATCTTATATTAATCACTCTTGTTGTCCCAGATGGAAGTGCATGAGGGTTTATACTGTGGAAGGAAACTGAATTACCCGGCGAAAACCCATGTGGTCAGGCAGATGACCCCATACCTTTTCACAACCGTGCCAAGAATCGAACACTGGATGCCTAGGTGAAAGGCAAGTGTTACCACAGTGTCATGTGACCAACCACTCCATATAATGGTGGGTAAATGAAAATGGCTGTGTGTTCATTTTAAATGTCAAACAATTTTCATCACTAACAAGTAAATAATAATTGTACATGACAAAACTTTGAAATCACTTTCCATTATAAAATTTCAGAAAAAAAAGGATTTATGAATAACGTTTCACAGAATTTAAGTTACTGCCAATTAAATCTCAAAGTAAAGATTTCATTTCTAAAGTTGTAAATCATTCAAATTGAACTGCAACAGCAGGAAAGAAAAATTCAGTTTTATATCATACTGGTTTGATTTTTGGCTTAATTGATGATAATAGCATCTGAAAACAAAGGCTTAAAGTTTATGAATACATTTTTTAATGGAAAGGACTGTTATTAGAAAAAAAACAACAAAAAAAAACAGAGTGCTGTCATGAAATGACAGTCCTTTACCTCTAGCCAATATCAGAAATAAAGGGCCATAACTTGTATAAATTGAGGGATATGACCTGATTTTAGTGAGTGACACCATATCATTCACAACAGACCTGGTTAAGACTATAGGCCCCCTTCCCCCACCCCTCCATTAAATGGTGTAGGCATAAACCAATACAGTTATGTTAATGGTGTCTGAGTATTCTTGTCAGGAGCTAAGCCCCTAATGATATTGTGAATGTGAATTATAGGAAGACAAATAATTACAAGAGATGATTCTTCAAAACTGATAAAATTACAGATCAGTTACCTCCCTTGTCTCCAAGGGAAGTAATTACTGACAGGCTTGTAAAACCAATAGGGTTTGTCTAAGAAAAATTAGAAAGATTTGCAGAACAAAAGCAGAAATCTGAAACAGCATTTAAATCAATAACAGATTTACCTTTTCTCCAAATAATTCTGAGAGTTTTGTGACTATTTCCTGGAAGCCCGTACACAGAGATTCATGGTATTCCTTTTGTTCTGTTGTAATCAACGTCATGTTGAGATCAAGTGCGTCATTACACACACTTACAAATTCCCTGAAGGATAGAAGGTCAAAGTTTACAGATCATAACATTTCATTGTAGGTATAAACATTAAAAGTGAAGATCTCACATCAGTAATTCTTTCTACATCAAACATTAATATTCTGCATGAAAAAGACTGCAGGGATACAAAATTTTCTCATTTAACTTTACTACCAAAGTTAATACCATTGTAGTTAAAATAATAATACTTGCAAACTCTTGAAGAGCTTAACAGACCAGACATATTTTCCATAGTGACATTAAGACATACCTAAACACATCCTTAAGTGAATCCACGTGATCTATCGGGAAGGACGTGATTTTGTCTTTACCCAGGAAAGCCTGAGCGTACGCCAATGGACCAGCATTTACCTGTAAGGGTAAGTCGTTAAGGTCAGACTTATAACAAGTGTTGAATTTTACAAAAATGAAACACCTACCCAGTGGTGATCAGTTACACAGTTCAGTGATGATTAAGACTTGTGGTTAATTCTCTACATACAGTAGTTATAATACCCACTGTAAATCACTTTACAAACACTTTATTTCACAAACTAACCTCTTCAGATATATCTACAAATACATGATTTTGGGATCTAGAAATGACTATAAATTTGCGAATAATGACTACTAGATATACTATCATTAACTGAATCAGCATGGACGTCATCAAGAGTTATTTTTGTTTAATTCAAACATATTTTATTCGACCAAAATTCAAAAGGAATTGGACACAAGTTAAACAACTTTGGAACATCCTCTTCCAGTTATTTATGTCCAGCAATCTCAAGGGATTTGAAATTGCGAATGACTCTCTTCACATGTTAACATAAAAATAAATCCCAAGCAGCAGTAATAAGTGATTTACAGTATATAAACATTCTCTTCTATTCTATCATTATCATATTTAATGTCTACCTCTATAACATTTCTTATCTATCAATCTCTCTCCAAGGTTATATCAAACAGGTCCTGCTTACCTGTGCACTAACGCTGCCCTGCAGACGGAGTTGGAGTTTTTTCGAATCAGGCCGTGACAAGTTGACGACTTCCTTCATATCAAGAACTTTCGACTGCATCTGGTCAATGGCAACCTCGATTGGAGTCAGCACCATCTCTTTTCTGTCAACAATTTCTATCCTCTTCTTTACAAATGGGAATGCATGTGAGGCTAGAACAAAGACGTGAAGAAATTTCACTTTCGTTGTAAAGTCTGTAAACTGATGAATACTTCCTGAACACATCTTTATTGGAAATCATTTTTAATACAGGACAAGTAATTTGTTAAATAAGCGATTGTGCACCATGACTTGGTACACTGTATATTGTCTTGGTATGACTAATGTATATACCAAGTTTTATTATCCTACTTTAAATGCAAGAACAGTTATTCTCCAAACAGGAAATTTTAACAAACTGAGATGATAGCAACTTAACTTAAATTTAATAGCCATTTCCTTACGATGATTTGATAAAGGGGAGATAACCCATTCCTTTAAAAAAAAGATAATCTTTTTTTCTTGGATTATGTATTAACAAGGGGAGATGTTGTCACTTACTTGTGAGTATGGTCCTCCGTTTACATTGCTCGTGGATTTCTCCGTGAGCTTTCCCATTTTTTGTAAATGGGGTCTCAAACATGAATCGTTTTATATTGTTGTTTTTCTCGAATTCTGTCACACGACGTTGTAGCTCCTTTTCCTCAAAGTATGGAGTCACATGTATCACCTGAATGTAAGCAAATTTAGTGTCCAGCTCCATTGGATTGACCTGTATTAGAACATGAAATAACATTAAACAAATGTGATACTTTAAATGAACATATGTGAATTGTGTCCTGTTGTAAAATGTTGGTAGCTGTATTGGAAAGTAACAAGTTGACAAGTTTATACAATTTTATCAATTATAGACATCAACAGTAGTGTCCATCTTATTATCTAATTTACTACCTATGTACATATGTTTCTTAATCTCATATGAAAAATTGCAAAATGTTTCTTTTGTTTGTTTCTTTCATACAGGTTGAAACAACAACTATCGTCAAGGAAACAAACCCTAACTCACCTTTTTGGAATCTTTCATTAATTTTACGTTGTCACGACCATACTTCTCACCATACATTTTTTCGAGACGTTCACAGATCTCAGCAAGGCTTGTGACTTTGGGTTCCTTATACAGATACTCTTTACCGTCTTCTTCATCAAAGAATGACTACAACAGGTAAGTATAAATGTAGGGTAGAAATAAAGAGATTGAGACAGGTAAGTGATAGAACATTATATAGATCAGTTCCGTACACAGGGACATCTCAACAGGAGTGGCTGGTCTACACAAGACTGATCTATTGTCTACTTTGCACCATCATACCTCAAAAATGAAAATGGCTGCAAGATGGTAAGTTCAGTAATGACTAAAAATCCAAAGAAACAAGATATCTTTCATGAACCTGATTACCCTATGACTATAGCATGTGCCATTTACTTCCTGGTAACCTTAAGATAATAAATGGTTAATATTAATTTTGCTAACCATGATGCCCTTTCAAAATAGAATGACATACCTGATGAGGATAAATATTTGGAAAACATGAAAATTTTTGTGAAAATCATTTTGAATGTAGATATATTGTGATGTTACATATTTTCATGATGTATATTTTGACATACCTGACCGTAGAAAGCCACCCTGAAGTACTTGCCGAGGAGGCGTTTACCCGAGGCTGTCACCTCCACCACTTTGCTGTACGCGTTGGCCAGGTGGGTATACCCTGCAGACAGACGCTGTAAATACAAACAAAATCAATTAAGAATATTCATCCAAAAACTTACTGTATGTAAAATCAGTTTGATAATATCACTAAAGGGGGCATAACTCCATAGCATATCATTGAAACAAAAATAAAGCTGTGAATGAACTGCTTCTCTGATTCATGGAATATAACTTGTTGGGCCACACTGAGACTTTCTCAGCATCCTGTCTCTTTACATTAGTTACTGTATACAAAGAAATAATCACCCTTTCATGAAACTGTCAGTTTTTACTGGGATTTAATTTACACTAAAATATGACATAATATATTTCAACTTTAACATTAAACTTTAACCTACCTTTAGTTTTTGCTTAACGGTCAGACTAAAGGTAAACTGTGGCTAGCTTCAAGGTTACAACACAGTATGTTACATGTTCATGGTGAGGAATGTAAAAAGTCCTTAACACAGGAACCTTATACTTTTAAGTTTGTGGAATAAACAAATAAACTGTCCTTTAGTGGTATATATATATAAGATAAAACATGGTTTCATGTTAAATATCATACATATTCCATGAGTATGACAGAACTATCAATATTTTTCATGAGTGCTAAGCACTAGTAAAACATATAGATATAACCTGTCACAGACTGTTGTAAAAGAGAATTTAATTGATCAAAGTATTCTGTGAATTTATCTTATAGTCACATGAAAATCTTTACATAGAACTTAATGGTTCTTACTTCATAGTCACGTGAGAATTCATAGATCGGAATGATTAGTCTGTAAATCTCCCCGAGGATTTCGTATCTCTCTGCCTGCTCCATAGCATTGGCAGCTAGCTCCAAGAACTGCACCATGGTTTCCTGGTAAAAAAAAGAAAATCTTATCAAAAAGTTTTATTATTACATCTGGTTGTACTCCTCTGACAAGTAAATGAATTCCAGTATCAAACTTTTTTTTGATGATGATGATGTTTTGAAATGTAGAAAAAAATCAAAATGTTGCTGCACTACTTTTTCAGGTAAAGGCGTCAGAATACAAGTTACAGGGAAAAATTCATTTCATACATTACCCTTATTTTTTACCATGAAACAGACAGTTCACGGCAACATTTTTCAAAATAATATTTTAATCTTTCATTACACAGTAAGGGTATGATACTTGGATTTTAAACAAAACAAATCATCTGACTACACATAGCAACCAAAACATGAGAATGTTCTAGAACGACTACTAGTATAAACTTTTTTTAAAGACTTCAAGCTTTTGACACTTTTCATGATCACAAAAAAGGGTCTCTCTGTGCTTTATTCTTTGCAATTTTCATCCAAATTACCAGTTTCTCCAAGATCAAGAAAACAGCAAAAATATTAATGTTCAGGTCCTAAAAATCTGCAGGTGATCATCAAGTTGAAATTCACAAATTTGAAATAAGTGATTTGTGGTGATAATTTATACAAAATTTAGTTGAAGTCTACCCAAGACCTCTAAAGATATACTCAAGAGAAATCCCTTTGCAACCAGAAAACTTTGGAATTGTTGACGCTTTTAACCAAATCATGCCATCAACTATACTGTCGAAATTTCTTCACAAATATGGCCTGTTTTCATCTTTTATGTACAACTCTAGATAACAAAGTATATAAAAGAAGACAAAATTCCAAGATATTTTGTTGGAATTCATTTTACATTGAATTATGTCTTACGTTCAGTCAAAAACATCCGAGGAGTACATCCTTAAAGAACACCATTATGTAACTATGCTATGAAGTCCATTTATCAGAAAAATCACACACAAATCTATATAAAGGGTAGCTTTGGACAGATAACCAGGACATAATTTTGGAGTATGAAATAATTCACTTATTGGTTATCTCCCTTTTGATTTTTTGGGGTTGTGGAAGGGACATAACTCTGACAGAATTCACATAGTAAGTGTGTACTGTAGAATGACACCATAAAACAAATAACTTTGGTACCTCAGTGTACTGGACATCTTGCATCCCCGAGTCATCCTTGATCCCTGATTCCTCCAGTTCTATGTTAGGAGAGATGGTCTTAAAAGCAGCACAACCTTGAGGAAAACAACCTGTGGGAAAGATTATGATATGTCATTTAACTCACTAGGGGGGACAACTCAGAGAAAATCGCACTAACTATGATAAGATACTGAAGTAACTAGGGGAGAAAACTCTGTGAAAATTGGACAAATTTTCCTTTGTCACTGAACTTAGTAAGTTCTATCAACTTCAGAAAATTTCTCCTTATACAAACCGTTACCACACTAAAACATTTTTGTACTGCGCACATGAGGTACGCACTTTTCAGTACTTATATATTGTATAACAGGTATTGGCTGCAAATGGAAAAATTTGCGGTGGAAAAAATCTATTAAATGATATTATTTCATTCTTCTCTTTTCTAAATTCATATTTTATATTATTTCGGCATTTTTTTAAAGCACTTTCTTACCACTGCTGATCAAATTTACCTGATACATGCTTTGTGTGATTGGTTTTAGATTCTGTGAATTTTCCTCATTCATTCTAGGGTGTTTGTTATTTACACTGTTATTTGATTGACATGCTCCATTAAGAAATATCACACCCTAGAATATCAGTGAACATCTAGACATGATTCCCAGTGTGTTTTCAGTCATCTAGTGTTAAAGCTTGGTAGTACATATAACCCATTCTGTTAATCATTAGTGACAGCCAGCACATATTTTAAAATTTGAATTTTATTTGTAGAAGTGTATTAGAATAATTGTCTATATCTGTGTCATTCAATCAATTAGAAAAAAGAATTTCTACAGAAATAAAACACAACTTTTATGTGTAATAATTTCTCTGTTTCTATGTGGGACGTTGGTCAATCATAAATTTAATTAATATATATGCTTATATCTATTTGTGCAGTTGGGTAAAATTAACTAAATGATTAAAAAAGATCCTCAATTATAACAAATCTGTTGAGAACAGTTTGTAAAAAGTGATAAAACTACACATAAAACAACAGATATACAAACAACATAGAAAAAAGTGAACACAAACAACACAGAAATATCATTAGAACTAAGAAACAGCATCATGATTTAATTAAACTAGATATGAATGTCCCGACTCCTAAATAAACCAGAATCTGATCAGGAGTAGATCCTATTAGGTCAATGTGAACCAACTCTGTTCAGTTATTATCATTAGAAATTTGTCAGTTTGATTAAAAAATGTATTATTAGTGCAGGGATGATATAAGAAATCTTAAAAACATTTTATCCGTGATTATATCAAAAATCTTATATCATCACTAGTAATGGTACATGTATAACAGTGATTATATAACTATTGTCATTTTAGCCAATCAGAGCATTGCTTTCTACTCACTGCAGTGACATTAAATGATATATAACAGTGATTATATAACTATTGTAATTTTAGCCAATCAGAGCATTGCTTTCTACTCACTGCAGTGACATTAATTGATTTTCCTGGTTTGATGTGAATAATGCAAAGATTGAATTGGTCAGTATTCCATCAATTTTTTTCCATTAACATTTTATTCTAATTTGGTACTTATCAAATAATATCACAAAATAATAGAATACCATGTAAATTGGATAATGTCAACTATTCTACATCAAATACCTCGCGTATGTTTCCCAAACTTTTTCTTTTAACATCTGTATTTTGAGTTTCAAACTACATTTTTTTCTTTTAAATTTTCCTTCAAAAATGTAATCAAGAGAGTAAAATTAATGTTTTCCTGCAAAATATCCTATATATTTCATTGGTATATCATTTATAAATATTGAATGGCACTGGGGACACATTCTATGTTACAAATATCAAGTAGCACCGAGGACACATTCTATATTACAAATATTGAACAGCACTGGGGACACATTCTATGTTACAAATATCGAGTAGCACCGAGGACACATTCTATATTACAAATATCGGGTAGCACCGAGGACACATTCTATATTACAAATATCGAGTAGCACTGAGGACACATTCTATATTACAGATATCGAGTAGCACTGAGGACACATTCTATATTACAAATATTGAACAGTATTGAGGACACATTCTATAAACTCCCATATTGTACCCAGTACTGCGTAATATTTGTTTTTCATGTCTTTCTTAAATGATAGTTAGTCACACAGTTCTCTATATATGATCTCATGATGGAAGTAAAATAACTGATACATTAATCAAGGTTAAAGAATAAAATCAATAATATACTGGAATTTTAATTTCTATCTAGACCGAGTTATCATGAAGGGGGATAACTCATGTTTGGTATTATGACATCACAATATACCACGTCAGCCCATTGTCCTTGACTAAAGACATTAAATACTAAAATACTGATCAGGGCAACTACTAGAATTATAATATTAGAAATATTGAAAAATATTATTTTTTTATCATTCACATGAAATACATAAACAAGAAACCATCAAATATTTTCTAAGTATTTTTTTGTTTAACATTTCTCCCATTTCTCAAATAGGTATACATAAAAAATTGGATAAACTTCCACAAAAAAGGTTTAGCACTTAACTGTAGCTGTCAGGTAAGAAGCGTAGATAAGATTAGGAAAGTGTGATATTTCTAGTAAATTTAGTCATACCTTAACAATGGTTTTGTAATTCATGCAATCAATTAACATTATCAAAGTTATACTTTTATATCAATTATATATACAAGTATATCATCATATTCTATTTATAGCCTAAGCACATAAAACTAGACTGACTGTACTATATATAGTTGATATACTATTGATGATATATATAGATATATAGGTATAAATTGATATAAGTTTTAAGGCAGTGCATATACAAATTTACCCTCTGTCCATAACACTTCCCCAGATATACATGGTAGTGCAGCTGAAAGTTGATGATCACATTTTCTTATCACAGAAGGGGCATAATTTCACATAAAACATTAAATATATTCTACGTATATGTTTTGATCTATTTTCTGTGTTATATATCATTTAAGAACAAAACATAACAATGTTCATTGTATTTAACAGAAAATTGAAACAAAACATTTGAACAGTACAAACTTTCTATAAATTTCTCCTCCAAGGTGTGATGTTTTGGTTTTTAAGTGTTCAACACAAAAACATATCAAGCCACAACAATATCAAAATGGAAATGTTCACATATTGAAAATCAATAAATTAAAAAAAAAATCAACAATTATAACAGTTTAAACCACAGCTATAGGTAGGTTTTCATTTTAAACTTGAAAAAGCTAAAAAAAAAAGATGCAGCTAATGTTAAATGACATTAATACAAAATGTTGAGAAAACAAAGTATCAATTTAAACTAATCATAGTCTTCTTTCATAAATAAATTACAGGAACATTGTCAAAATATAGAATCCATTAAATCTTATATAACCACTGTCAAAATATAGAACCCATTAAATCTTATATAACCACTGTCTATATATAGAATCCATTAAATCTTATATAACCACTGTCAAAATATAGAACCCATTAAATCTTATATAACCACTGTCAAAATATAGAATCCATTAAATCTTATATAACCACTGTCTATATATAGAATCCATTAAATCTTATATAACCACTGCCAAAATATAGAATCCATTAAATCTTATATAACCACTGTCTATATATAGAATCCATTAAATCTTATATAACCACTGTCTATATATAGAATCCATTAAATCTTATATAACCACTGTCAAAATATAGAACCCATTAAATCTTATATATACCACTGTCAAAATATAGAACTCATTAAATCTTATATAACCACTGTCAAAATATAGAACCCATTAAATCTTATATAACCACTGTCAAAATATAGAATCCATTAAATGTTATATAAACACTGTCTATATATAGAATCCATTAAATCTTATATAACCACTGTCTATATATATATAGAATCCATTAAATCTTATATAACCACTGTCAAAATATAGAACCCATTAAATCTTATATAACCACTGTCAAAATATAGAAACCATTAAATCTTATATAACCACTGTCTATATATAGAATCCATTAAATCTTATATAACCACTGCCAAAATATAGAATTCATTAAATCTTATATAACCACTGTCTATATATAGAATCCATTAAATCTTATATAACCACTGTCTATATATAGAATATTAATATAGAATCCATTAAATCTTATATAACCACTGCCAAAATATAGAATTCATTAAATCTTATATAACCACTGTCTATATATAGAATCCATTAAATCTTATATAACCACTGTCAAAATATAGAACCCATTAAATCTTATATAACCACTGCCAAAATATAGAATTCATTAAATCTAATATTACCACTGTCAAAGAGAGAACTCATTCAATCTACTCACATGAACTCTGTCAAAATAAAGCACCATTAAGTTCCATTTTAAAACAATGACAAAGTATGACAGGAATGTCAATATATAGATACCATTGAATTCAATAGCATGAAAACTAGTAAACTTAGACAAACATAAAAAAAAATCACAAGTAAAACAGATCTAGCATTGTCAATACAGTGTTACAGTAGACAATCAATAAAACAATAAAAGGTTTGGATGAAGTCATGCATGAAAACTACCTTAACACCAAACTTACTTGACTTTAACTTTCCTGTGGCGGTGGAAAAAATCAAAGCAACAAAAATCAGTAACTAAGGAACACTGCCTATTTTGTATCTGGACCAATAGAAAGGTGACTGTAAACTTGAGGTCATAGTTCAAAACCAAAAGAGGCCATCTTATTGTAATTTCAAATTTCCATTACATACAGGTGCTATAGAGGGACAACAATAATAAAACATAAGATTTATGACCTAGTTTGATCACACAGGTAACTGCAGTCATGTGGATCATGTTACGCAATACTCATATCTTACTTCTATCCTTGGATAGACAGACAGGTAAATGGTAAATAGTGGTCTACAAGCTACTGGCTATATTGGTATTGGGTGTGATAATGGAGTACTTATGACAGATTATAAGGAGGGATAAAACTGACTATGTTTAACAATGTAACAGATACCTAAAGCAGCAGATGTCTCAGTGATGTATTTTGTCACTGGAACTAAGGTATATCAAACCATACTGAACCAATAATGTATTTGTGCTTTTGCATACCTGTTGTAACATACAAATATACTAACCTCTGCGTCTCAGGTACTCTGCTATGAGGGCTGCTATATGGATGTAGCAATGTGCTGCCTGTAACATAAACATTTAAATTTTTCACAAAAAATGCATTATGTAAATCTTGTTAAAGGAAAATTTTTTTCTAACATCATTATTGAAAGTAGTTATAACAAAACAGATCCTATTTATAGCTGCTATAGAATCCAGTAGCAGTTTAGAAATCCTCAATTATTTTTAAATTTCTCATGTTGAGTTATACAAACATTTTGTCACAGTAAATTTGACAAACCTCTGAGAAATTTGAATATCTGAAGTGTATTTTTGCCATTGAGTCGAGCCAAGTTTTTCGAAGCTCTGGTGTGCTGGCATAAGATTTGGCTAAACTATTCTGTAGATCAATCAGCATTTCTGGGTCATTTTCATGCTCTCTCATCTGAGCAGTCGCCATGAGAACAGTCCGGATTCGTTTTGTGAGATCTTTAACTTCTGCTGGAAAACCACTTTTCTACAAAATAAATTAACACAATATTTTAATTAATTAACTATTTCCTATTTCAATGACAGTATCTTAAGTTTGCACAGCCCTAAACATATTAATTTCCTTAGATAATTTTTTTTTATTTCTAAAAAGTTAAGATTATTAACCATTTAGTATATTTCACAAACATGATTCAATGTAGCATTCATTGATTTTCATAACGATATTTCACAATTATTCTTGAGCAAATAAAAAATTACTTATTAAAACTGAGAAATATAGAAACAACAACCTGAAAGGAAGAAAAGAGAACCATAATTCAAGACATCAACCAGGAATATTGAAAACAGGAGAAGGAGAAAAGTATAAAAATATGTCCAAAGAAATACAAATAGTTATATAACCATTTAAATAATGATCAGATTTCTAACAGATTACTAGAATAGAATAAAACAGAAATATCCTATTGAGCATATACATTACTATAACAGTTAATGGTGTAATAAACACCTTTGATCCCTAGTTATTCTGATATTTTTTCCATGCAGCCCCAGGTAAGTTTTATATTCATTTCCAGATTATAAATAAATATCTGTAAGGCATGAACTTCCCAACTCCATAAAGACCTGAATCTGATCAGGTGTAGAACATGACATTATGACACTATGGGGTAGATATGACCTGAATCTGATCAGGTGTAGAACATGACATTATGATACTATGGGGTAGATATGACCTGAATCTGATCAGGTGTAGAACATACCTGAATCTAATCAGGTGTAGAACATGACATTATGATTCTATGGGGCAGATATGACCTGAATCTGTTGAGAGGTTCTTAAGATATGACATTGATTTTGAACTGGACAGGACAGATGTAAGTAAAACAATACGTCCCCACTAAAATGGCAGGGATATAGAAAGGTATTGTTCCTAAAAACATAAAATGGGACATTTCAATTAAATCAGGATATACCTCCCTTGATAAGAATTATCTCCCTTGAATATGCCTCAGCAAGCAATAATCATTGTGACACAAATACCTATATATTGTGTACACTTCACAACACTTAAACAAGATCAAACTTTGTGTTCTTTAAAAAAAAATTCAAAATTTACTGATTCACAACTCTTTGATGTTAAAAGGAGATAAAGTGATAGTGATATAGCAGACAGCTTTAAGAAATTTGACAGATATACTGTACTAAATCTCTACAGTAGTTTACAGAAATATTGAAAAGTAATGAAAAAAAACATTCCACAATACATCTGATCATCTGTCTGCATACTGATAACCCTACAGAGTAGATTCATGCATCAAAGTATTCTAAATATAACTAAAGGTATTGTTCTATACTGTATTTACTAAAAATGAAATTTGAATTGTAAATAAAATAAGTATTTCCACCAAAGATCTCTATGCCGAAAAACAAATCTACAATGCATGAAATTTACAAATCAAAATAACTAAAAAAATATTCTAAAAGTCTAGAATTTCCAATTTTAATGAAAGTTTTAAAATGACTTGCTATAATAACTATGACCTATGTTTATGACATTAGCAGAACATTTTCCCCCTAGTTCATAGGTCAGCTGAAGCATTGCCAACAAGTAAGCAGCCATTTTCATTTGTCCCTGACTGAATATTGTCAGAGTACCAAGGTTTCAATAGGAAGTGGCAAGCAAGGAAGTGCATGCTGTGTTTGAGTGGCATATTGGTAGGTCAGGATGATGCCACAGGCTGGGCGATGCCACATGATGAAGATACATAAAATTCTTACGTGGTCAGATGTATTTTGCCAGATTCCGCCCACCAATAAATATTTCCAAGTCTCCTTCATGTTCAAGCAAATAATAAAATGTGTTTGGAAAATAAATGAAACCAATTAGAATTTAACAAATAGATCAAATACCTTAAAATTAAATCAAATTGAAAATACAATATCTTAAACTAGGGACATTAACATTTGGTGCAAGGGTAAGTAACTCTGTACTGAAAATATACACTTGAACATTAAATAGGGTACAATTTGGATCCCATCATGAAAAAAAAATTCAAGCTGTTAAAAGGTTCCTCTGCAAATATAGATCCAATATGTTTCTTTTTTATTGGCTGTTCTAGTCTGATAAAGGATTTATATGTTTCATTTCATGGACTGTTCTAGTGTGTTAATGGGGTTTACAAGTTAAATCTCATGGATTGTCCTAGTTTGATATTGGGTTTACAAGTTTCATTTCAAGGACTGTTCAAGTTTAATATGGTGTTTAAATGTTTCACTTTATGGGCTTTTGTCTAATCACTGACTTTTTCAGTCTATTTCAGGAATGAAATTGGGTACATCATTGCTACCTGATGACAAACAACATGTCAGGTAATATTTTATCCAGTTCAAATTAATATCTGGTAACAAGAGAATTCAATATAGAAAACTGCAAAAGCATAAACAACAATAGAAAATGACATTCATGAAAAATGAAATATCATAAAAAGCTGATATTTTAAGATTTAAAAACAAACAGGGAACTAAAACAGAGAAGCAATGAGGTTCAAGAATCCTTCATTATGGTACAAACAGTGTCATAAGGCCAGACTTATGTAAAATAAACTGGACGTAACTTTTTAATGGTTTGATTTGACCTATATTCGTGTGAAAGTCTTTACGTATCAAACACATTTATAGAGTTTAAGAACTTGGGCTATATTTAGAGAATTCTGTACTTCTTATAAAAAGGCAAAAGTGGTAGTGAAAAGTTTTTAAACAGAATATATTCTATCTATATAATAAATATATATGTATACATGTCCTGAATACATTTGATATAGATGTGAATATACATAGATATAGTGTAGTTACGCATTGTAATACTTTGTACACTCATAAATGGAAGAGGCAGTACTGATATCTAGCCATGCTGTTTTACACTGATTCCATCATGTCTAAATGTAATTAACAGTAATGTAAATCTATAAATACCCCTTTTATATCGTAAACTATTCACACAGTGGAATCTGAACTTGTCTGCTAATTGACTAATTTTTTTCACAAAGGACTTAATATGACTAAAAAGTATGGTAGAAATAAATTCATTGTACAGCTGTATCTTACAGACTCTTTAGCTATCATATCATTTTTTGTAAAAATAAAAAAACCCTAAATGTTCAGGTGAAATGCATTGCTTTTAACTAGAACCTTGTGCACATCTTAGCTACCAACACATTATACACTATTCAAAGGTTACTTTTGTGTCTTGGTAAAGATTTTCTCCTGAAAAGTATTCCTATATAAGCAGGCGACAGACATCCTCTACCAGGCATCCTGCATATGAAGATTTATTAGTAAACGTTTTAGTAGTAGTAACGGTATGCCACTCCATAACATCAAGGGGAGACAACTGTTACCTCTGGCTTTTGTCCACGTTTCCGACCTTTTCCATCACCCTGTTATTGTAATAAAGGAGTTCATGCATGTACATCACATATCATTTACACAGTAGATATTGATATATATAGTGTACAGTAAATAGCCAACAGGTCTGATACATTAAATGACATCAAATTTAAAACATATCAAACCATGAGAATATTTACCTTACACTTAATATAACTCAAGGACAGAGGGATTTCATCCCAACAGGGTTCATTCCAAAACTAAAAGCTGTTAAAATACTATTATCTGATTCATTGGTCATGTTAATATACATGTTCAAATTTAAATACTTAATAACTTGGTTTTTTAAAATTCTTGTAACAAGCATAATTTCAAAAGTTTAAGTGAGATTTCAGATTCTAAAACAGTCACTGGTTTCACAAGATGTTTGAACTTTTTTCTTATGTTTTTGAAAAACTTTTCCTTTTTTTGTATGAAATTTACAGAGCACTTATTCATTCATCTTCTCCAAAATGGGAGTTTTCTTTTTAAAATTTTCCTGAAGATGATTAAATTTTGAATTATAAACATTGTATATGATGGACTAAATTAATTTTCATGTGTCCAACTAAATATCCACTTGAACTAGCACCAGTACAAAATACTAATGCTTATATCAATCATACTCCCTCATATCAACATTGTCTTAACAACAACATCATCCTCAATAATACCGTTCTACATAATGTAACCTATTACCTCCTAGTCAAACACTCTCATGCCCCATGTGAATGCTTGCTGATCTGTGTCAGAGGAATGCTTGCCCAACCTCCGATTTTTATCTCAAACCTGTGACGTACATTTATTGTGTTTTGGATGCAATAGGTGTGAGCTAATTAAGCAAAACATACAAAAATCCAATCACAAAATTACAGAATTAGTACAATATCACTTTACATATAAAATTTAGCACATGGTACCTGCTACAAGGCAAGGTTTGGTTAATCTTGTCATAATTGGATAGTCATTAGATGTATACCACTGGTTTCTGTTGGAACAAAAGCTACTCAAGGTAACTCAAACAAACTGGGATTTAGGAAAGCTGTAAAACACATTTCACTTGCTGTTAAATCTAACAAGTAAACCAAGCAAAACTGAAATTTCTCATACCCCACAATCCTTGAAATACAAAATAAAAAAATTAGTTGAGACAGGTCTTATACGAAGATTGACACAATATTGTTTACATCTCTTAATCATATTTTCTATACAATACATCAACATATCTACAATACAATCATCAATTTATTTGTTCTATGTTGGTATACAATCCTCCACCCCTTTCAAACAATACATACAACTGACACAACACAAAACAATGATGATTCTGACACTTTAGCAAGTTGATTGATACTTCCTTGACTTTACCAGATAGGTCTGTTCCTTAGCAACCAAAACAGTGTACTTCAATAGAATTTAGAATTTTACTGAAAACCAATAGTTACAAACAGTTTTAATGAGTTTCAGTGCTCTTAACCGAGTACTAGTTCCTTAGAATTAATTTCATTTGTTATGGTCTCCTTTTCCTTTAAAATGTTGTTAAGGACTAGATATGTTTAATTTTTTTACCTAAGCCATGAATATAACAATAAGATATCTGAGGTTTTTATAAGAATTCTAGATAACAGTATATATGATTGAAGAAAAGGCAGGAGTTTAGACAAAGGGAGATAACTGTATACCTTTTACCTATACTCTAACCATACTTTATGTAGTACCACGTTACTTCCCCCATCACCATGGTCTAGTAGTCCCTGTTACCAAACTCATATATATAAACCCAGTCCTTACTAAGTCATGCTCAATAGATCTCAGGATCTGAGGACAGTTCAAAGTAATGATTAAAAATCTAAGCTTAAATCTCACTGCAGGAAACAGTGATATAAAATGTTCATCCTCGTATTAACTCCTCATGCCATTCACAAATTTAAAAGAGTTTTACTTTGCTAATATTTTTTTAAACTGAAAAGTTACATAATTAATTTATATCAATACTGATGATATTCATTGAGGTATTCCTAACAATTAAAGAATTTTATCACAATGAAAGCAAATGTTGGGAGAAAATGTTGAATCTTTACTGGTACTTAGCTTTTTAAATGAAATTGAAAACTACATCATTTCGTAAACATACACATCAAGAGGTCATCAATATTTGTTCTAACACAAGACTACCACTGTGGATTTTACCATCTGTCCTTGTTACAGTTTTCAGTAAAATTCATAAATTTTTGAAACCATGATAACTTAACCCTGTATTTGTCGACTGCATATTATAGATACTTGAAATACCAATTCTTGAAAATATTTTGTCAATTTGATTATGAAGAAGTCTAAATTTTGATGTTATGATTCAGTTATTTTGGTATAACAGAGGTCATTATTTACCTCTATGCCTTGGCTAGGATTCGAACCCATGACATCTTGTTTACAAGTCTTAGACTCAACCAATCCAGCTAAAGAAAAGTTCTTTCTCATCGAGATGTATTTCAGCAAGTATTTACCAGGGTTACACAAGTATCATTTTTCCATTTGAAATTTGACATTTTAACAGCATTATTTATGCAAGAAGCCAGCACCTTTTATTTTTGGTGTTATTTTGGTAAAAGCAGGGAGCTAGTATCTTTAATTTTGGTGTTATTTGGTGTCAGCAGGGAGCTTGTATCTTTAATTTTGGTATCATCTGAACCAAAAGCTACCAAAATCATCTTATGGTTATTTTGGAATCCTTTGAACGGGGAGCTAGCTTTTTAGTCTCTGTGTCATTTTTGTATCATGATCTTTCTTCATTATGTAATTACAGAGTATCCAATAAAGAAACAACAAAGGAAAGTTTATATAACCCTCCCCCCTCTGTTTATATAACCCTCCCCCTCTGTTTATATAACCCTCCTCCCTCTGTTTATATAACCCTCCTCCCTCTGTTTATATAACCCTCCGCCCTCTGTTTATATAACCCTCCCCCCTCTGTTTATATAACCCTCCCCCTCTGTTTATATAACCCTCCTCCCTCTGTTTATATAACACTCCTCCCTCAGTTTATATAACCCTCCGCCCTCTGTTTATACAACCCTCCTCCCTCTGTTTATATAACCCTCCTCCCTCTGTTTATATAACCCTCCTCCCTCTGTTTATATAACCCTCCCCCCTCTGTTTATATAACCCTCCTCCCTCTGTTTATATAACCCTCCTCCCTCTGTTTATATAACCCACCTCCCTCTGTTTATACAACCCTCCTCCCTCTGTTTATATAACCCTACTCTCTCTGTTTATACAACCCTCCCCCCTCTGTTTATACAACCCTCCCCGATCTGTTTATATAACCCTCCCCCTCCGTTTATATAACCCTCCTTCCTCCGTTTATACAACCCTCCCCCCTCTGTTTATACAACCCTCCTCCCTCTGTTTATATAACCCTCCTCCCTCTGTTTATATGACCCTCCTCCCTCTGTTTATACAACCCTTCCCCCTCTGTTTATATAACCCTCCTCCCTCTGTTTATATAACCCTCCGCCCTCTGTTTATATAACCCTCCTTCCTCTGTTTATACAACCCTACCCCCTCTGTTTATATAACCCTCATCCCTCTGTTTATATAACCCTCCTCCCTCTGTTTATATAACCCTCCTCCCTCTGTTTATATAACCCTCCTCCCTCTGTTTATATAACACTCCTCCCTCTGTTTATATAACCCTCCTCCCTCTGTTTATATAACCCTCCTCCCTCTGTTTATACAACCCTCCTCCCTCTGTTTATACAACCCTCCTCCCTGTTTATACAACCCTCCTCCCTCTGTTTATACAACCCTCCTCCCTCTGTTTATACAACCCTCCTCCCTCTGTTTATATAACCCTCCTCCCTCTGTTTATATAACCCTCCTCCCTCTGTTTATACAACCCTCCTCCCTCTGTTTATACAACCCTCCTCCCTCTGTTTATACAACCCTCCTCCCTCTGTTTATACAACCCTCCTCCCTCTGTTTATATAACCCTCCTCCCTCTGTTTATATAACCCTCCTCCCTCTGTTTATATAACCCTCCTCCCTCTGTTTATACAACCCTCCTCCCTCTGTTTATATAACCCTCCTCCCTTCTGTTTATATAACCCTCCTCCCTCTGTTTATATAACCCTCCACCCTCTGTTTATATAACCTTCCTCCCTCTGTTTATATAACCCTCCTCCCTCTGTTTATATAACCCTCCTCCCTCTGTTTAATTAGCCTCTACTGAACTGGAAGTACGATAAGAACATAACTGACCAATTATTTTGTATGAAGTGAAGCAGGAAATTCGTGAACATGTTAGCTTCAAAGTATTTTTTTAAAAAAATCAAATTTTGATCAGATATAACAAATTTCATCATTTTAAGCATCTCTGGCATGTAAAACTGTAATATGCAGATTTGAGACAAATAGGAGTTAGATTGCCATGGTTTCCAGCTGTAAAGTACGCAAGCAGTAAGTCACTTAATTGGTCTTTCATACCCGTCGTTTGGCCATTAGCCCATTGTTGTTGTCTTGGAAAATCAACTTGGTCTGTTTGGGCACAAAATGTATTAAAAAGCATGATCACGTAAAAGACATGTTACACATAGTTCAAATGTTCAACTTAACAAATTAGCTTCAAGTATATTCAAATGACTTGGAATGGTTTGACTTCAAAAGGTCAAAGACATTTTGATTATCAATTACATTTTAAAGAAGGTTACAAAAGTATTAGATAGGTCTATTCGTAATACCACTACTGGTATCACATGTTCACATAATAAAATGAAATTAGACATTTGAATATACAAATGAAGCTGATGTTTAAATTTGCAAGAAAACAAAATCTTCACAAATGTAAGTGACTAGATAACATCAATTATGAGAACACATGTACATGACAAAAACAAGAAAACACAAACAAATAGCATCAGTTAGAATGAAAAGACATTTAAATCTGGGTCCTTATGATCTCCTTTTATTTGGCTCTACTTTTCAGTAAATAAAGAAGTATTGAAAATATTGTTTTAAATCTGGCTAAACAAAATTAGACACACATTATCATCCCATATAGTACACCATGCAAGGCCTCTATGAGATCTTGTGATGAAATCCAAACAGTGCAGATTAAACAAAATCACAATATTTATCACAAATTTAAATGAAACAGGGATTTTAATGTGTGGATCACAGTAAAAACAAACCAGGTGTTAAAAATATTTTTTTCATATGGGAGTTTTGACAGTGCAACGAACATTTAGTGAATTTACCATTAGTAAATAATCTTCAGTTGGCTACAAATATTACAAAAGAAAAACAAATTTCAGTTACATACAATGTCTTGTGAGATTTTTTAATACAGTTGGAATATAAAAAAGGAAAGACAGCATGTATAACATGACCCTAAGTATTGCTGTCCCACATTTAGCACAACATCTAGTTTAATACAGATAACCTATTCATCACCTAATATTTTTCCTAATAAAAATGTACTGTTACCTTTCAATTTCACATAGTTCCTAAACCTTGAGTTCATACAGAAATCAAACCTTGGCAATATTGCCACCAATATTGCTACCATCTCCTAACTTTTATAATTATATGTTTCATTTTAAATGCCCTATTATCTTCATGATTGCTTTTTTCCCTCTATTTCCAAGGTTGTGGATCTGGAGGCAAGTTTAGATAAAAATATTTTATATAAAGGGTAGAGCTATTTCAGGGGAAATAACATGCTTTACTGGGGATGAAGGGTAACATTTTTAGTCATACCAAACATTCTGATAAATGTAAAAAGGAAACGGAGGGGACAATGGCGAATATACAGCTGAAGCAATCTGTTTGTTATCTCATCACGAACAATCATTCATTTCAATATGTTACAAGAAAATCACACTCCTCACAAACGTCTCAAATCTGACAAACTCATTTATAATTCTTTATATTTTCAGCAGAGCTGGGTCATTTCATTGTAAAGTTATACTTTCATTGAGTTGTTTAGATAAGCTAAACTGACCATGATTTTAACAAAAGAATGTTGTTGGTTGGTCAAATTCCAAGTCCAAGAAGCACAAAGCATTCTACATGAAGCTGATCAAATCACTTAAGTCAAAGTTTTAGAAAATTCGCTCAGAATTTTGAATCCAGAAAAAAGTTTTTACTACCTAGACGTTTTGTAACACACAGTAAAACTCTATGTTATATCGAATGTTAGATTGTGTACTGACCTGCATTGCCCTGTCACTAGAAGCATAGCTATTAATCATGGCAAGACTCTCCTGGAAACGTGAGTTACTGAGGCCAACATCGTCTCCTAAGAGCTTCGATACGGAGATAATCACCTAAATAATAAAATACTGTATATCATCTAAGAAGTCTGATAAAATCTACTTCATAATGATAATCAATAACGTTGGTTTTTACTTCTGATGATCTGGAGTCAATGGATGGAGGTGGGACAATAGAAACAACTTATCTGAAGTGTAAATACGAGGGACTAATGTACCTGTAAGTGGACGGAGGTGGGACAAAAGAAACGACTTATTTGAGGTGTAAATACGAGGGACTATGTACCTGTAAGTGGACGGAGGTGGGACAAAAGAAACGACTTATTTGAGGTGTAAATACGAGGGACTATGTACCTGTAAGTGGACGGAGGTGGGACAAAAGAAACGACTTATTTGAGGTGTAAATACGAGGGACTATGTACCTGTAAGTGGACGGAGGTGGGACAAAAGAAACGACTTATCTGAAGTGTAAATACGAGGGACTAATGTACCTGTAAGTGGACGGAGGTGGGACAATAGACACAACTTATTTGAGGTGTAAATACGAGGGACTAATGTACCTGTAAGTGGACGGAGGTGGGACAAAAGAAACGACTTATCTGAGGTGTAAATACGAGGGACTATGTACCTGTAAATGGACGGAGGTGGGACATAAGAAACAATTTATCTGAGGTGTAAATACGAGGACATAATGTACCTGTAAATGGACGGAGGTGGGACAATAGACACAACTTATCTGAGGTGTAAATACAAGGACATAATGTACCTGTAAGTGGATGGAGGTGGGACAAAAGAAACGACTTATTTGAGGTGTAAATACGAGGGACTATGTACCTGTAAGTGGACGGAGGTGGGACATAGACACAACTTATCTGAGGTGTAAATACGAGGACATAATGTACCTGTAAGTGGACGGAGGTGGGACAAAAGAAACGACTTATCTGAGGTGTAAATACGAGGGACTATGTACCTGTAAATGGACGGAGGTGGGACATAAGAAACAATTTATCTGAGGTGTAAATACGAGGACATAATGTACCTGTAAATGTACAGAGGTGGGACAATAGAAACAACTTATTTGAGGTGTAAATACGAGGGACTAATGTACCTGTAAGTGGACGGAGGTGGGACAATAGACACAACTTATTTGAGGTGTAAATACGAGGGACTTTGTACCTGTAAGTGGACGCGAGTGAAGCTTTTCTTCTTTGTGTACTCAAAGTTGGCTCTCATAAGAAGATAAAGGAGAGCACATGCTTCTTTCCGCGTTGAGTAGAGTTTTGAGTTACAGCACCGCAGCACCTGTAAAATACATCAACAATTTGTATCAGGGACATACCAACTTTTTGGTTGCGTGTAGTTGCTGTACAGGCACACTAAGGCTCTTTCTGATAATGTATCATCATTTCTGAAGAGCAATTGAAATTTCAGACAACAAAATGGTAGAGAATTAAATGTTTGTGAGTGTGATGTCAACACATAGCTAAGACAAAACCTTCTTATTGTAAGATGAGATGGTCGTCATTGTGATGTCATGAAGAAATAATCTATTTCTTTGTGTGACGTGAAGATGGATGTGTTTGATGTTCGTTAGTTTGCCTCTTGTTTCCATTGTTGTGTATCTTGTTCTCATTTGAGAAAGTGACAGGGTTACCTGGCAGGTGTTGTTGATGAAGCAATAAACACTTAATTTCCGGAATACCTGTTGGTATTTTTTTGCTGTTTTTTTCTGTTAGTCTGACCACTTTTGCAGTGAAATCAATATTTTCACTTCATCAGTAATACTAACATTTTTTTAATGTTTTACATACTTTTTCAGAAAAGAGTGTGACATACATACCTCATAACAAAGATCTCCACACAAACTAGCCTGTCCTCGGAACAATACAGATGGGAACTGAAAACAGGTATTTTTAGTTGTACTCTGTTATGCATGTATATGAAACCCTTGATCAAGAAAGATAACTCTCAATACTATCAACAATCTAGCTAACCCATTCAACAAGGGCTAGTACAATTACCTATTTAACTTAGATCCATTCAGCACGGGTTCAAACATCCAGTTAACTCAGACCAATTCAATAAAGGCTGGTTCAAACATCCAGTTAACTCAGACCAATTCAACAAAGGCTAGTTCAAACATCCAGTTAACTCAGACCAATTTATCAAAGGTTGGTTCAGTCAGTTACTACAGTGACCACAGTCTAAGTAGCGAAGTATCACTTCAGTAGATAGTAAAGTGCATGTCTGGTCAACTATAGCTCAACATCTGATAACATAGCAAAGCAGATTCATTGTTATAGACTGTGATAGGATCAAGTATTTACATAAGGAATTAGGATACAAACCTTCTTGATGAAGGAACGCCAGGCAGCAAACACATGTTTCTGGAGATGTTCTGACTGACTGGTTTGCAGGAAAGACAGGTATAGACTAAAAATCTTTCTCATCAAACTGTTGTCTCCATTTTTGTGATCTAAATTCCCCTGTTAATACAAGAATATAAAAATTCCTGAAACCATGTACATCAATGTTGCTTTTTACATTTTTGTAATAAAAGTTTTATCTGAAAACAGAGCCAGGAATAAATTGATACACAAGACAGAAAGTCAATAAAAGTTGATGGTAGACTGATGAAGGTTGAACATGAATAATTTCATTCTGACCTTAAAAGTTTGGCAGTATGTACTGAGCAGATCAAGAAAGATGAGGCCAATTTCTGTTGTCATGTTGGCCTCTTGTAGAGCCTTCATCACAGCGTCTGCATCTGAAGACATTCCACCTACAATACAGACAACATGTCAGAGAATTCTGAATGTATAATGGTTAAATTGTACATGGCTGAACTTCATTGTAATTGTATCAAACCTGGTTGTTTTAATCTCATGGTATCACTTTCTCTCAACTATTTCATAACTTATTGGCAACAAGTATTTCACAGAAGTTATGAGATTTTCCACTGATTTTAACACTACACACTTGGTGTTACATGATGCTGAGTGTTATCTCCTGTGAAAAAATTATACTTTTACAAAGAAGTTAGATTGTATGATCAAATTACTCTTACAAATATTCCATCGATATTTTTTTTAAATCATAAGCACTCTAACAGATTTCTCTTCAAAAATGCTATGATCTTTTCACACAATGTCATTAACTTGTGGTATAAAATAGGAATAACAGCCAGTTCCAAAGTCTGTGACAATAGGCAGAAACCTTAACTGTGTTACATTTAGCCTAAAAAGGATTGACCTTTGACGTCAAATTATTGTCAAATCACACATTATCTGAGCTTAGAGTGACACTAACCTTTGACTCAAGAAATAAGATTAGACTGACCTTTGACCTGGTGTGAAATAAATATCTTGCGTTTTTGTAACAATAATCAATAACATATTTAATGCCCATACACTACAGTCTTTTGATAAAGATCAAAAGTCAGTAAAGACCACATATTAAATCTAAGATCTAGAAAACATACCTGATACATCACATGTCAAAGACATTTGACCTCATCAGCAAAATCACAATGACCTTTGAACTGAGATGTAAAACTCACCCTGATGTGGGCTGTCCGGGATATCTCCGTATTGGCTGACTGTGCGCAACTGGAAGTTGCTGCTGACAACGCTGGGAGTGGAGCGCCGTGCGTAGGGCATTGTGGATGCCTTTCTGCTGTCTCCAATTACACTGAAATTACGTGATGGCCCTATTACAGTGTGATCCATCTAAACTGAATATGTGTAATCCAGAACTTTAAATGACCTGTCTAAACTGGACTCTGTATAATCCAGTGCCCCATGTGAGCTGTATAAATCAAACTCCATATTTTCCAGAAACTTGTATTTACACTTGGTACAACTGTACAAGCTGTCTTGTAATTAATCTCTCTGCAACCTGAATTCTACTTTTAGTTCATAATTAAAACTAGACCTTTACTTACTGTAATATGCTGATTGAAAATACTTTGATAGAAGTTCTAAAAAAGCAGATCCAAATTAGATCAACCATCATATTACAGTAAGTAAATTTCTATCCCTCCGAGTTTTCTCAAGGGCAAACAAACAAATTGTGAATCAAAATTCAGGGGATTGGCTTATTAGAGAGAAAAAAAACAAAACAAAAACATTTGTATGTAATTCTACTGAACAGCAATACATTGGGGTAGATTTATTGGCAGGTTTATATCTGGACAAATATGGCAGGTATGTATATATGTGTTGTATAATGGCCATACCTGAGATCGTGGATCTTTTTCCGTCCCTGGTATTTAAAGTGAGTCAGACAAACCCTGTAATAGTATATAGGATAATGGTATTTAATACTGATATCAAACATCTCTAATACATCAAACTTTCAGGAAACGGAATGTCGGCCTTAAAACCAGTACAGTCTCTCAATCAACAAAATGGTATCAAATCAATTAAAACATTCATGTGAAATAGGTCTGTTATACAATAAAAATTCTAAATCAAAGGAAAGACGATTTAAATGGTTGAAATTTCACAAAAAAAAAAAAAGAACAATATCAAATCCATTAACATTTTTATAATGACCAAAAAGAAATTCTTAATCTAGTGACATTTCACAGAGAAAGAATCACAGTGTGTCTTCCATTAATGTCCATTAACTGTTTCTGATCTTCACTTACTCCAGGATGCTGAAGAAGTCCAGGATGTCATACTCAGAGGAATTATTGAACCAACCAAGGAGGATGTCTGGAAAATAGAAATCTATATATAGTGACGTAGCGAGGAGGTTGAGAGGAAGAGAACTGAAAATGTAAAATAGATTGAACTTTGTACCTTGTGGGAGATGAGGGAAGGGGTGTGACAACTGATAATATAAAGTAGATTGAACTTTGTACCTTGTGGGAGATGAGGGAGAGAGGTGTGACAACTGATAATATAAAGTAGATTGAACTCTGTACCGTCTGGGAGATGAGGGAAGGGGTGTGACAACTGATAATATAAAGTAGATTGAACTCTGTACCATCTGGGAGATGAGGGAAGGGGTGTGACAACTGATAATATAAAGTAGATTGGACTTTGTACCTTGTGGGAGATGAGGGAGAGAGGTGTGACAACTGATAATATAAAGTAGATTGAACTCTGTACCGTCTGGGAGATGAGGGAAGGGGTGTGACAACTGATAATATAAAGTAGATTGGACTTTGTACCTTGTGGGAGATGAGGGAGAGAGGTGTGACAACTGACAATATAAAGTAGATTGAACTCTGTACCGTCTGGGAGATGAGGGAGAGAGGTGTGACAACTGACAATATAAAGTAGATTGAACTCTGTACCGTCTGGGAGATGAGGGAAGGGGTGTGACAACTGATAATATAAAGTAGATTGAACTCTGTACCGTCTGGGAGATGAGGGAGAGAGGTGTGACAACTGATAATAAAAAGTAGATTGAACTTTGTACCATCTGGGAGATGAGGGAAGGGGTGTGACAACTGATAATATAAAGTAGATTGAACTCTGTACCGTCTGGGAGATGAGGGAGAGAGGTGTGACAACTGATAATATAAAGTAGATTGAACTGTGTACCATCTGGGAGATGAGGGAAGGGGTGTGACAACTGACAATATAAAGTAGATTGAACTTTGTACCATCTGGGAGATGAGGGAGAGAGGTGTGACAACTGATAATATAAAGTAGATTGAACATTGTACCGTCTGGGAGATGAGGGAGAGAGGTGTGACAACTGATAATATAAAGTAGATTGAACTTTGTACCTTCTGGGAGATGAGGGAGAGAGGTGTGACAACTGATAATATAAAGTAGATTGAACATTGTACCGTCTGGGAGATGAGGGAGAGAGGTGTGACAACTGATAATATAAAGTAGATTGAACTTTGTACCATCTGGGAGATGAGGGAAGGGGTGTGACAACTGATAATATAAAGTAGATTGAACTCTGTACCGTCTGGGAGATGAGGGAAGGGGTGTGACAACTGATAATATAAAGTAGATTGAACTCTGTACCGTCTGGGAGATGAGGGAGAGAGGTGTGACAACTGACAATATAAAGTAGATTGAACTCTGTACCGTCTGGGAGATGTTTGAGGTAACCTTAAACTACGGATTAAGAGGTGTGACAACTGACGATATCAAATAGATTGAACTTTGTACCGTGTGGGAGGTGTTTTAGGATTTGAAACTTTGGAAGGAGGGGGTTGAGAGAAAACAGTAGAGCAAACTTTGTAGCTTCAAGGAGATGTTTGAGGGAATCTGAAACTTTGGAAGAGGAGAGGTGTTGAGAGACGACAATTGATGATATGAGGAAGAGCAATCTTTGTACTCTCCAGGAGATGTTTGAGGATCTGAAACTTTGAGAGTGAGAGGTGACAACTGATGATATAAAGTACAGCAAGCTTCGTACCGTCTGGGAGATGTTTGAGGATGTACAGGAAACAAAGGAGAAGATCCTTGATTTCTACGATATCAAGTCGCTGGTATTTCAACATCATGGAGGACGGTTTAGGGGATGGAGCTGTTCCCTTATCTGTGCCAACAGTTGACCCTGAAGAGTGTACTCTGAAATACAAGTATACAGAAGTTAACAGGTGGGAAACAGAACAACAACTGCTTGATTATAGAGTGACGCAAGGTAACGATAGTCTGTGGTCTCAAAAGTAAACTGTATATTGTTATCTAAGGATAGATACTACCTAATTGATAGAGTATAACTGAGACTGTTCTTTCACTTAAGGATATATGCTACCTAATTGATAGAGTACAACTAAGACTGTTCTTTCACTTAAGGATATATGCTACCTAATTGATAGAGTACAACTAAGACTGTTCTTTCACTTAAGGATATATGCTACCTAATTGATAGAGTATAACTGAGACTGTTCTTTCACTTAAGGATATATGCTACCTAATTGATAGAGTACAACTGTAACTGTTCTTTCACTTAAGGATATATGCTACCTAATTGATAGAGTACAACTGAGACTGTTCTTTCACTTAAGGATATATGCTACCTAATTGATAGAGTACAACTGTAACTGTTCTTTCACTTAAGGATATATACTACCTAATTGATAGAGTATAACTGAGACTGCTCTTTCACTTAAGGATATATGCTACCTAAAACATACTTCTGTGAATTTTGTTAAACCCTAGTATATATTATTCTATATATTCGAAAAACCTTTAAAATCAACATTGACAGACCTCGTGTGTCCTTTGTCGGCTTTCTTGTCACGTCCGCCATCTGATTTTTTACTTCCTTCCTTCTCTGATCGATCCATGGAAGACGTACTACTGGTCAAGGAACTGTTAGAACCACTCAGGTGGTTCTTCAGATCAGGTACTGAACTCAAAACGGGGGCACCTGTAGGGGGAATTAAGCTATCATAGTCTTATACCTTATCATGGTATCCACATTGTTACTATCTTTAGTAATTTGAGCCAATCAAAGTTTTTAAAGCAAATAAAAATGATAAAGCTGTCTCTGCAGGAGAAAAAAGGGAAAAATTGCAGAATCTTCAGCTCAAAAATCAATTGAAGAAATGTCCAATTTCTAATGTTATTATACTATTATTATATATAAAGGAACATTCTGAAACTGCAGAAAATACATATCGTTTCATCTGTCCAAATATCACAATATTTCTCCACAGTCATCCATGTTTTGAATGTCTGCGGACATATGTTGATAATATTCATAATTAAAATATGAAGTGTTTGTCCAAGAGATAATCATTTTCAGAAACAAACATGGAGAATTCCTTTACCATTGTAATGCAGATATTAACAGTACAAGGTCTATTGACTGACTTAGTACAATTTCACCTACCGGTTCCAGCTATCATAGCAAACACCTTTGAGTCACGCTGGTCGAAGGTGACGGTCTTCTGTCCAGACTGAGATGTGTGAGATCGTAGGTCAGTCTTCGTGCTCCCTGACACGTCTCCATTAGCAACTGGAGGTGGGGGTACTGAGGGGTTCATAGGGTCATCCATCAGGTGGCGCTTCTGTTCCATCAGGATGGATATAAGGGGCAGATAAAGGGCTGCAATCCTCCCCTGCTGGGTCTGTCACAAAATGTGATGAAATTGATAAATAGAATATTGGAGAACCAATCAGAGCTAAGGAATTCAGATACAGCAGTGTTTGTTTAATTGCTGGGTTTATTGGCCTGTGAACAGCCAGGGTCGTTTTGCAACAGGGTGTCCTTGTATCAGCTGGTAGCTACCTCACTGAACAACATATCAGAGGCCCATCACATGTCATCCAGAACAAGTAAAGTGTCTTTCCCAAGGCAGTGATACAATGAACTTACATAGAACATCTTATTACTTTAAATGTATAAAGGTTGAAGGACAGTGGTCAGAACTGGTCAATAATTTCATAACTACTTACCTTAGAAAGGTAGCGGTCATCAAACGAATGTTTGGCCAGCTGGTCACGGAGGACGGTGATAGCTATACGACGAATTTCTCGTGGCTCACTCAAGGCCATCTTCAACTCCTGAAGTATTAAGCCTGCTAGGTAGTGTTGTTTACGATACTCCTCTGATAATGTGTAGTCGCATTTCAGATCTGTAACCATAACAACATACATTAGTCGATCGACTCCTAATAAAAAACACAACTTTCAAAATTAGGACTGTGATTGTGTAAAGGAATATATCCTTTCACTCAGTACCTTCATATCTTCAGAAATTGAAATGTTACATGCACAATTTTTCAAATGTATTTCTTGAATATGGTATTATCACTTATTTAGTTCAAAAATGATTTTTGGCTTGGGATGGCATGTAAACTCACTTTGTGAATGACAATTTTTTCTGTATTATAGGCTAAAGATTTATATATTGTATCAAGCCCCATTATCATTAAGACTGGCTACCTATCTGTTTAACACAAAAATGGAACACAAATATATATATATATATTGAGGGACTGGAACAAATACCAAATGATCAGGATAATTAGTTTATAAATCTAACAAACAATAACATTACAACCATTCAATATCCAAAATACATAACATTAAAAAGTTTGAAAATCCTCATTAAAGTTAATAGCTGCCTTTGTAAAGCTGAGATAACAACTAAATATTTGATATCTGAGAAATTGTAATTTATCCTAAAGGTTTTTATTATGACCTAATTTAATAGATATTTGTTATTCAACATTGTTTTTGTGAGAATTGGTGTTAAACTGGTTTTGAACAATTTTAATAATGTTATATTCCATAACCAACACTTCATGTGAGTCCCAACAAATGACCACAGAGACATAATGACACATTCAGATTTAACACCGAGACATAATGACACATTCAGATTTAACATAAATATCCATCATTAATTTTTTGTTTTTTCAATAATCAATCATGAAAGAAAAATGACCAGCATTCAACCTCCATCTCCCAATATTAGTCAACATTTTAAAGTTTATTTTCATTAACAATTACAATTTGTTTATTATGGAATGGTTTTCCATCCAATGAACAACTTAGTACTGCATGCATAAGAAAGACAAAGGAGTAAATGTTGACCTCAAGTTAATAGCTTGTTAAATTCAATATTTGATCTTTGACTTTTGACCTATGGACTTTCATTACATTTAATCTGATTGGATAATAAGTGTATGGTCTTGTTGATTTGACCTTAGTGCACTGACCTTTGACTTATATAATAAAATGATGTTATTGAGCATTATGAAATGTTGAAAGTTTAAACATGAAAATAAGTAAAGAAGCCAGATTGATGTCTTCATTAAATCAAGCTGTTTTATTTCCCTGTAGATTTTGTCAACAAGTTAGCCTCAGCTGATGATACAAGGATAATTCTTGGCAGAATTACAGAAATTGTTGGCACATTTCCATTAGTTGTCAAAACCAATTGTTCCCACATTAGTTCAAAATTTATTTAGGAAAAGTAAACAAGAAAAGTAAAGAAGACTTGCTGTAAATAGTCAGATTGCATTTCAACACTGAAAAAAACAAAGATTAGAAAAATTTAGGCTTATAAACCTATTACTATTTGTCCAATGATCTTTTCAAACTTTACAAAAAAAGAAAATATTAATAAAAACAAAAGTATAAGTTAATACTAAAAAGTCAAATAGTATAAAAAAAGGAAGAAAGGGCCACAACTCTGCATATTCAATTGAATATAATAATCAATTTCAGTATTCAACACTCTATATTCTCAACAGTTTATCACATACATTTGACAACTATCAATATTTCAAATCCCAGTCCCAGTAATCCAGTCATTAATCTTGATGTCCCTGTATATCCATTCACTGTCACAGTAATCAGATCAATAATCTGTGTCCCTCTATATCTAACCATTCTCCAAATAATCCAGTCATTAATCTTGATGTCCCTGTATATCCATTCACTGTCACAGTAATCAGATCAATAATCTGTGTCCCTCTATATCTAACCATTCTCCAAATAATCCAGTCATTAATCTTGATGTCCCTGTATATCCAGTCACAGTCATAGTCATCCAGTCACTTATCTCATTGTCCCTTTAAATAGAGCTTGGAGTACCTCTTTATCCAGTCACTATCATAGTAATCAAGTCACTAATCTCAGTGTCCCTCTAAATATATTTAATACTCCAGTAATTCAGACACTAATTTGAATAGTCCTCTTTATACTGATAACCAATTGGCTGTTTCATAAGGCACTTTTTCAACAAATAACGATATAATAAATATGCTTTGTTACAAAGATCAATCATCAAGGTGACATGCAGGGAAACATTGCGAGATATTCATGCCAAGTCATTTATAATAAGATTTCTTTGGATTGGTAAATTTTTATGTTTCTTTAAATCTCAATCTGAAAAGGAAAACAGTTAAATTGCAATATTACCATCAGTTACTTTAAAACATTTTAACAAAATTTCTGACAAATGTATACTACCAACAACAGTTCTTGTATAATTCTCCTAAATATGACAATTCATCTTAACCTGAATACAATATATGTAAAGCTTCCAAAATTGTTTAAAGGAACTTAATATACATTGATAGCATGATAACTAGTCTAGATGGTGTAATATTCTGTTTATACATCCATTGATCCCAGTAGGACCATCTGAGATTTGGTTAGTCAGAAACAAAGCGATCACACAGTGACGTGGTGTGTGGTAGCTGTCCGATATCAAGATCAGGACCAACCTCTCTAAATAATTCCATTATGTGTGTATTTACTGTTATACCGACCATCCTGTTGAAATAACCGTTGTATATACATAGATTTACAAGGAATCACACAATGGCTGACAATCAGGTAGAACTACGATCATTAATCTCAGTATGATATCTTATAGTAATTATTTAAGGCATGTCATTTTCATTTGCTGAGAGTTGAAAGTAAAACTGCTGGCCAAGAACTGAGAGTGGTGATTTGAGAAGTAAACAACATAATTCTTTCATAATTATACCGAAGGTTTCTTACTGATCAACAAAAATACTAACACAATAAAAATACAACACAACAAACATTACCAAGACCCAGCTCATTGGTGAGGATAACAGAATCTAAATCTGAAATAGAAATTGTTGTAAGGCGAAATGGACCAGTTCCAACTAAAGCTGTGGACACCAGGAAAATGCCTAACAATGTAGCCCCTGGGTACTTGATGTATAAGGCTGCTTCACACAGCAATGGCCAGGTCAAGGTCATTGGTAAAAATAGATTTCACAGGTATGGTATTGCACAAAAATAAATCATGTGACACTATCACATGAGCCTAACTGAGAGTTATAAATTACAAACCACTGAAACTATACCATGTAAATTTTGAAGTTTCAAATTTGTCTCAAAAATAATTCCATGCGAAAAGAAATAAAATTGATTTCCCACATCACATCACAACACACTACTATATTCTATCTATTTGATCTCAAGGAATGAGGCACTAATATCATACACAACTAACCAAAAACTCAGCAAAATTTAACTACACAGTGACACTTGTAAACTAACATCTTCAATCAAATCTCGTGGTGAGGTACTGATGCCAACAGGAATTTGTACAAAAAAAAAAAAAGTTACCACAGTAACAGCATAATCCATGGGAATAGCAATCCATTGCCAGGCAAGCAATGGTTACCAAGGAAACAATGGCTACCAGGCAAATATTGGTTACCAAGGAAACAATGGCTACCAGGCAAATATTGGTTACCAAGGAAACAATGGCTACCAGGCAAATATTGGTTACCAAGGAAACAATGGCTACCAGGCAAATATTGGTTACCAAAGAAACAATTATTACCAAGGAATGATGTGGCTACCAAGGCGTAACATGTGCTTGCAGATATTGAAATTTCAAGCAAAGTTTAGAAAAGTCTAAATGCAACAAAAATCAGACATTATGTACAATGAAATATTGTTAAGCATCATGATTAGAATCAAGAGAAGCATAGGAAAGATATCACTGAAAGGCGAGACAATGCACACAAGCAAAAGAAAAATACTCCATTTATTCAAACACAGTGCAGGATTCAAACCACTTCATGCAACAAAATATTGTAACTATTCGCTGATCTACAGAAATAGTTTAAAGTGAACTTTTTACCTTCCAGTTTGATGTCTGTGCAAAGAATAGCATTGAATAAAACAGATCGGTTAAAACGTGTCTAAACTAGAATTACAATGAATGTTCACCCTACAATCATTCCTTGTTTAAAATTGAATGTTCCAATATTTGTTTGTTTTATTTGTAGTTTATTTGTAATATTCAGGTGATATAGTATCTTTACTATCATAAAAAAGAACTTATGATGATCACATTAAAAAATGGGCTCATTTTTGTGACATGTACCTTTTTTAACCATATCAGTGATTTTATTCATTTTAATATTATTTACCATATTTCTGATTTCATAATATCTCATTATCTTTTTAATGCATGCATAGTACACCAGGATATTTTAAATAACTTTAAATAATTCTACTTCTAGAAAGATTTCTGTTGTTTCAATTTTTACTCTTTTCTTCTATCAGATTTTTGTAATCTGTAAAAAGATGTATCAGCACTTTAACGTTTCTAAAGAGAAAAGATATACTTTGCTTATCTAACCCCATATCTAGTCAGAAAACATTGACATTGATGTCATATTTTAAATCTTTGAAAAAAAATATTGATTACCTCTGACAAGGGGAATAACTCATACTTGAGATAAAGTAAGTTTAGGTAAATGTTTTCAGCCCTAAACTGTAGTATTGTCTAAAAGCAGTGATATATAAACGCTAATGTCAGTGCTAAATTATTGCGATATCCGTGGATATTTGTCATTAAATTTCAGATGAAAATTACATTTAAACACATCAGATACTCAAGTATGACTTGCATTTCTTTAGATCAAAGGGAAAAAAAAAACAGAAAATCAGCCTCAAGTATCCAATGAAAATCTAAAAGTCATGCTGATATTGCAATAGTACTAATGAATAGGAATTAATGTCTATATCTAATATTATTAATGATAAATAAATAGTCAAGGCAATTATAACAGTGTTTCATTATGTATACAAGAAGTGAGATACATGATACCAATATAAAAATACTGTTATAACCTTTTCCATATTATAAATTAAAAGACATGCAGATTACAACTTTTCCCAAACTGTCCATATTTAATAGATAAATTTTGATAAAACCTGAAGGCAGATTTTTAAATACAATGTACCTAAAGACAGATTGGAACATAAAGCAGAGGAATCGTACCTACTATGATCACTGTAGCCCAAATTAATCTATGTTTTATCAACTCCAAACTAATATGAAAAAGTCAAAAGTACAGCAGAATAATTCTGATTCCTATGACTGATAAAGGGGCATAACTCTAGGTTAATACTGGTATATTTTACATGTTTTTTTCAAGGAAAACAAGAAGAAACCTTTAACCTTAACAACTCTTCCAAATGAGATTTAATAATAAATATTGGTAAAGAATTGCCTGATTTGAGGTTTATTATAACAACTTGTTAAACTATCAAAAATATCATCATAAAATCACACATAATTTGTTAATAGGAAATACTCTAGGCAACCAATTGGAATCATGGAATAATTTACAACCTAACTATGAAGGATGAAGGGACCTTTTCTAACAATAGTACACAGATAAACCTGAAAACATCAAGATATTAATGAGAAGAACATGTGAAGGTATTGCCCAATGTGCATCTTTATCATCAAAAAATGAAGCATTCTGTGAGCATTAAGCTGATAGCAGATAACTCACAGTACAAATAGGCTGTTCAAAGTAACAATTCCAAAAAGACACTCGGGAAGAAAGATTCAATAAAGCATCTAATAAATCTCAAGCCAAATTTGAAGGAGGGCTTGGTTAAAAATTTGACTGTTATATCAGCTGTCAGTTAAGTGAAAGAGAGTTATCTGTGAGTGGAGAGAACTCACCTTTAAATGTCTTTATCATTCCTTTCCTCATCAGTGGTAAAGACAGTGGAACGTAGTGCTCATGGCTACAGACTGTTCGTAAGAAGTCAAACTTGCACTCCTGCAGCGTCTACAGCATAAAAGACAAATGTCACTAAATTTGAAGCTAAAATCGTGAAAACTGAAAGATTTTTACAAGGACATAAACCCATGAGCCCATATTTGACAGTAAGACATCCATATTATATACAAGTCATTAGAAGTGCTTACAAATGGTCTTTCATTGCCTCTTATAAGCCAAACTTTTAGCTTTAGAGAGAAAATACAAAGGGATATAACTCTAACATAAACCACAGGTATAATGTGTAAGGTACCATAAATCCTTAACCCAAACACAAACCACAAATATGATGTGTAAGTTAGCATACATAATCAAACTATAAATCATTTTATTTTCATTTCAATAAGTAAATTCTATTAAAAAAAGAGTCAAACGCCATTCAATTTCTACGTGTGTCTTTGATACCATAATGTCTAAATATACATAAGATAAGAAATAATAGCAAAATAATGTAACATGTTATCACTATGGCAACACAGAGGTCATCATTTTATAGAAATTATAGCCCTACTTAGTAAGGTCAAAACAGATAGTCTAAAGGAGTCCAGAACATGTAAATGAATTGACCTCCAGAGGTGACCTTATTGACCTGACCTCCAGAGGTGACCTTATTGACCTGACCTCCAGAGGCGACCTTACCTTGGAATCACCTGGTCCAAAGCACTCAAGGTAGGAGCTGATAAGTCGAAACACAAAGCCTCGGTCCATCAGGGTGAAACACATCTGTACCCAGGTAATTACAAAATAATCACTTCTAAGTAATTAAATTCATTTTTCAACTGACATAAATCAGACATGTACAATAAATAATCCTGTTAAAATTAATCACATGATTTGTAGAATGAACTGATTTCAAGTATAATCATTTAAAGATCACAAAGAGAAAAAGTTTTAAATATTATGGCATTACTGTAATTATACAGTTGAATATTATCTAGAGGACTATCTAAATATTTAACTATTATAATTACTATAATTACTTCTGTGATATAAAATACAACTGAAATAAACTGGCAGTTGAAAAAAATTCTTAATTTGTTAAAAAATTGATTTTCACAACAAGAATTCCAGGTTAATTCATGCAGTGAATGAACTGGCTAATATGGTCAATCACTGCAGAAAACTACTCGGCAGATTTCCAGATGATCAACGCTGTAAATAACATGTTTTAAGTTTTCGAACTCCACTGATTGTAAAACACAAATACAAAAAATAAGAAAAAACAAGAATAAAATTCGACTATCAGCTGATGATACCTTGACAAAATTGGCCATGCTAAGATTGGCACTTTTGGTTTCTCGTGGCATCTCGCGGTGTTTTTGTGTGATGTTTGGTGCCAGAGTCTGTAGTAAGCGTTCTATACGGAACTGGTAATCACTACTAAATCTTTCATTCCTCGGCATCTATAGAAAATAACAAACAAAAGTCAGTAAAAATACAAAAAAAAAACTTATACTTACAAGTAAAAATACTTAAAATTGGCAAAAAGTTCACATAGAAATAGGGGATTTATTTTACAATATAAAACTGACACACACTGAGATGGGGGATTTATGTTACAATATAGAACTGACACACACTGAGATGGGGGATTTATGTTACAACATAGAACTGACACACACTGAGATGGGGGATTTATGTTACAACATAGAACTGACACACACTGAGATGGGGGATTTATGTTACAATACAGAACTGACACACACTGAGATGGGGGATTTATGTTGCAACATAGAAATGACACTATTTGAGAGTTCTTATCTATCCTGGATCTGAGATACAAGGTCATGCCCCTTGTGTGAGTTTATAATGTATCCTGGATCTGAAGTACAAGGTCATGACCCTTGTGTGAGTTTATAACGTATCCTGGATCTGAAGTACAAGGTCATGACCCTTGTGAGAGTTTAAACTGTATCCTGAATCTGTTTGGATCCGAGGTACAAAGCCTTGACCTCAGTGAGAGTTTAAACTGAACCCTGGTTCTGTCTGTATTTGAAGCACAAGGTCATGACCTTGATCATACTTACATCTGAGTGATGATGGTGTTTATACAACATACCTTAATTCTGTCGGAGTCTATGAGGTACATTGTCATACTTTTGATGAGTGTTTCAAAGAAGAACCAAGAGTGTTGAAGGAACTTGGTGACCACTAAGTGGTCAGCCATGGATGGCTGCAGGATCTGGGTTAAGTTCTTGGCCAGCTCCTCATGGACGGTCCGCTGTTTACTTCCTTTAGGGACAGGCCGAGGTTTGAACACATACTGAACAACACAAAAAGTAAACACAACAAAACTGACTAAAAATTTAAACAATAGACTCAATCAAAAGTTCAAATGTAAAAAAAATATGGTTGTTGGCAGTCCAGATATTTCAGTCAGAAAGAGCAAGTGTTCAAAAAGTAACTGAAATAGCTAAAATTATGAAAGCATCAATTTAATTGTTTTCCTCTTGACAATCAAAGTCAATACAAATGGTGAGAAGAAATGGACAATTTTATTGAGTGTAGTTACAAACCAGGGAAATATTTCACTTATGGGCAAATCATGCTGTATCAAGCAGTATTCCCTTATAAAAAGGATTTTTTTCTCTCAAATTTTAACTTGTTAATCTCTTTTTATAATAAACAAATTCTAGACTTACTTTCACATAATTTCTCAGCGTCCTAATTCTTTCAGCTGAATTCACTTCAGACACAATGTGTACCAACACTCTAAAAAGGAATGTATTTTTTTTTATATATATTTAACTATTACACGCAAGGAAAAAATGTGAGGAAAGAAAATTAAACACATTAAACACATTCACGTTATTAAAACAAGCTGTCCACTGATAGGCAATGACCAATCATTTAAACACTCGTTTGAAGTGGAGGTGCTGATCAGAGTTGTATAGGATGCTAGCTCTCTATATATCAAGTGGATATTTAATGAGTTACCATTTAACAGTTTAATAAAAAAAGTAGAAAATTTTCAATATAAAGGAAAGTCAGGAACACAAAAAATATAATTTTCAATAAATTTTCAATAAATTTGATACATCCTATGACATCTCTACTCACTAGATCTGTAATGATAATGATGATAAGACTTAAACATTACTTTGATCAATATCAAAAGAAGATGCTAACAATACTGGTTACCTCCCTTAGACATCATTAATTGACCTCTACTGACCAGTGTTATAACTTACTTGACCACATTGACTGCTACATCCTCACACTCTGTCTTGGACAGGAGAGAAAATAGCTGGTTGAGAATTGTTGGCAAAAATTTAACGTAGGTACTGACATCTGAGGCATGGAGAGACTGAAAACAGGGAAGTGTCATGTCACAAATTGTGAAATATACAGTGTTTTTTCAGACTTAGAACTCATTTGCAAGTCACATGTTAATGAGTTTCATTATAAAAAGATATTGTTGAAAGAAATAGCAGGTTCTTTCTCAAAGAATGTGAATCCCTGATGTACTTCATACAATTTAAAACCAAAAAATTTTGTTCCTTAAATCATAAATGTATGGCTTACCTTTCTGATATATTTTCAAAACACATTAATATTGATTTCACAAGATATTACACACTCTGAACTTATATCTATCAATATCACAAGTTTATACAATGTTATTTCCATAGTTACAGCTGAAAGATATTATATTGTTATTTTTCATACAAATAAAACACAAGTGATTTTTAAAATTATTCGGTTTTTTTTTTTTTTTTGTGAATTTTTATCCACTATAATAATATACTTTTGTGGGGCTCATTTTTCATTGTGTTTCAAATAATTTCTTTTTCATGGAAACTTCATATCAATGATAATTATAGCTCAATAAATCCACCTAAAGTAAGCTTAACAGGTCATAGGCATAGGAATTTGAAGAAATAAATAAAAAATTAACCCACACAAAAATGAATGATTTCACAATACAATGAGACTTTCTCTGATATGAATAAAAGTCTTACTTGGTATTAAACAATGATATAAGTATCTGCTTAATGAGTGTTATAAGACTGACATTATCTATCACACAATGTTATGTAGACATTGTATACATTTTATAAAGTGAATGATAAGTTTTCAATGTTTGTCTTCAAAAATAAATCTCAAAGCAAATGGCTCACATTTACATTGATATAATAATCATCATATTCATGCGACAATGAAGTGTAAAATCTTATACCTAAGGTATCATCCTGTCTGATGACAAAATGCTTTCTCCAATCAAAAAAAACACTTTCAATAAAATACCTCAACATCGAAACACAGCACCTAAGTCTTACAGGAGAATACTGAAACATTACAGTCTTGTTCTACCAAAATGAATAATAATGAAACAGCCCTGTTGTTTACCAAAACAATGAGAACACAGCCCTGTTGTTTACCAAAACCATCTGAACACAGCCCTGTTGTTTACCAAAACAATGAGAACACTTGTCTTATCGACAACATCCTATCTTATGCAGGCAATGAAACTCTCACACAAAATATACACAATAGACAGTCCCTCTAAGTCATCAAAGATAAAAAATAGTTATAATGTCCATCATGCTCATGTTTCTTGTAGGAAACCATCATCCCCATCGTAGCAAGCCAGGTGCACCTTCACCACACCCAGATCAACCAAATCAAAGAATAACAAAGCCCCTACCATTTTGTTAGTAAATTCTTGTGTCTTCATTGAATAAAGTCATTTTATCATCACAATTATCAAATTTTCTTATAAATGAAATATTTCCTCAACAATACTATATAATTCTAGTTGAAAGAGATGATATACTACATATCCTAATTAATTCTGTAAATTAGAAAGTAAAAATGTTTTGGATGAAAATCAAGAATCCATCCAATATTAGCAACACTTATCAAGTATATACTATTTTTGAATGAGGTTATAATGACAACAGAAACACACACACTGTGACCTATATAGAGTAAAACTAGGTCACATATATATCACAATGACCTATATAGTAAAACCAGGTCATTTCTTACATACCCAACAATATTTACTAATCTCTACAAACCTTCATATTCTGGGAGAGCATATCAAACATTTTCATCCAACAGAAGACATTTCATTATTCTTTTGTCTTATTTCCTCCAGAAATAATTTATATAATTTAAATTAGATGATAAATAGACAATAATCTGTATATTCAGTACACCGTATACACTTTAACAATGATAGTGTTAGTAAGTGGTCAGGAATGATCAGTACTTTCAACATTTCCAACAATGCAACATTTTCTTTAAAGGAAATATAAAGATGTTTTTTAAATGTTTTTGTAAAGCTATCAATATTTTGAGTTAATAAAGTAAACAATTTTTCTTCATCACTTCAAGAAAACAGTTCAAACAATGATAAAGGACAGACATATTTGTTGTAAGGCAAATATCTAAAATTTCTTTCATTGGAAATAATTTTTATGCACACAGAAATGTAGAAAATGTTGATCAATTCTGACATATCAAGACATCAAAATAATACCAACATGGCACACGACAAAGGAATTATGAGTGTAAGCTAATTCTGGAAGGCAGTCCAAACATAATTATGTAGAGTTATCAAGGGGGGAGACATTAGTGGTTGTCAGGGGCGGGGCCGTGGTGGGGAGGGCGTGATTCAATGGTGGTGGTGTCAGTGAAAGATGTGGAACTGTTATACTACAATGTGATTCTAAAGTGTTGTAAAATATAAGAATCAAAAAAAGAAAATGTATGATCCTGAAAGAAATGTGCAACTAGAAAATATTAATTTTGCTAAATGATTTTAAAATTTCAAAGTGTAAAAAAAATCAAAATAACAAAATAATATACACTATATGTTACTTAATGTAAAAATATTACAAATGCAATTTACCAGGTGAGAATTATTACAATTCTAAAATTTGAATTGACAGAAAAAGTTTCTATCTGATGAAATAGATAATGAAAATATGCTACAAAACCCCGTCTGTGATGGGAGTGTGATAAGTGTTGCATGAGGGTCCCGTGAGAGGGTATGAAGCTGGATGTCTCCCCCCCTAAACACTCCCAAAGAATACCTTAACTGAGTTTAATAAGAAGGTTTCCTCAAGGTCCTTCGCTGGCTTGCAGATCATCTACATATACACAGGTCAAAGGTCAGATATCAACATTAACACAAAGGTCAGAGGTCAACATAAATAGGTCAACGACCCAAGTAGTTAGCCCTTTAATTCAATACAGTGTATTTTATGATATAGTATCTTACTGAAAAAGATTGTTATAAAATCTACTGATTTTCAGCGGACAAGACTCTTATTCTTTAATCTATCTGCACTTGCAAGTTACTTCTATGTGATGTCCATGGATTAACCAATTAATATTTAGCTTAAAAATGTCAATTTACATAAAAAAATCTTTGAATTCAGTAGCAAATTACAGATGATATTCTATAAAAAGGTCTTTCAATTTCTCAGATTTATCATTCCAAGAATATGTTTCAAAACAAAGAAAGAAAATTTAGCACAAAGATACATATTTAGTTAAAAAGCCTCGCTTAAGTTTTCACTAACAAGTCATGGACTATTATTTCAAGAGTTGTACGTTAATTTCAATAAACAATTCAACATTTTTCCTGATGACAATAAAAATTATCTCACTATTTTGAACTATGAAAGAAAGTGTTGCTAAGAAATCAAACAAATAAAATAAGAATAAAATTTTCATCTACCCATCATACATCTAACATTAGCAATCACCATACCAAGATACTGGTTTTCATCATTACTCTCACATCTATCAGTACAGAAACAAAAGTTCAGTCAAGCAGATAATTGTTCTTGGAAGCAACCAATAACATTAGCCGTCCTTGTCCGAGTATATGACTAGTATACACATTTGTACCTTGACATGGTTAAGTAAATAGGTATCCTCGTTCTCAACATCCCGCCGAGTTTGCCACACAGTCTACACACATCACATGATGAACATTTAGAATGAAGTTTTCTCTCATTATATTGTTATACATTAATGAATTCAAATATTCCACACAATGTATTCTGTATAAATCCGACCTTTGATGAATGGGTTGGTTTACTCAGAAATCCTGATGTCTAAATATTGTATTATCTGGACCAGATTGAGGCCGTTAAGAATTAAATCTTTGTTTCTTGGGCCATTTTTTCATTACTGATGAGGGTAAGACTTAAGTTTTCCTTTTAATTGTTTGCTAAGACAATTTCAAGTTGGAATCATCAACTGGTTTAAAAAGAATACACTGTATAAAAATCTGTATACATTATCAATTTCTATAAATAGTACACTTTGTATCTTTTGTATTAATAAGCCTGAAAAATGTCTCAGATTTAATGATCCAGACCATTCATGATTATATAGGAGACACTTGAGGTTATTTTCTTCAGGAAATCCATTGGTTAGTATTAGTGTTGGAAGAAATTTTTTTAACATCCACATTTTTAATTTTACTTGATCAAATTTCTTAACAATATACAGATAGGTAAATTACAGGTAAAATAATCTTTGAAAATTTTTTTTACCCAAAATAATCACAATTCCAAGTAACAATCTATATTAGTGTGTAAGTTTGATGATATTATATAGGTAACAACTTCCCCATAAGTCATGCAATTATGTTATAGGTAATTAAAATCTGAGAAGATAGCAGGATTCACCTCCTAAAGGTCAAATGGTTTATTACATAGAAACATAAATAAGATTTCATGTTTTTGAAAAACAATTATTTGCTAAAAACTTGTAAAATTATATTCAACCAAAAGAAAATTATCACATCTAGAACCACCTCCATTACTTTTCTTTTCAATGGTAAGGAAAACAATTAATATCTTGTCAAAAAACAATCAGCTAATATGAAATAGTTTTGATGTAGCTAAACAAAAAAATGGAATCGAGATCTAAAACCAGTTTAAGTTATTTGACTTCAACATATCTAAGTTTGGTAAAAATCACTTAAAATGTAGACTTGGTTTACAAGCAGTTCAATTTAGTTATCTGCACAAAAATTTCCTATCAGGTATTATGTTTACTTCGATCAATGTGACCTAGTTTAATGACAATGATCTAGATTTGACAGATGTGACCTAGTTTAAAGACAATGATCTAGATTTGACAGATGTGACCTAGTTTAAAGACAATGATCTAGATTTGACTGATGTGACCTAGTTTAAAGTCAGTGGTTTTGACTCTCCCTTGAGCTTTACCTTGAGTTTGTTAAGGCCTTCATTGTCAATCCCTGTGGAGAGAGAGTTCTCCATCTTCTGACAGTGATAAAAGAAGTTATGTAAATGTTGATCCTACAAAGAAAACAAACACACAGTGAGAAATATATTTTTTGTTATTCCATACATTTGATTTAAGAAAACTCAACTGACTGCAACCAAAGAAATGGTTTATACAGTGGACCCTCTGTTCCCTGCTGAAATGATCTGAATTATGAGTTTTTGAGACTGCTGAATTTGAATTTGGCATGGCTAGTCATACAGTGTTACACTCTTTTATAACATAGACATCTGATTGAGGATCAGTCAGTGATACATCAGAAGTTATTTGGATGTTTGTACTGTTGGATAAACATTGAATTTTTCATAAATAAACATATAATGAATTATGAATGCTTATATATTTTTTTCAAGGACAGGCAAGAAATTAAAATATTACCTGTTTTTTTCTAAACATATACTTTAAAGGCAATCAAATGTTTCCTAAATGAACAAAGCTTTTACCTGATAACATGCTGCAAACTACACCACTTTCTGTGATATAAATCTTAATTATAATTTCATTGAAAGACATGTCTTTCCTTTGAAATTTCTCATTCATTTTCAGAGATCAAGACATGAAGACATATTCTTAACTTGGTATATACTGTAGAAATAAGATGAACCTTGACCTTTTAACCATCACCTTGGTGATAATCAGAATTATAAAGTTGATACTTACTTTGGTATATACTGTAGAAATAAGATGAACCTTGACCTTTTAACCATCACCTTGGTGATAATCAGAATTATAAAGTTGATACTTACTTTGGTATATACTGTAGAAATAAGATGAACCTTGACCTTTTAACAATCACCTTGGTGATAATCAGAATTATAAAGTTGATACTTACCTTGGTATATACTGTAGACATGAGATGAAGTTTAATTCTGAAGATGCTTTTTCCACCATCCACAAACTTCAAATCTGGACCAGAAGACTGAAAGAAAACAAACAGGTTGTATGCATTGTTTGAATTGTATACATTGTTTGAATTGTATACATTGTTTGTTTGAATTGTATACATTGTTTGTTTGAATTGTATACATTGTTTGAATAAACATTTTTGGTGTTTTTCTTCTTTTGCCTTCAACCTTATACACATAATACCCAGAAGTCTTAACTATGTCTAATTTTCTTACATTCTGTATAAGGTTTAGTGTTTTAGATTCCACACTGGCTCATCTTTGATCCAATGTATAAAATTTCATTTTCTTGAAATAATGGAAAGGAAAACAACAACCATGTTTTTTTTTTCATAATCATTGCAACCAAAGACAAATAATGAATTTGTTTTTGTCAAAAATTATCCCATTTTGGACTATATGTTGACCTCTATGAAATCAAATGTCATATTTGAAGTCTTAAAGACTCAAAAAATTAACAGAGTTTGATTTAATGACATGAGAAATGAGTTTTATCAACTTCTATTATTGACTAACATGGTAGAGTGACATGGACCCTAGTGTGTAAACTTGGACGGAGTTTACTTGGAGAAAATCCACATGGTGGATCCCATATACTCCACCATCATTCACTGCAGAGCCATCCTTTAGACGATTATACACTTACTCAATACATCCCTCCAATGATTTTGTGTGACAGGTAGCCCCAGATCTAGGTTTACTAACCAAACACATCTGGCTTCATGTGACAGGACACCTGTAGGTAGGTTTACCTGCCTCGTGCATCACTCCACTGGCTGTGTGATAAAGGTAGTCCAGGTGTAGAGTTTCTCCAATGACTTTGTGTGACAGATAGCCCTGAGGTAGGTTTCTAACCCAACGCATCCCTCCCAAGGCTTCATGTGACAGATAGCCCTGAGGTAGGTTTCTAACCCAACGCGTCCCTCCCAAGGCTTCATGTGAGATAGCCCTGAGGTAGGTTTCTAACCCAACGCGTCCCTCCCAAGGCTTCATGTGACAGATAGCCCCGAGGTAGGTTTACTAACCCAACGTGTCCCTCCCAAGGCTCCATGTGACAGATAGCCCTGAGGTAGGTTTACTCACCCCCATGTCCCTCCCAATGCTTCATGTGACAGGTAGCCAGGAGGTAGGTTTCTAACCCAACGCGTCCCTCCCAGGCGTCATGTGACAGGTAGCCCTGAGGTAGGTTTACTCACCCCACGTGTCCCTCCCATAGCTTCATGTGACAGGTAGCCAGGAGGTAGGTTTACTCACCCCACGTGTCCCTCCCAAGGCTTCATGAGACAGGTAGCCAGGAGGTAGGTTTCTCACCCAACGCGTCCCTCCCAAGCTTCATGTGACAGGTAGCCTTGAGGTAGGTTTACTCACCCCACGTGTCCCTCCCATAGCTTCATGTGACAGGTAGCCCTGAGGTAGGTTTACTCAACCCACGTGTCCCTCCCAAGGCTTCATGTGACAGATAACCCTGAGGTAGGTTTACTCACCCCACGTGTCCCTCCCATAGCTTCATGTGACAGATAACCCTGAGGTAGGTTTACTCACCCCACGTGTCCCTCCCATAGCTTCGTGTGACAGGTAGCCCTGAGGTAGGTTTACTCAACCCACGTGTCCCTCCCAAGGCTTCATGTGACAGATAACCCTGAGGTAGGTTTACTCACCCCACGTGTCCCTCCCATAGCTTCGTGTGACAGGTAACCCTGAGGTAGGTTTACTCAACCCACGTGTCCCTCCCAAGGCTTCATGTGACAGATAACCCTGAGGTAGGTTTACTCACCCCACGTGTCCCTCCCATAGCTTCGTGTGACAGGTAGCCCGGAGGTAGGTTTACAGTCACTGGCAGCATCTGTTCTCCAACAGCAACTCTGTAACAAAATATCCTTTTATGTTTGTATTGTATTCTGGATGAACACTTCATGGAAATTAAGTTAATCAAGTGTTTTAATGATGACACAGATAATGAATAAGAAAATATATTCATTCAAAACAGAAAACAATTTTTTTACATAAATTGTATTTGTGACCTACTTTTCTCAGACAATTGTGATCTTTTATACTGATGTGACATACCTTCCATAAGTCAGGGTGGATAAACAGGTGTGACAGACAGGTGTGACTTAAACTTATTATAGGATGATGTACTTTCCACTAGCTGGGATGGAGAGAAAGGTGTGACCTAATTTTATGACAAATGGTACCTACCTTCCACTGGCCAAGATAGGTAAACAGGCATATCCCACAGGGCTCTCTATGTTGTCCTTCTTTTTCTGTGAGGTACCTGAAGACCGAATACTGGACTTTGACCCCTCACAGCTGACATGGTAGAACCGGAAGAGAAGATGATGTCGGTCAGTTAACTGTATGGGTAAGGCTATCTTCATCTGTATTTAACAGAAGGCACAAAAAACATCAAATACTGAAATAGATCTTCAATACAGTGAAATTGAAAAATTTTATTTGCTGGTAACAAATTCTGAGTACTGATAATGAACTCACATGAAGTGACAAGGTCTTAATTGATGTTCAACACCTCAAGAAAGAAAATGGACTTTGTTTCCAAGATCATATATCAAAATGGAGAAGATATTAAGAATTTATATGACAATACTTGAAATGCAAATGACTTTGATTTTAATTTCAGTTCAACATCACATTTCAAAATGTAAATAATACATATCAATGTTCAATTAAGAGACGTAAAAATTTAGTTTTCTTTCAGATGAAAAATTCTATCAAGGTTACCTCCTCCAGAAAGTCGGGTGTGGTCTGATGGTGTAGAACAGCGGTGCTGGACACAGTTGTATAAATGCCAATTTCTGGCCGAGCATAGATACACTGATGGGAAAAATACAGATAGCTTCTTAGTTTTTGTATCATTATTTCAATACAAGTATGGGGAAATGTTTACTCCCTCTCCACCCCCCACAAAAAAACATGTAAAAAGTCATAATATGCGTTCTGTATTGATGAACAAAGGTTTACAATGTATCTGAAATGTATAAACCGAGTCAAATCATATAATTTACTATAAATAAGTAGCTTTAAAAAAATTACCTGGGAGGGTTTCAATTCATGAGAACAATAACATGTCAGACTTGTTTAAATGTGCTGAAACTACTCGTGTGTACATTGCTAACAATTTTCATTGGTAGAAAACATCTTATCAGGTAGAAGGAATCAATCTACATTATACTAATCAAACAAACATACTCTCCAAAAATATCCCATATTTGGAAACAATATTAACCCGTTAATATTTCATAACTTCTAAAGCTTATATAAATATAACTGTGATACAGTATGAATATTTCTTAACATATTTATAAAATGATAACATAATGATTTTGGTAAATGGTAATTCAGATTCAATAGAATAGAAGTAACACATTTGAAAGACAGGTTGATAATATATGAAGATTTTTTGTTTTAAAGGGAGAAAACTCATACAAGCATCTGCTATAATGTTCAGCGTATGATATAGCCTTAAGAATGCACACGTACCTTCAAAGGCACAGCTCCATCCTCATCAGAGTCTCTCACTTCAACACAGCAGGATATGTTACGAGCCTTAGGAAAGGATTTCTGATGTTCATATTTAAGGCTGACAGGATAGACATACAGATTGTTAGTGTAGCTATCAAATGTGTCACAAAGGTGTCCCTTGTCTGGGACAAACTCGTCAATCTCCACTGCAGGGGGGTCTGGAGGGGGATTCGGAAACGGTCTAACTGGTATCAACGATGTTGTCAATGAATCTGAAATTCAGATTTTTTGTAAAATCATTTAGCGTTAATAAATGATATGTTAATATAACATACCAGGGAGTTGGATGAGCATTGATGAGATACAATTAAATCTGCAACCATATTGCATGGGGTTTTCTCCCTTCCTGTAAATTTTCCATCTAGAGTTTAAAGGATTCAAGTTAAAATGATAAATCTGGATCTGATTTTAAACTTTTTTCAAATCCAATACAATTTTTCTACCTTTTTTCACCAGTCTTTGAAACTTTTTTCAGAACCAAGGTGACTTTTGAGACTGAATTAGTAGGAAATCAATACAATTTAAAAGGGAACCTGACTTACTTGGTAGGGGTTGGTCTACTCCAAGTTTGTGCAGGCTGATTTTAAATGTAGCTGGAATCTCCTGTAGTTTACCCTGTTTTTCTGGTCTGGAAAAAAAATATCAAATTTAAATTGTTTTTACCATTAAATGGAATATTGATAAATTTAAACATATAAAACATACAAGCATTTCATGTTTAACTTGAAATGGTGCCTTAGGTTAACAAAAGAAATTTTCTACGTACAAACATTGCATGTTTAACTTGAAATAGTGCCTTAGGTTAACAAAAGAAATTTTCTACGTACAAACATTTCATGTTTAACTTGAAATGGTGCCTTAGGTTAACAAAAGAAATTTTCTACGTACAAACATTGCATGTTTATTTTGATATGGTGCCTTAGGTTAACAAAAGAAATTTTCTACGTACAAACATTGCATGTTTAACTTGAAATGGTGCCTTAGGTTAACAAAAGAAATTTTCTACGTACAAACATTTCATGTTTAACTTGAAATAGTGCCTTAGGTTAACAAAAGAAATTTCCTACGTACAAACATTGCATGTTTAACTTGATATGGTGCCTTAGGTTAATAAAAGAAATTTCCTACGTACAAACATTTCATGTTTAACTTGAAATGGTGCCTTAGGTTAACAAAAGAAATTTTCTACGTACAAACATTGCATGTTTAACTTGAAATAGTGCCTTAGGTTAATAAAAGAAATTTCCTACGTACAAACATTGCATGTTTAACTTGATATGGTGCCTTAGGTTAACAAAAGAAATTTTCTACGTACAAACATTGCATGTTTAACTTGAAATGGTGCCTTAGGTTAACAAAAGAAATTTCCTACGTACAAACATTGCATGTTTAACTTGAAATGGTGCCTTAGGTTAACAAAAGAAATTTTCTACGTACAAACATTGCATGTTTAACTTGAAATAGTGCCTTAGGTTTATAAAAGAAATTTCTTACGTACAAACATTGCATGTTTAACTGTTTTAAGAAGCACGACTTATAAATCCCCACACGATAGAATTCTGTAGTAATTACAAATGTTTCTTACTTTCTGAGATCTTGTAGATGTTTGATGACGTCTTCCTCTGACAGTTTTGACCCCTCGTGTCTGTAAATCTTTAGATCAGATGGACCATAATTTGATGACACCAGTTGTCTGAAAATGGAGCATCATAAATCAACATTAAAAATTCATAACTCTTTCTCTTGTAAAGTTTTCAGAAATTCAAAATTGCAGAGCCTGGGTCCTAAAAGTTCTCTATCTTACAATCTAAATGTACCTGATGACAAATCACAATTCATGAAATAAAGTTGAATCTCAAGATCTCAAACTCTGGTATAACTTGAAGTGTTTTGTTTGTCATGGCAAAAACTACACACTAAGCATTAGAACTTTACTTAAATCAAATACTTGGAAAGTTTTGCCACTGTCCTGACAACTTCTAGATAACAAAGATTGACTGTATATCTACGTGTCTAGGATATTTTCATATCACTGAATAGGTACCTTGCTCTAGATAACAAGGTTTTACTGTATGTCTAAGTGTCTAGGATATTTCATATCACTGAATACGTACCTTGCTGCCCAGCCGAATGGCATTCTGTAATGTCCTATGTTATTGCACAGCTGCTTCATTTGTTTGTATTGTTTGGAGGCAGTGCGGGCAGCTTCGCCCACCTTGAGGTATGTGTCGGTGGCTTGGGATAGTGGGCCCTGAAGAACTTTCTCTATCCTTACAAACAGGTACACCTCCGAGTGACAGCAGATCACGGAAAATACACCCTATATTACAGCAAATATCAAACAAATAATCGTCATTTGTCATTTTGAATAATAAAATTTCCAACACCTAACAACATTTTCCAGTTACCATAGCAACCTCTATTTCAAAGAAAAACAAGGAAAAAATCTCTATTTTATGTTAAATGGTACTGTTCAATGAAGGTGTGAACCAGATTTCAAGTCATTTGGATGCCTAAAAAATGACCATTTTTCAAAATCCACTGCCGGACAAAATTGTGTTTATGTTTTATATAAAAGGGGATAACTCTGGGGGAATATTTCCATGTTGTACAAGCCATTCCCTCAAAATTTCAAAAAGATTTGTAAACATAGCCGCACAAAATTATATTTCCCCATAAACCTATTTTCCCCAACCACTCCCTATGATTTTCTTTAAGCCCTTTTCCCTGACCAGTCCCTATGATTTTCTTTAAGCCCTTTTCAGCTGACCAGTCCCAATGACTCTCTTTAAGCCCTTTTCCCTGACCAGTCCCTATGATTCTCTTTAAGCCCTTTTCAGCTGACCAGTCCCTATGATTCTCTTTAAGCCCTTTTCCCTGACCAGTCCCTATGATTCTCTTTAAGCCCTTTTCTCTGACCAGTCAAGGTATTTTTCTTTAAGCTCTTTTCCCTGACCATTTACCTGTCTATTCTGGGCTAGAATCCACTTTTCGTCCAGCCCCCTGAGATCTGGAGAAGTGGCCTTGCCCTCTACCGTGTGTAGCCGGTCAGAGGCATGGAGAACATCTGTGGGAATCATGTCTTTTATCAGAGGGTCGTTAGGATCCATATGGAAATCCTCCGATATCTTCCTCCCTTCTTTAGCATCATAAAGACAGAATGTCAAAAAAAACGGCTCTGGCTGAAATGTACATAAGCATAAATACTGTTACAGGTCAACTTCAGAAGAATGCAAGCAGAAAATACAAACTCTGTAAATATCCAGAATTCATTCTGCAAAAGAACTTAGAAATATCAGTGCATGTGTACTTACATTTACTAATTTATTTCCACACTTTAACTCATCACCAAGGTTAAACTGGAGTTTGAGCTTGAAATCCAGCAACCGCAGCATAAATCGTTCACGATATTGAGGAGGGTACACTGCAATCTCTTCACCTTCCTCCTCCTCATCCTCATCATCTATCACATATCTCTACAAGAATAAGTCAATTATTTTATTGAAATAAGGAACAAAATTTCAAATCAAAGTATTTGACATGATGAGATATAATACATCAATGTAACAGATGTCCATTTTTCTAAGAGCTTTCTCTGGTAGTTGAAACCTTGAGAATAAGAACTTTCTCTTGTAGTCAAAACCCTGTGAATTAAATCTTTCTCTAGTAGTCAAAACCCTGAAAATGAATGCTTTCTCTAGTAGTCAAAACCCTGAAAATGAATGCTTTCTCTAGTAATTGAAACCCTGAGAATCAAAGCTTTCTCTAGTCTCTGAAACCCTGTGAATTAAAGTTTTCTCTAGAAGTCAAAACCCTGTGAATTAAAGTTTTCTCTAGAAGTCAAAACCCTGTGAATTAAAGTTTTCTCTAGAAGTCAAAACCCTGTGAATTAAAGTTTTCTCTAGAAGTCAAAACCCTGTGAATTAAAGTTTTCTCTAGAAGTCAAAACCCTGTGAATTAAAGTTTTCTCTAGAAGTCAAAACCCTGTGAATTAAAGTTTTCTCTAGAAGTCAAAACCCTGTGAATTAAAGTTTTCTCTAGAAGTCAAAACCCTGTGAATTAAAGTTTTCTCTAGTAGTCAAAACCCTGTGAATTAAAGTTTTCTCTAGAAGTCAAAACCCTGTGAATTTAAGTTTTCTCTAGAAGTCAAAACCCTGTGAATTAAAGTTTTCTCTAGTAGTCAAAACCCTGAAAATTAAAGCTTTCTCAAATAGTCAAAACCCTGAGAATTAAAGTTTTCTCTAGAAGTCAAAACCCTGTGAATTAAAGTTTTCTCTAGTAGTCAAAACCCTGTGAATTAAAGTTTTCTCTAGAAGTCAAAACCCTGTGAATTAAAGTTTTCTCTAGAAGTCAAAACCCTGTGAATTAAAGTTTTCTCTAGAAGTCAAATCCCTGAGAATTAAAGTTTTCTCTAGAAGTCAAAACCCTGTGAATTAAAGTTTTCTCTAGTAGTCAAAACCCTGTGAATTAAAGTTTTCTCTAGTAGTCAAAACCCTGTGAATTAAAGTTTTCTCTAGTAGTCAAAACCCTGAAAATTAAAGTTTTCTCTAGTAGTCAAAACCCTGTGAATTAAAGTTTTCTCTAGAAGTCAAAACCCTGTGAATTAAAGTTTTCTCTAGAAGTCAAAACCCTGTGAATTAAAGTTTTCTCTAGTAGTCAAAACCCTGTGAATTAAAGTTTTCTCTAGTAGTCAAAACCCTGTGAATTAAAGTTTTCTCTAGAAGTCAAAACCCTGTGAATTAAAGTTTTCTCTAGTAGTCAAAACCCTGTGAATTAAAGTTTTCTCTAGTAGTCAAAACCCTGAAAATTAAAGCTTTCTCAAATAGTCAAAACCCTGAGAATATAAACTTCAACAGTACAATGTTTTGTCAATGAAGGTAATTGATAATATCCTTCTACAGATCATAAGTTGTTGAGCTAGACAGTTCCCAGCAGAGACATTTATTCCCAATAAATATAATAAACTGTCAGACTTAACCTATATTTGTTACTAAAATAGGTAAATTATCTTAAACAGTATATTTACTCAATAATATCCTGGGAGCTTAAAACCATTACGGAATACAGTGGACCTGCCATGATTAAGATAGCAGTAGTCCAGAAAACTTACATTCCAGACAGAAATGTTACCGATTTAGGCAACATTAGTTATACTCAATAATGTTGAAAAATAAATTCTCAATCCAGCGATGTTTTTTGGGAACAAAATTTATTCCTTAATGATATTTCTGTAATTTTGGGTGAATACCCTACTTTTCAATACTAATACTCTCCCTCCTCCCTACTTTTCACAGTTTTGGGTGTATACCCTACCTTTCCACACTAACAATTTCACTCCTCCCTACTTTTCACAATTTTGGGTGTATACCCTACCTTTCCACACTAACAACTTCACTCCTCCCTACATTTCACATATCTGAGTTTATACCCCACCTTCCCACACGGACAATTTCCCTCCTCCCTACTTTTCACAGATCTGGGTGTATACCCTACCTTTCCACACTAACAAATTCACTCCTCCCTACTTTTCACAGTTTTGGGTGTATACCCTACCTTTCCACACTAACAACTTCACTCCTCCCTACATTTCACATATCTGAGTTTATACCCCACCTTCCCACACGGACAATTTCCCTCCTCCCTACTTTTCACAGATCTGGGTGTATACCCTACCTTTCCACACGGACAATTTCCTTTCTCCCCACTTTTCACAGATCTGGGTGTATACCCTACCTTTCCACACTAACAATTTCCCTCCTCCCTACTTTTCATAGTTCTGGGTGTATACCCTACCTTTCCACACTAACAATTTCACTCCTCCCTACATTTCACATATCTGGGTGTATACCCAACCTTCCCACACTGACAATTTCCTTTCTCCCTACATTTCACATATCTGGGTGTATAAACTTCAACAGTACAATGTTTTGTCAATGAAGGTTTTCCTTCTACAGATCATAAGTTGTATACAGTTCCCAGCAGAGACATTTATTCCACACTAAATATAATAAACTGTCAGACTTAACCTATATTTGTTACATATCTGGGTGTATTATCCAACCTATATTTACACTGACAAAACCATTACTACAGTGGACCTGCCATGATTAAGATAGCAGTATCCAGAAAACTTACATTCCAGACAGAAATGTTCCCTTTAGGCAACATTAGTTATACTCAATAATGTTGAAAAATACCCTACCTTCCCACACAATGTTTTTTCCCAAAATTTATTCCTTAATGATATTTCTGTAATTTTGGGTGAATACCCTACTTTTCAACCGACAACTCTCCCTCCTCCCTACTTTTCACAGTTTTGGGTGTATACCCTACCTTTCCACACTAACAATTTCCCTCTTCCCTACTTTTCACAGTTCTTCCTCCTCCATACTTACATTCATATGAGGGTACACCCTAAATAGATTCTGTCTCCCATCCTGTCTTAATTTTGCAAGAGATTGGTCAGTCTCACGGCCATACTGTAAAGAAACAAAACTTTGATTAACAGTTTCCAGCAAAGCAAACAAACAATGGAGTGCCAATAGTTTTCTTGGCCAATAAGCTGTATCATAACAAAACAGGCTTATTTATCCTGTCAGTGGTGTCTAGATACCACTAACAGAAAGGTAGGAAAAAATGGAGAGAAGGAAGCAAAAAGATTTATAAACAGAAAGACCTTTCTAGAGTATCATAAAAATCATATAAATTGGAATCAAGTTAGAGATTACATTTCCCTTCCAAAACCTTTCCAGTAACAATGCCTATCCCCCATGCTACCTTCTGTAGTTCTGAGTGTATTCTCTACCTTCCCAAAATAAAGACTCATTCTCCATCCTACATTTAGTAGTTCTTGGTATTAATCCTCTCCCTCTCTCATACCTACAGCAGTTGTGTGTGTATAATCATCCACCCAAATACTAAGCATTTCCCTCTGTCCTACATTCAGTAGTTCTGGGTGTATCCCCAACCTCTTACACACTAACACTCTCTTTCCATCTACCTTTTGTAGTTCCGGGTGCATGCTATGTTCTATTTTGTCGCTGGATTTCTCTGGTGTACTGGTCTCCTCTGAAACACACACAGATCCTTCACCAACAGAGAATTGACTAATTCAAGATCTGTATTTAAGAATGCTGAATGATGATAAATCAGTAATGTAGAATGTTGCAATCACATAAGAAAACATTAAGTGAACAAAGACATGATAGCCCACCTCAGCCGCAAATCCTCTAGCAGATTACAACAGAGAAGGGACAAACCACTTGGTCTCTCAAGCATAAAATATGGACAGTTTTAAGTCTCTATAACACTATGTCCCTCAACTTAATCGAGGTGGGCTAAAATTTGTTTTCACTGTGTAATACTACAATGTAGCATTCATGGTCCAGTTTCCGTAAATTTTGACCTTTGACTTATCTAAGAATAGCTGAATATTGAGAGTAGTGTTGCTATACTTAACACTCCAACACAGTAACTTTTGTGTTTGTTTTTTTAAGTAAATATCTTTTTACGTTTTACCTACTGACATTAGAACTTGTGCAGGAACACTGTAACCACTGACCAGTTGACCTTTTGATGGTGTCTACAGATATATCCTTTAGACCTTAATGTAACGACAATATTCTTACTTCAACATAATGACCTTTCTTCACATATAGATTAGTAACCTTTGACCTTCTGACCTTTGAATAATTCCAATGATGGAGTCAGTAACATAATGACCTTTGATCAAGTGCAAGTATAAGTAACATTTGGCCTATTGACATCTGATCCATTGATCAACTAAAATGATGGATTCTGTTACTATATACCTACTAAACTTTATCAATTCCAATGAAGAAGTCTATAACCTCTGACCTACTGACCTACTGACCTATGGTTGATTTCTTGAAGGAATCCTAAACATTGTCCTACTCCAATGATAGAGTCTGTAATCTTCTTTTGAAAGATTCTAATGATGACTTCTGTAACCCATGACCTACTGACCTTTGATTCTGTCCATTGAGATGTTGGAGGCCGTCTCTGCAGCATTAATGACTTTGTTAAGGGTCTGTATCCAGGCATTACACTCGGTGTCATTTTCAGCAGCAAATGAGTAAGAGGCTTTCTCCTGCATCTTCAACTCAAAACAGTACTTGCCCTTCTTGGGGTTCTGAAGAAAACAATATGCTGATATTAACTGTTATTAAAACGAAGAAGCTGTCAATAAGCTATGTTTATATAGAACAGGATCAAATTAAAACCAAAGCAGATTATGAAAAGAATCACCCAAACAAATCTTTTATTCATTTCAAACTACACCAGACATCTTGTCAACTGTGATGTAAAACAATAAGTTGAATACAAATCTGTATATATTCATTTCTAACTACAAGTAAGTTTTAAAATTTTAAACAGTTTTAAATGGAAACATCTGAAAACTATCAAAACAATATTGAATTGGGTTAATATCAGTAAGTCACCAAAATTGTGAAGTGTTTTCTAATATCACGAGACAGGAGTTTCACTATTAGAGACAATCTGTTTGGGTAACTGTTTCCTGGCTTACCTTGCATGCCTCTGCTGCTAGATCCAGAAATATGGATCCCTTAGTGTCTAGCTTCCTGTCATCTTTGTAGATATTCATTACATAGGAAAAATCAGATTCTTGTTTGAGGGCAAAGTACCGTCGTTTGAATTGCTAAAAATGTATATACAAAAATTCAATAATGTTCAACATTATTCAATATGTTTGAATAGCCATGATAATATGAGAAAGCATATGCAAAAAATGTTTTAATAAGCCCACACTTTATGTTGAAAATTAACATCACACAGACCACAGAGGTAGTGCATCTCAAGGTAAATTCCTATATTCATGACTGTAAAACACAAAAGATCAAGGAAGTTGACAGATGGTGGATAATGGAGAAACGTATGACAGAGAAAACATTTAGCTTTCTCCATCAAGAAAGCATAAAGTTATAAAATTTTATTAATTTTCCTTCGACAAAAACAAAGAACTACATACAATCTATTAGCGAAACACTATACACATATCAACAAAACTCTACATATCTTCTATGGTAAAACTGTCATGTACATTTATCCCCCAAACAATCAAGGTTAAATAACTTATATCTACACTGCTCAAATTGATACTTCTTCAAACTGCCCAATGTAGCCATGGGCAGATAACTCTTCATATCTACTATTGTAAAATTGATGCTCTTCCCAAGTGGTCCAACATAACCAAGGGTATATAACTTTTTACATCTACCCTTCCTGAACAGGTGCTTCTTCTAACTGGAAAAAGGCAACCAAGGGCAGATAACTCTTTATATCTACCCTTCTAAAACTGATGCTCTTCCCAAGTGGTCCAACATAACCAAGGGTAGATAACTTTTTACATCTACCCTTCCTGAACAGATGCTTCTTCTAACTGGCTAAAGGCAACCAAGGGCAGATAACTCTTTATATCTACCTTTGTTGAACTGATGCACTTCCAACTATCCCTACATAACCAATAGCAGATAACTCTTTATATTTGGCCTTGTGGAACAGAAACTTGTTTTTTTAATTAATTTTTTTTTTATAATTACCCTTGTGAAACTGATGATGTTCTCTTTGCCACCATCTGGCCCTTTGAACAGCCATCCTTCTTTGGCAATCGTAGTTGCCATGGAGGTTCTGCTGGATACATCCTAGCATGAAGATCCATAAAAGTAGATGATTTATCAACAAAATCACAGAATTAAGCTGTGTCTGCTTTTCTTGGATTATTTGGAGATACACCAAATAAATCAACATTATATCAAGCTCAGAATTACATGAGATTATTTGAAATCACTTCAAAGTCATTAATCTATCACAGGAGAATCAGCAGAATATCATAAACAAAAAAATGAAAAATAGAACATTGTGCTTTTGAATTAAAATAAAAATAAAAACAGTCATTTTTGCCAAGTTATTTTCTATGTCTAGCCATTTAATTATGAATTCATATAATTTTTCTCATAAATTTACTATTTAAAAGGGCGAAAGCAAAATGTTAGAAATGTTTTCAATTTCTTCGCAATACTTCTTAATGAGGAACAGCATTAAACTGATATTTATAGGACGGCAGCTACATACATCGTCTTTTTCTTCTTCCTCTGCATCAATTTCAAATACATGCTTAGGTAATGGGTCTGGTTTCTTCACACTACAAAAATAGAACATAACATTGTCATGACTGCAAAGAGCATGCCTATTTATCTGGAAGATCCAATTCTTTGTCGTTTCAATCTTAGTATACCTATTTATCTGGAAGATTCCATTACAGATTTATCAATTCTAGCTTACTATAACTATTTATCTGGAAGATTCCATTACAGATTTATCAATTCTAGCTTACTATAACTATTTATCTGGAAGATTCCATTACAGATTTATCAATTCTAGCTTACTATAACTATTTATCTGGAAGATTCCATTACAGATTTATCAATTCTAGCTTACTATAACTATTTATCTGGAAGATTCCAGTAGAATGATCTATTCTATCTTATCTCAAATTCACAAGACAGTCAAAGTTGTCATAGTAACAGTTAAGACAGGACCTTAAATATCATAAGTACTCTTTCAGGTGGCCAAAATCACCTTGGTTACTGTTATTGCTGACCTGAATTACAGTGGTTACTATTACTGGGCAGTCTCCTTTGCCATTGTTACTGTTGCTTGGGGACCATAATCACCTCGGTTATTTTTATTGCTAGGTAACCTTAATTGCATTGGTTTCAATACTAGACCATCTCTTTTGAAATTGTTACTGTTGCTAGGTGGCCTATTTCACCACAGTTATTGTTGCTATGTGGCCCTACTTACCATGGTAACTGTTGGTATGAGCCTGAGTATTTGCTGTACTTGTATTTGACCATGTGACAGCTGTTGGTGTAGGACTTGATGGCTTCACAGACAAGCAAACTAGTGGCCTCTTGTGCTGCAGACTCTGGCACAGAACTCTGCACTGTTCGTAATTTCTTGGCAGGGGTTGGAGGCTACAAGAAAACAGGCCAGTTTGTCGTCAGTGAAGGATTCAACTTTATGAAGGATATCATCAGAATCTGTAATTCCTTTTTTTGCCTGTGATTTATTTACCTTTTTTTTTCAAAAAATTTATGGAAAAAAAATTAAGTAACTAGAATTTTTACCAAAAAAAAATATATTTATATGATTAGAACAGACAACGCTTTCATGGAAATATACTGTTAAGTTATACTGAGCAGAGTTAGCTGTTGCTGGCTATATAAACATGGATATAGGAACAATCAAGTAATACTTACAGGAATGACAATGTCATCGTGAGGGAATGTGAGCATTTCTCTCTGTGGATCATTGTGGAGAATGGACTTATTCTTTGTAACATAGTTCTCATAATCAACTGGAGCAACTGTCTTAGGTCGTTGCTGAAAGAAAAAAAATATATAATTGAAAAATCTGAAAACATCCTCATTGAAACTTTCTGTTTTTCATGTTTTGTTCATGAGTATGATTTCATTATAGGCAAGTCTTGCAACAACAAACTTAGTATAAAACACCATCATAGTACTGGCAATCTATGATATAACCTAGGCTTGGCAATACCTGTTTCTAAATTTAGCCATAACTATAGTTAAATGGGCTTCTTGGGTTGAGAAAGTGATTACAGGTGGATTAAACAACTATTAAATAACACATTTCCCTAGTGCCCAAATTTTCTGATTAATAAGAAAATCAATATTTTTTTTAATAGTTAATTTTGCTGAAAAATATTGCTTTTAACAGTTTGTGGTAGCAGTACACAGTTTCTCGGTGTGGCCATGGGTGATTTTTTTTGCTCATTAGATTACCCCATTATAAAGGTTTTAATTAAAAATGAAAAAAAAATCCTTGCTAAAATTGGTCCTGTCATGTTAAAGTGGACAATGTGGGGTTTCATTTTTTTCAGGATAATATTTTAGCTTTGTGTTGGAGATTACTATTTGGGCAGTCTCGAATCTGTGTCTACACACCAAAAACTAGCTTTACAGGAAGTGAAATTTTCATAGTGTTCACATGTGGTCATGTTATGAAGAATTTCCGAGTTGGAATTTGCTGAAATGTAAGTACTTTGTTACCATGACAGTGTTGTTGATTGTAAGATAGGTGTTTAGAATTAAATTTCTCCTAGAAAGTTGTAGTGTTGGGTTGGAATTAGCAGTATTTTTGCATTTTTAGCATTTTTTCAGTAGGTAACCATGACAATCAAATGTCAGAAATCAGAGGAAATTTTTTTTTTACACAAATTTCATCTCTCTACTGTTAATGTAATTGTTATATAGTTTATAAATATATATACATGTAATGATGTATTTTCCATAACCAATCTGCTATACCTGTATATCTCAAACATGACAAATAATTTCAGGAAAAATGCAAATTAACTGTTTACTGCTACCTGTTGACAAATTAATTTGTGGTTTGAGAGTAACAACAAAATCCATGAAAATAAATACTCCAATAAAATCAATGATTTTACAGTATGGTTTAATAACCTCTTTTAAATGAGAAGAATATCATCTGATGTCAATAATATCATGAAATATATCCTACAGCATATGAAATTCCAGTTATCATAGTTTTCATCATTTTTCCCACTACGAGTTTCCATGCCGATCAGCAAATGATTCTGGAAAAACGATTATGTGTATTGGTTATATGTCTCACCAGTCCTGCATCAGAAGTATGGTATTTTTAAGCTCACTGCGTCATATACAATAAAATGTACTCCCTCAAAGTTTATTTCAATTTATAGCATGTAAGCATCATATATTTGTTGTTGTTTAAAAATGTTGTAAAACAGGAAGTGAAAATTTGGTAAATTCTTAAATTCTCAAAATTTCACCAAATATGACATTTTAACCCGAAAAATATCATTCTTCCCGAGGATGAAGGGGAAAACATGTCTGATGTTTTATAGTACTTTTTTCAATATGACGATAAATTAAACTCAATCTGAAGTGTATAGAACAAATCATTTCTTAAAATGTAAAGTTTTTGTTCCAAAAATAAACAAAATAATTAAATTCATGTAGTTTAATAGTGAGCTCAAACATCCATACATTTTTTATTCCTGGTTTGGTTGGAATAACTATTGAGCTGTATAAGACTTAGCTAAGCACCCTGATTTAAAGAGTTGCTTGACAGTAAAGTCAATCATTTGTAGATGGTGGATACGTTGAGGTTTCCTCTATGTGATGGACGTCTTGAGCCAAGGCTCTAAATACAAAACTTTAAAGTGAAATGTTGATAATGACATTGACATTGAGAAGTAATACTACAGTCTCTATTTCGTGAATTTCGGGGAGACAAATAGCATATCACTTCACAGAAACATAACTTATACTACCACTCATTTCAGACTGTGTTTACACTGAAACAACAAATCTTTTTGTATTTAGTGGGATGTTATGTTGCTATGCTTCTGTGATTATTTCAGAGAAGTGATACTGTTGTACAAGTATTTAGCGGCCATTTCGTCCACATTCACCATCAACAATATGACCTTAACTGTCACAAGGATCTCTCAATGTTCAACTCTAAAAGGAACAAAAATCCTGATTTATAATGCAGTTCGGATGAGGCCTTACAATCCTAAATACCCATCACACTATCTGTGGCTGTGACCTGATGTCATGTGTAAGACAAAATGGTTACATTTTATCATTGTTAATATCACACTTTATCATTGTTAATATCACACTATCTGTGGCTGTGACCTGATGTCATGTGTGAGACAAAATGGTTACATTTTATCATTGTTAATATCACACTATCTGTGGCTGTGACCTGATGTCATGTGTGAGACAAAATGGTTACATTTTATCATTGTTAATATCACACTTTATCATTGTTAATATCACACTTTCTCATTGTTTATATCACACTTTTTCATTGTGAATATCACACTATCTGTGGCTGTGATGTCATGTGTGAGACAAAATGGTTACATTTTATCATTGTTAATATCATACTATCTGTGGCTGTGACCTGATGTCATGTGTGAGACAAAATGGTTACATTTTATCATTGTTAATATCACACTTTCTCATTGTTAATATCACACTTTCTCATTGTTTATATCACACTTTTTCATTGTGAATATCACACTATCTGTGGCTGTGATGTCATGTGTGAGACAAAATGGTTACATTTTACCATTGTTAATATCACACTATCTGTGGCTGTGACCTGATGTCATGTGTGGGACAAAATGGTTACATTTTATCATTGTTAATATCACACTTTATCATTGTTAATATCACACTATCTGTGACTGTGACCTGATGTCATGTGTGAGACAAAATGGTTACATTTTATCATTGTTAATATCACATTTTGTCATTGTTAATATCACACTATCTGTGGTTGAATGTACCATTTATGCACTTTCTATATCAAGTGTTTTGTCCACCTTATGACATGTGCGAGATAAAATGGTTAAATTTTAAATGGTCATACTTTATCACTTGTCATTACATACAGAAGATTAATCCTTTGTGACTTAATCTAACATAAAAGAAAAAAGCAATTGACAAAATTTCGTGAAAAATAAATATTGCGATATTTCCAGCCTGAATCTTTTTAGAAACATTTTCTGCCAACATCTGATGTTTAACGCTCATAGAGACAAACATCACAAATCTTTCATTATAGCTTGCATGAGGCTCCATAAAATGAAAAAATCTTTGAGTTTTTTCATAAATCTTGTATGAATGTAAAATCATGTAAGATCCCTTATATCTAGCCATGTAGGAACATCTTTCAACAGCTGATGATCAAGGATTCACCATCTCTTCACACATCCATGAGAAATCCTACCACACCTGAGGCCCAAAGTCAATCAATCAGAGCATTCTGACCTGTGTCTACATCTCTCTGATTGACAGATTGTTTTCTGCCTAATTAAGAAATGTCTGCCTGTGGAAAAATCCCCCACACTCTCATCATGATCAATGATATCTTCATGTATGAGATTGTAAGCTTAAGTAGCACAACACTTCCAACATAAGGACTCATACCACATTTGTAACCTCTGTCACAAAAGAGAAACACTTCAATACATGAAGAAAGCATTCTGAGATGAATGGATGCATTGAAACAAAGGGCTATAACTCTCTATATACTGCAGCATGAAACAAATTTTTTAATATATATTACTGTATGACAGCCATCCCAAAATGTATCCAAGACAGTTTTATTACCTTGGGGCCTGACTCTTAAGATTTAAAAACTATTCCTTTGAAAACTACCAATGGAATCCTAGAAATTTTAGCTTTTATTTACAGAAACTCAGTTAGATGAGCTATTACTGAATCAGTGGCCTAAAACGCAAGGTAAATTAAAGAGGTATCATAGATTTTCAGATTATGTTTCTATTTCCTCTTACACACTAACATCCATGTGGTTTATACATTGTACTTAGACTCAGATCGAGACCATCTAACAATATAAACAAAGATGAAAATCAACCCTGACTGGCGGGGTGAACATCCTCACTCAACTTCAGCTATAATGGTAAAAAGAAAAGATAAATGAAAAGAGCTACTTGTAATTGAGAAACCACCTGATGGCCATAATAAATCCATCGTTCTATTTGTTTCTGTAACAACAACAACTGTTTCAATGGATCCTCAAACATGAGCCTGACCCAGATATCTAAATCTGCTCTATGTTTGTTGGCGAACTCTTTAGTCATAGAGGTAAAAAATACCAAAATTCATTTCAAAGAGGTAAGTTATCAGAAAAGCTAATAAAATTTTATGATTAGAATAAGATATATCAAAAAGCATTACAGATAAATAAGGAAATTTAACAAAAAATGGCAAATGCCACTAAAAGTTATATTCTGTAATAAAATCGGTATAAAAGTGTCTACAGCAATAATTTTTCAAGTTTACTTCTAATGCAAAGTTAATATACTAGACGTTAGAAAAACTGGTCTTTAATTACAAAGGAGAAGTAACAATCAGTCTCCAACAAGTATCAGACAATCAAATTTTTCAACAGAGCCCCTACTGTAAATAATCTAATGAACAGCCCTGATATCTCTAGCATCCCTAATATACAAGCTAATAGACATCATCTTAACCTCAAGTTGTTTCTAACCAACAAGGGTTGGAATAAAAATGCTGATAATGATATCCTTTATCACCTAAAGTAAAAAATGGAACTATCTAATAGGTCAGCAAGCATGGTCAGCACTGTCTGATAGGTCAGCAAGCTTGGTCAGCACTGTCTGATAGGTCAGCATGCTTGGTCAGCACTGTCTGATAGGTCAGCATGCTTGGTCAGCACTGTCTGATAGGTCAGCAAGCTTGGTCAGTACTGTCTGATAGGTCAGCACTGTCTGATAGTTCAGCACTGTCTGATAGGTCAGCAAGCTTGG